AAAGGAATTAAAAAGGTGCACAATAAATATTTCCTCCCTAGAAAAAGATTAAAATCAGTATATTTCCTCCCGAAAGGCTAGTGCTTGATGCTGGTGGTTAAGAATATTACACTCAATTGAAATCACTGCTCAAATATGAACTCTTATGATCTAAAACAATCATAGGTAACGATGATAATAATTTAATAATGATTTTATTATTTATATGCTGCCCATCTGACTGGGTTGCCCTAGCCACTCCTGGATGGCTCCCAACAAAGTTATTTTAAAACACAATAAAACATCGACCATTTTTTTAAACCTCCTGGAGACACAGAAAGTTATTGATTCTCAAGTTGCTAATGTGGTTACAGACCCAGATTTCCCTTTTTAATATTCGTTTTGCTAATGTGCAAACATATCCAATCTATTCAAATCATATGATAAAGAATTTTTTTAATCCTTTGATAGCCATCCTTAGAATCATGTTAGGATCTTTTCCCCACACAGCTGCAGTGTGCAGTGGGTTCCACACAGAGCTCAGTGGCCTGTTTGTTTCCTCCCTTCCCTTCAGTATGCCTTGCAAATAAGTGCACCAGTGCCACCTAGAGAACGGGAGGTCTAGGCATGTCCCAACATCCCTGTCTCCTCCTCTATACTATCTCTAAAAGTGACATAAATAAAATGAGAAGAGCGGAGGATGAGATGGGAGATTAGGAAGCAGCCCACAAATCTTTCTATAATAATTGGTCATGCTGCCAAGCTGGGGGGAGAAACAAGAGAATTACAAAAGGAGACAATTCTGGTTCCCATTCAAAATAGGATGAACAGGAGTAATGGCTTATTCAACTGGCAGTTGAAATTGGAAGGGGGTATAGGTTACTGCTCTCTTTGCATAATGCCTAGTTTCTGTAACCGTGAGAGATTTTAAAAGGAATAGTAAGGATGTTGGGACCCTTCCGCAACCAAGATATTTAGTGTTCGACTGCTAGAAAAATGCAAAATGGATAGACTCACGAGCAGACATTCCATACAAATAACACAATTTTCAGTGTACTGTTTGGTGAGCTGTACACAGTATGTGCCAAGCGAAAAATACAGATTTGGTGAGCTACATGCTACCCATCAGCTGTCCCACCCTCTGCCACCAAAGGATCAGAAGGAGATGAGCTATTAGCTTGGTGATTGGCAATGCAACCTTGCTGCATCCCCAACAATGCAAGTGTTCATCCAGGAGAACTTAGCCAGCAATCCTATGCATGCTAAACTGGGACACAGCTTCACTGAACACAGTTGGAATGCTGAGAAAACATGCACAGGATTCTGCTGCTAGATTCATAATGAAGCTCATGTCTCTTACTTTGTGGAAGGTTTTGAACTTCCTGCTTGTCCGTGGTCATCTTGTTTTAATCCTGTAAGAAGGGCATCTCTTGAGCAGTGCTTATCCTGTTTGAGAGAAAAAAATGTTAAATACATAACACAGACGTAGTAGAGTGGTGTGTGTTTGTGTGTACATAAACATCTCATAATGACTGGTGAGCATACACAAACACTGCAATTATGCACATTCACATTAATGGGTGGAGACTTTGCACACTGCCCAGTCAATATGGAAAAATCAGCAACATCATATTGAAGAATGTGAATTTGAGACATTTTGTACATTGTGTTGTTATAATTCATTGCCTCGTTATTGATTGAAGAATGAAATGCAATGAAGAAGGAAAACACCATTTGGATAAGCACTCTTCTAGCTTCTGCACAGAAGCTAATAGAAAAACACCTGGAAAAGGTCAAATCTACAGCCTGTTGATGAATGAGTTAGAAATATTTGGTGCATCATGCTGGTCTCAGCCACTGTAAAAAAAAATGTAATAAATATGAACAAGCTTTGGTCATGCTTACAGGGAACTGAAAGCACAACATTATGCATGACAACTCAGAAGTAAGTCTCATTGATTTCAATGATGCTTACTCCTAGAAAAGTGAGTATCAGATTGCAGTGGGTGGTTCATAACATTAAATTAGGAAGAAGAACAAAACATCAGTAAAACAATTCATGGATAAGGATATAAACCCAGCAGCATTAAAACCACTTCAGGAGGTTAAAATGCTTTCAAAGCCTGGGAAAATAAAATGGTATTTACTCTGCATTTTATTACTATCAAATGCTATATATATATATTGCAATAAGACTTTTGGTTTGAAACTGACTGCAAGCTCCTGAATTAGAGCACCCTGTTGTTCTATAGCTGGGCCTTCTGCTGTCTCCCAATATAGTGCATAAAGGTAAAGGTAAAGGGACCCCTGACCATTAGGTCCAGTCGTGGCCGACTCTGGGGTTGTGGCGCTCATCTCGCTTTATTGGCCGAGGGAGCCGGCGTACAGCTTCTGGGTCATGTGGCCAGCATGACTAAGCCGCTTCTGGCAAACCAGAGCAGCGCATGGAAACGCCGTTTACCTTCCCGCCGGAGCGGTACCTATTTATCTACTTGCACTTTGACATGCTTTCGAACTGCTAGGTTGGCAGGAACAGGGACCGAGCAATGGGAGCTCACCCTGTGGCGGGGATTCGAACCGCCAACCTTCTGATCGGCAAGTCCTAGGCTCTGTGGTTTAACCCACAGCGCCACCCACGTCCCAATATAGTGCATAGAAGGAAGCTATTTCACCTCATGATGCATATGCTCCACCCCATCTATAAGCTATTAGAGGCTCAAGCTGGCAAATTCTCTCCTCACAATTCCCCCTTCATTCCCCCTTCACCACATCCAAAATCTTAATTTACTGTAGTTCCTGAAGGCCACTGAGCATGCTCAGATCACACTGGACTGCTTTTCTGCACTGTTTCTGGGCCTGCCATTCTTGGCATTAGAAGGAATGTGCATCACTTACTTTCTAGCGTAGAATTTTTATATTTATATGAAAATAATGCCTTTCAAATTTCACATCAATACTGAGAAAAGGGATAGGAGACCAATTTCTACCTGCAAGTGGGTAATGAAGGAAAACCTTTGCCGCTGGAAAGGTTCACAGCCCTCCCATAAACACTGTCCAGGGTAGACGTCTTTTCCTCCATGTTCAGTTGCAGCGTGATAGAAAACCTGGGATGGCGTTTGAAACCACCTGGAAAATGTAATACATTTAAACTCAGGCGAAGAAGGAATATGATTTTGCTAACAATTTTGTCGCCTGAGAAATCAACATAAATACTGAAAAATAAAAATGCAAGAAATGGCAAATGTTAATTATTCAGTAGTTTGACTTACTATCGCTAAGGGCTGCTTGCTGCAAAAGACTGTGCAATACAGTGGCACCTCAGTTTTCAAACGTAATCCGTTCTGGAAGACCGTTCGAGTACTGAAACGTTCAAAAACTGAAAACTCTGTAGCCTACAGCTAGACCTCAGGATCTTGCACTCAGTGGAAGCCGCGTGGCATGTTCGACTTTTGAGGCGTGCTCGAAAACTGAATAATTTACTTCCGGGTTTACGGAGTTAGAAAACCGAAATGTTTGTCAACGGAGACGTTCGAAAACCGAGGTACCACTGAACTTATATGCAGCAGAAAGGAATGGATTTGTACCTTTTAAAAAAAAGGCGATAAAGACCTCCCCTTCCCTAAGAAAGAGTTAAACATTTGTAAGACTGACCACTTGTGCAAACAGGCGCTTGAATGGTGCTGAAGATTCTGTTCAACCATTGACACTGAGGGAAAGGGAATAATGTATTTCAAATGAAGTTTCCTAAAACTCTTCTCTATAGCTCTCTCACTCTCCCAAAGATCATCTTCAGCTTTGTCTTCCATTTTCAGTTAAGTGCTTTCTTAAGGAACTCCCTAGCAAGAGAAGACCTTAGTTTCCAGTGGTGGGAAAAGAACAGAGAGAGGGATGCTTTTCTCTATTTCTCTATAAAAAAACCCACTGTTTCCTCAGTTAGCTGACAGGTGAGCTGACTGATGGGAAACGTTAAAAAGGATGGGGGTCAACAACCACAAATATCATGTTGCATAAAACTAAACCTTTGTAATATATGGGTCAACTCAAAGAAAAACACTTACTTTTTACAGGATTGCCAGAGACACATGAAATTCTGTCCAGGTTTTTTCACTTGTTCTGTGTGCGAACTTGGTACAGTGAACACAGAAGGTGGCAAACTGACAGATGGGCCCTGGACTTGCATTGGTACGGGTGCGACAGGTGTGCTCTGTGGGAAAATTCAAAACAAGGAGGATTAAATTCCTGCCTGATTATTGTTTATTGAACAATGCAAGATCTGATTTTCACGGAGCACACTTCCAGCGGCAATAGGTGAAACCATAGTGATCAGCAGTTTTGCTATTGACTGCAGAGGGAGATGGTAATCACTGTCTCTAAATAGTAAAATGAAATAAAGACTGGAGTACTCGAGCTATTTATAGACTTTCCCCAATATTCTATAGCAGCTCTATTTTTACGTTTCAGGTTCAACACAGAATTAGATGCAGCTTTTAGGAAGCTTTCCAGATGGCAATCTTTCTCTATAAAGTGATGGAGCAATTTAACATACTTGTATGAATTTGGCAACTTATCTTTTTTTCAGTCAGAGTAATTTAAAGGATTATCTTTAAAACCACCATGTATATTTGGCTTTTCCTTTCATTGCCTGTAACAAACGTTAAGTAAAGGTTTGAATGAGCAACTCTCAAGATTTGATCAACCTGTTCATTCTGTATATGCCACAACATGTGCACATATGATGTTGATATGTAATAGGGTTGTTTTAAGTATTTACCGTAACGGCAGACCTTCACTTTTAAAGGGGGGGGGAGTAACATATTCCATCTTTCATATACCATTTTAAAATGAAGGTGAGATATTTGAAATCTCTCCATCAGCGTTAACTTTAGCAAGTTAAACATTAGCATGCCAAATAAAACACCAGGCTAGAATCCTTTTCCTCAACATCTGTGATACTTTCCACAATTTGTTTTTCATTTTAATGAGAAACAGGTACCCACCCACCCTGCATTCTGAGGTTCCAGGATGACTATACCATGTGATTTATTTTTGTAAGATTGGTGCTTATATCAATATAGCCTCTTCAAAACACCAACATGCTCATGTTGCCCCACACTGTTTATTGTATTTGAAAACTTTCACCTAGTGAGAATTGATTCTACCTGATGAAAGGTCATTATTTTGAAAATAAAACAAGTCATACAGCATGTATTCAGAATTAAATCATTAATTAAATCAACAGAACAAAATTATTTGCCAAGAGAAATCTGCTAGCCCAATTAATATTAGGTAACAAGCTAAAGATAGGAGCACAGACTGAGAAACTGTTTTGTATCCATTGCCTAGCTCAGGGGTCCCAGGGCCCACTTGACGCAGCTGAAAATTCCCTCTGAGGCCCACCAGTCACACAATGGTGGTTTAGGGACAAAGCCAACCACAAAATGGTGGCAGATGGAGGCAGAGTTTGGCATAATCACCTGACAATTAACAATATCATTTTCTATACTTAAATAATCCAGCTTTGGAAATTACTAAATTCTTTTCCACCACATTTTCCCTTGTGGCAAGGAGTTCCACAGTTCAGCTTTCCTTAAGCTAAATACAGACATTTGCTATACAGTCGTACCTTGGTTTATGAACTTAATCCGTTCCGAAGTCTGTTCTTAAACCTAAGTGTTCTTAAACCAAGGCGTGCTTTTCCATAGCAGTGGGAGACTCAATTTACAAATGGAACACACTCAACAGGAAGCGAAACATGCTCTTATTCCAAGGGAAAGTTCACAAACCAAAACACCTACTTCCGGGTTTGCAGCATGCTTAATCCAAGTTGCTCATAAACTAAGCTGTTCTTAAACCAAGGTACCACTGTGATGATGATGATGATGACGATGATGATAATAATAATAATAATAATAATAATAATACCAACATTTGCTCTGGAGGTATTGTGAAAGTCTCCCCACTTTAGGCAGAATTTGCTGATCCAGATGCTCCAGGTGGTGAAGGCTTTTTATACCATATTTTCCCTTTCCATCCTCACATGCTTCTCAAAAGTATTTTTATCCATTACCTGTAATTTCTCCTCCTATTCTCCTTTCACATTTAACTTTTACCTTATCTCTCAACCAAACTGCCAGTTTCTTTCACCCTTCCTTCCTGGTAATTTTACATGAACTTCTTTCTGTTACAGCTTTCCTGTCTGCTCTCCTTCCTCATTATTCACAGTTTATTTATGTTACCACTACGATCTTTATTTTTGTCTTCCTATTATTATTATTATTATTATTAAAATTTGTATACCACCCTTCATCTGTAGATCTCAGGGTGGTTCACAGCATAAAAATACAAGAAGAAAAAAACCACAAAATATATAATAAGAACAAGGACAAAAACCAATCAAGCCATTTCAACACATTTAAAGGGATATAGGGTGTTAGTCAGCCGAAGGCCCGTTTGAAGAGGAATGCTTTTGCCTGGCACCTAAAAGTGTATAAAGAAGGCTCTGGCTGAACCTCCCTGGAAAGAGCATTCCACAAATGGGAAGCCACTGCAGAAAAGGCCCATTTCCTGTTGCCACTCTCCAGACCTCTCATGGAAGAAGCACACGAAGAAGGGCCTCAGAAGAACACTGCAGGGTCCAGGCAGATTCATATGGGGAGAGGTAGTCCTTGCAGTATTGTGGTGCAGATCCATTTAAGGAATTATAGGTCAAAGCCAGCACTTTGAATTGGGCCTGGAAACTAACTGGAAGCCAGTGCTGTTCGGCCAGGATTGACACTATATGCTCAAGCCATTTTGCCATGGTGAGCAGCTTAGCCACTGAATTTTGCACAAGCGGAAGTTTTCAAACTGTCCCTACGTATAATGTATTGCTGGAATACAACCAAAGGTTACCAGAGCATAGACAACACTTATCTCAGCTTCTATTGCCCTTCAACACCTCCTGAGACCTCCCTTCCCACATCCTCCTTTGTATCCTGGCACCTATAATCAGCAGACAAGGAGCTTCTGGAGCTGGTACTAGTCAGACTAAAAGGCTATAGCATGACTATAAGGTGGGGAAGGCTGTGGCACTGAGGCACACCAGAAAGTGGTTCAATGTCCACTGTTTCAGAAACATTGGGCAAGCAGAAGTTGGTATAGGAAAACAATTACCTGTACCTGACCAGCTTTTGCCATATAGTACATGGTAAACTATAGTCATATGAGTTTCCCCCCTTAAATAAATGCAAAATATATAGAATTCCAGCAAGTCCACCAGATCAGTTAAACAAACCATCATTAAAAGGAGTGAACAAGTGTAAGGCTGAGCACAAGACCTTTTAAACAGCACCCTGGGCTTATTTTTCTCAACATTTTCTATGAAGGAACATAACCATGACCATACTATGCCTAGTAAAGGTAAAGGGACGCCTGACCATGAGGTCCAGTCGTGGCTGACTCTGGGGTTGTGGCGCTCATCTCGCTTTATTGGCCAAGGGAGCCAGCGTACAGCTTCCAGGTCATGTGGCCAGCATGACTAAACCGCTTCTGGTGAACCAGAGCAGCGCATGGAAACGCCGTTTACCTTCCCGCCGGAGCGGTACCTATTTATCTACTTGCACTTGGACATGCTTTCGAACTGCTAGGTTGGCAGGAACAGGGACGGAGCAATGGGAGCTCACCCCGTCGCAGGGATTCGAACTACCAACCTTCTGATCGGCAAGTCCTAGGCTCTGTGTTTTAACCCACAGATGCAAAAATTATAAAAGCCAAGTTTCAGTTGTATGCCTCCTGTAAAAAAAAACCCCAAACCTAAAGATCAGCATAAGTTCAAAGACCTCTTCAAGAATGGTCTTACATAAATTAAGGAGAAACTGAACTAAATGCAAGGAGCATAGAGATAATTCAGACTGAAAAATGAATAGCTTGTGTGGCGTGAATTTTATTTTATTTTTTTGCCTTACTGACAATAGATTACTGAAATTTAACTCTCAGTACATTCATGTTATTCAAAAGTGAATAACAGTCAAATGACAAGCTTAGTCACTCCATCTGGGAACTTCAATGGCTCCATACACAGCAACACATAATAGCTCCTGGAGCTATGCACCTGCTTTGCAGCAGCTAGCCTGACCATATCAAGGTGAGGCTGCAGCCAATGGCTTTGGAGCTGCTTGAAGTTTTGCCAATCTGCTTTCCACAGAAGCCTATTTAAATAGGATGGATCAAGTAAGTGCTTATGAAGAAGGGGGAACTGGAAAAGGGAGTCAGAAAGTCGACATTTTTCAAGCCCCAGAAGAAACCGATTTCTTACTTTTGGAAAACTGGCCCAATATCAAGCACTTCTATGATAAACCAATAATGGGAGGGAAGCATAGCTACACTTAACAGATGTTTCTGGAAAGTCAAATAAAACAAGCTTCCAGGTAAGTTAATACATAGCTCTCTCAATCACCAATCACAAAAGCAATGCCCTCAAAGGAAAAATATAGAAAAATAGAAAGCTAAAAATGATGCCAACTCCTTCCTGTCTCAAACTGCAGCAAATTAGTTGTCCAGATGAAGCTACAAACATAATGCAAAACATTTTAACAATGTGCAATATTTGCAATCCATACTGTCGTTTTAAACAGCACACCAAGCTAGGTGTTTTTCCCATTTGCTAAAATCCAATTGGGTTGAAATGAGCCAATCTGCTTGTTGGTGTTGCTGAGACGGTGTAATGTTTATTCAGTGCCCTCCATTTGCCAGGTGCTTTTCAGAGGACAAGAATTTTGCTAACTCTGCCCAAAACTGCTTAAGTAAGATGGACAGGATCAAGGCAAAAAGGAAGAAGCCACTCAGCTTTCATTTACTACTGAGCAGAGCCTCTGACAAAGAACCAGGAAAAACGGCCATCAGATTTTTGTGAGGAGTTAATTTTACATCAGGGTCCATCAGCATGCTAATTTGCGTGCAAAGTTGAATGTTGGTTATTCTCCCAATCTGGCCTTAATGCACTCTTCACGCCAAGATTTATTTATTTTTTAGCTATCCCATTTGAAAAAGGAGAATCAATTATCCATTACATCCCTTTAACGCCAATTCTCTCATGATGCTCAGGAATCTCTACATCTGGGATCTCTGCTGAAAACTAGTGGCAGAGAGCCAATAAACCAAAAGGAAAACACACGGCTAAAGAGATTCATACATGTGAAATTGGGTTTCCTGCTCTTTCACGGCTTGAGCTGGAGCCCTGAAACTGTGAGCAGGCCAGGTGCATCTGCAAAGGATAAAATCAATGCTGCAGTAACCCAAATTGTTCTTAGACTACATCATCCACAGCATATTTTTAAAGCACATGGCTTCTCCGATGGGAACTGTAGTTTAAGGGTAATGAAAATTGTAGCTCTGATGGGTAAACAACAGTTCTCAGGATTCTTTGCGGAAGAAGTTAAGTACTTTATATGTACTTTGAAATGCATGGTCTATTACTGTTCTCCAACACAAGGTGTATGCACTGAAAGTTGGATTTGGATCTGCACTGGATACCAAGAAATCTCTTCTTATCACCTCAGCTGAGAATCTGGCCTGGAAAAGAAAGGCGAACACGGTCCCAGTAGCAGCAGCAGCATCTCACCAGTCTTCACATATATACAAAAATGTGTGGGTAATTAGATTACCATTACAATACAGTTTGTGGGTTAAAAAAAAAAGAAAGACTGTAAAGGCATTAAATCAAAATACATTACAGTTCCTAACTCACTCTTTGGGAATTTAGGCTACTGAATCATAAATGCAAACTGTCCTCGGAATACGCTGCTTCCTTCACAAGCCCATTTTGTATGGTTCATTATTCAAATACATACTACACAGAAATGAAACTATTATTTAAAGGTTACCATTAGTACAATTCAAAGTGCACATAGGCAAAATATACATAATTCAAATAGCAAGGATTTTGTGATAACTGGGAGCGTATATATTTATCTTAACACATTACATACACTGCAGCTTGAATCTGATATGGGAAAGCAGCCAATTCAAAAAACAACAATAAATATATGATAGCTTAACAGTAATGAAACTGATAATAAATAAGATTACTCTCACTCAAAGGACTAAACATTCTCTTCCCCCCACCCCAAAATAATTTTTCATTTCTCTTATCATTCAAAATATGTATTTTTAAAGCTTCAAATATGGCAAAGATAAATGTTAGGCATAAAGGAACCAATCTTTTGAGGTATTTTCACAAACTGCTCAACTCAAACAATGTAACTGCTAGTGACAGAAAAGGTGATTACTTCCCCCATGATACCATACAAGGTACATATATTTTTAATTATAAGCACTCTAGTCCTGAGTGTAACTAATGTGAAATATATTACCTGAAATTTTTATCCTCCCCATTTAACAAGAGACTGAATTTTGGGGATCACAATAAATCACCCTATGAATCAGAAGAGTAGTGGGCAAATCATATATGGGGCAGCATAGGAGATACTCGCAGGTCCCACTATCCCAACGCTTGTTATACAAAAAATCACTTATCCAAACATGAGGAATTAGTATCTAAAGTCCTCTATACACACCGCCAATCCGAACAGCTAAACCTTCATGTAGTACTGTAACCAAATATGCAGGCTTAAACAAGCGTTACCCTTTTCTGTTTTGCTGGACCATGGCAGCTGTTTTGCCAGAAAACATGATGGGAGGGGGAGAATGGGGGAGAGACTGAACAAGAAAGCATTTTCCCTTCCTTATTTGCCTTTTGTAAGGTTTCAGACGGTTTTCCTGTGTGTGTGTGTGTGTGTGTGTGTGTGTGTGTCATTTTGGAGTCAAAATCCTATGATCAGGAACACATTAGAAAGTTCCTCATAGGAACAAATGGAAAAGTTGACTCGTTATGCAAACACTTGTCTTAATAAACGATTTCCTGAGAACGCATTGTGTTCAGATAGCGAGACCTGCGTGTAGTGGGTTATTTCCATCACTTAGTAAATGCAGTATTTTAAAACATAGTTCACAGAATGTTAGCAGAGATTAAAGAAACTGAAATACATACAGTGGTACCTTGCATTAGGAACTTAATTTGTTCTGGAGGTCCATTCTTAACTTGAAATACCACTTTAGCTAATGGGGCCTCCCGCCGCATGATTTCTGTTTTCATCCTGAACAAAGTTCTTAACCCGAGGTACTATTTCTGGGTTAGCAGAGTCTGTAACCTGAAGCATCTGTAACCCGAGGTACCACTATAGTTTGGTTGATGGAATTTGTTATACAATTCAAACATCATCAAGATACACTATGTCCACAGTATTTCCCTGATCCACCAAGTCTGTAATTCCATCAAAAAAAGTAATCAGATTGGTCTGGCATGACTTATTTTTGAGAAACCCATGCTGGGTTTTAGTAATCATAGCATCCCTTTTCTAAAAGCTCACAGACCGACTGTTGAATTATCTGTTCCAGGACCTTCCCTGGTATCGATGGTTGGTAGCTACCTGGGCCTTCCTTCTTCACATTTGTGAAGATGGGGACAAGATTTGCCTGCCTCCAGGTTTAGCCCATCCATTTAGCAGAGTGAGGCTACCACCTCATGCAGCTGATTTTGGATGTCATTAAAAGGCACCAAATATTTGTCATTTATTATTACTGCATTCTGACTGCCAGTGAAAGGGGACAGGTGGTTGTAGATTTTTTTTGCCTCATGTGTTAAAATAAGTTGAATGGCCTTGAATAGTAGGCATCAATATTGTGGCAAGAGGAGCATCATTTGCAGTTTCACCTCAAACAGCAAAATGTCCTGGGCTGGCCCTGTCAAATATTGATTCCATATATTCAAAATGAAAGAGTAGGAAAACTACATATAAAGCCCAACATATAAAAGATGCAAATTATCTTGAGATTCTTTATTCAAGAACTAAGTTTAAAAACGACCCCTTCTCATGCTTGCAAGTCTGAGTGGTTTTAAATTTATCTATAGCTTTCGAGGATAAAAGGTGTTATAACTAAGACAGTGTCTGGAAACATATGCAAGTTTGTCAAATATAAGACAAAGAAGAAATACAACACTCTAGGTTACAAGGCCTTAAACGGCAGTGCCATGGTTAAAAAAAAAAGTATTTTGAACTGCAGCCTGATCAAACTAGTTCAGTATCATTGTATGTGGTCTGAGCTAAATGTTTGGCTCTATCCTTTGTTTGCAAGTGAACTGATGTCCAGGAGAGGTCAATCTGCTCCAGAAATCTACAGCACATTAAAAACCAAGAGTCAGTCATAAGGGCAGCTTGGCCCATCTGTTCTCAAAGATATATTTTAGAAAAGCTGTGTTCCTCATCTAGATGGATGCCTTATGGTGCACTGAAGGAACATCAACATCTGCCCTTAAGAGAACTGTAGGACTACTTGGATACATAATGTACTCTATAGAATGAATGATTCTGTACAGAATGCAGTAAAAAAATTCACAGATTTCTACAGCATTTAACAAGTGTGTATCCTTCGTCAATAAATGTAAAGAACGAATGAAACTAGAACCCTATTGGATCCATGAAAGGGCTTCCTAGTCTACAATCCCATTTCTAGCACTGCTAGAAAAAGCCAACAAGTAGGACCTGATGGCAACAGCCCTTCCTTGCTATTGATCTTGCAACAACTGGTAGGTTTCATTGTGCTATCATGGCAAAGAGCCACTGATAGACCATCCTTTATGAACTTGCTTAGTGAATTCCATTAGTTAAATCTGCTGTGTGAAGCAGTCCTTTGTCTGTTCTGAATCTACTGCTAATGAAGTTCATCTTGAGAAAGGTGAATGGAAGAAGGTTCATAGAAGGACAGCCACTTATGCCCGTTGAAAAGCCTCTCCAGAGCATCACGGTGTCTTGAACAATGCGACAAGGTCCAGGTGTCAATGCTGGACTCCTGCAGCCCCTCATACTCCATCCTACATTGGTCAGGACCACCTTCCCCAACCCACCAAACTGGGTACGTTTCGCCTGCTTGTATCCCATCCCACATTGCTCAGGAGAGCTCAACCCCCTAGGGATGCTCTTCTGTGGATCCAGGCAGCAAGAGGGAGGAAGGGATTGAAATTTCATTCTGTAAATTCCCTTCTACTCACTCATCTTAGAATCCAAAACTACAGGTGCAATTCAACAGTGCTAAGCAGATTGTTCCATCAATGGAAATATTTCTGCTTGCCAGCTGGAACAACCCCATCTCTCAATGCCCTCAGGGTTCTGGTAGTAATCCTGACCTCCCCAAGCAGATCTGGTGAGGTGGGAAGTGGTTCATCGGTGGGAAAAGTCTTGTTGCACTAGCAGGATTCATTGCTTCCACTAGCTTAACAACTTAATTAAATTCAGCCCTATTGTCTCTCCAAAGCCCAGCTCTGAAATGTGGGCAATAAAGAACATATCCTTTCTTGTTTTCACAGTTTCCAGACCAAGTCCATGGCTTCTCACGTTAAAAAGGCTGTCAGGGAACAGACCAGGAAAGACATCAGTCGGAGAGTTTGAAGGAGAACTGGGCTACATAGCCAATTGGTTTGATGCAGTGTCTCAGCTTCAGACTGTCATAGGTTTGTTTTAGCATAATTAAGCTGAAAGTGTTAACAAGTTGCTCCTCAGCAAAAAACCAAAAACAAAAGAGCTTTGGAAAAATTAAACAATTCCCAAATGAATCTGTGAACAGAGTAGCCTGAATGCAAACATGTATATAATATCCATGTTAATAGAGATCTGAATTACATTCGACTTTCTTGGCGCCTGCACACTAGATGCCACATTTCTAAAAAGAGGCCCAAATCATACAGTAGTTACACATTTCAGGGGGTTTCAATTTCACGGGTGAGGGTACAGGCCCCATTAAAACATGGTGGTCATTCAATAGGGGAATGTCAGGTGGGCCACAGGAGTACATTTCCAATCCTCTACCTCATTGCTAACATACACCAATTTTGTGTGTTGCACTGGGTACCAGTACGTTTCCAGCCTAATTCAAAGTGTTTAACCTTTCTAAACTATAAATGGATTGGGGCTGTGTTATCTGAAGGACTGCCTTCATTCATTATAATCCTGCCCAAACACTTAGATTTGCTGCAGGGGTCCTTCTTTTGTGCCCACGGTCAATATCTGTTAGGTTTGTGAGTGCAAGGGGGAGATGGTCTTAATGGTGGCTCCAGCTGACTTTTTGCCCCTAATGTCGCAGGCTTGAAGTGGCCTTTATAGACGTTTGCCTTCACTGCCTTAACCGGGATCACAAGTATGTTAAGAAAGTGGATTTGGAGCTGCTGCCTGACATTAACTGAAAAAAAAATCATAGAATCATAGTTTGAAGGGACTACAAGGCTCATCTAGTCCACCCACTGCAATACAGCAATCTTTTGCCCAGCGTAGGGCTCAAACCTACTACCCTGAGAAATTATTGAATACTATCTGTTATAGCCATTATTTATCGTTATCGCTCCTTCCTTGAGTATCATTTTGTGAGGATATGGCCATAAAGCATTTTGCAAATACTTTTAAACAAACAAACATACCAACAAACAATACAGTTGGAATTTCACTGGAACAGGGCTGAAGTAATCCATGTAAAGAACAACCCAAGGGCGTGTCATAACGTAAGACAGGAGAGAGACAGGAGTTTTATCATATTAACATACAGATAAAATAGGATAAGGGCCATCACGCTACAAGCAATAGGAACACAATAAATAAATTGATAGTCAAAAGTTATCTGAAGCAGTAGAACATAAAACAAGAAGTTTCAAAAAGTAATCTATGCTCAAGATGAAAATTTGCAATTCAGATCACTTGGGTGTATTAACAGAATATACACAAAGTCACACAGTTATTTAGAAACAATCAACATTTTGGAGATGCTCTGAGTAGGTAATAGGGGCTTGCTACATAACACAAAAACTGAGATCATTTATTTGAGAAGAAGTTCTAACTCTACAAGTATCTAGTAAGCATAGTTACACAAGCGGATGGGGGAGGCATAACAAGCTATGTTTTTGTACAGAGAACATTTTTTTACAAAGTCTCACAAATTAGAATGGTTAGAAGAGTACTTGAGACATCATCTATACATTTTTTTTTAAAAAACCTACTTTTACTTATCAAACTCCTCTTTTACTAAAATACAAGTAAAAAATCTGGATTTGTTTCGTTTCTGCTTAGTGTCAATTACAGAAGAACAAAGGAATCTTTGTTACTTTCACCAAAACTCCATCCTCTCCACAATAAGACTGTCCTGAGAGTAAGGATTGTTGGCTATTTGCAGTTTAGGAGCGCAGAGAGCTTGCTGGGGAGACCATGCATTAAAAAGGGACTCAAAAATAACTTAAATAAGGTTTTAATTACAAAAACTCCTTATACACTAAATACATCAACAAACAAACATGACCCAACCACCAACCCATCCCCCAGGGTAATGGGAGAGCTAGGTGCTGCTCCTTATATACTACACCCAATTACCAACACAGCTTAATCAATACAACTCAGCAGCACCTGCTATGTTTCACAGCTGTAAAGCTGGGTCTCGTTATCTTGCTCTGGCCCTTGCTCTGGCCCCTTAAAGACATTAACATTGGGTGGAACAATGATGAACCTTTACATTTAAAGTAACCATTCAACAAGGATACCCTACTGAATATGACTGGGCTGAGGTGCAATAAGGTCAAGGGTATGTGTGAGGGGGGAACTCCTGAGAATTGGGGAGGGGCACCATCAGTGAGTGGGAATCACCCAATTCAGCGGGGCACCCAACTCTCCGGGGAGGCTTTTCAGGGTGAAGGGAAGAAACAAAGGAAGTCAGCTTCCACAAGTCTTTGACTGCAGACTTTTCTCTGGAACTATTGTCTATAAACAAGAAACGGCTAACATTTTGACATTTAAAAAAATATAATACAACAACAAAACAGAAAAGGAATGAGGAATGTAGCTGAGCCCAATATCCTTATACAATAACCACAATAATGGTATTTCCTGTAACTCAAATTTCAGTGTCAGTCATCAATCAGTCATTCAATAGGTAGTGGAACAACAGTCAGTACTGTAGCTCTTAGAGGTTTCAGAAAAATGTACTTTAAAGTTGTCTGGAAACTTCAATCCTGGGGGCAGACTGAAAATGCTGCCCTGCTATAGCAAACATGATTAAGGCATCACTGTTACTGAGAATTCTCCTACTGATGCTATCATTGTCATGTGCTGTTACACTACAGGCCATTTCTCCCCCTCTTGACCTGGTAATACTTTCAGGCAGAAAAGGTTCCAAAATATGTCCACACATACAAACATTTCCTGAATGAGGAACATATCTTCCAACATTTTAGGTTCATAAACCCTTGCAATTCACAGTTCCACCCAGCTTCACCATATTTTAATGCAAACTATGCAAGAGGGGACAGCAGTTGCGGTCCCTATAGCGATTGCTGAAGTAATTAATATGATTACAGCTGCAGAACTAAAAAACGCAGAGGGAGGGGAAAGTACCAGGGATGGCTCCTGTAATATTTACAATAGCTATGAATCACGTTGAGCATATACAGCGTTCCTTCATTAGTGAACTACTGCAGCCTTAGAATTAAAGAACAGGCATTCCACAGCAGTTGGCACCCTTATTTCTAAAAGAAAGGAATCCTTATCAAATTCAAGCATTGCTTCAGCTCCCAAGAAAGAGGAGGAGCTTCAACCTATCAGCTCTCTCTCCCCACAGCCCAAAAGCAATCTCCCTTGCTTTGTCTTCTGGTCCTTCAACCTAGGGACCATCCCCTTGCAACAAGATAACCATGACCCCAAACACACACATTATATTTCTCTGGCACTTCCTCTCTTCTGGATATGCTCTCCTGCCTCCCTCTCCTGTCTTTCACATTCCTAATTTCCCAAGGAATGAGAGGCAGACAAGAGAAAGAACTCTTCCATGCCCTCTCTCATCTTTCCACCCACTTAATAACTGCAGCCTTCTCACCTTAGAGGCTTGACAAGATTTTGTGGCTTGTAAAGGGACAGCAGGATACATAGTAATAGTCTAGCTCAATACCTGTAGTCTTGATACAAGCAGCTAAACAAACAGGATTGTGATGTCATAATTATGTCATCCAATAGAGGAATGTTTTCAGCCCACCTGCTGGCCAACTTTTAAGTACATTTTCAAGAAATTATAACTACTGTGAAACTTCTTATTCATGGTCTAGCTACTGGTTCCCAAACCCTTTTCTGTCCAGACCACTTGAAATTTGCTGTAGGTGTTCATTACACCACTTAATGATTTTTCGGCCTATTGTAGTAATTATAATGTACTGATGCTATGTGATATTTAATTGCATTTTTACAGACAAACCACAGACCACTTGAATGAAGCTTATGGACCACAGTTTGGGAACCCCTAGACTAAGGTACTGGTCCAATTAATAGGATAGACACTGAAATTCAAGACTGAGAAAAATCCTTACTAAAAATATTTTTTCTTCTTGTGCTAGGGTAGATCTTTTTTCAAGCTTTCTGATACCTTTGTCCCCATCCCATGAAGTGTGATCCACAAACATACAAAAACAAGAGGTTTCTGGGAGCAGGGATGTAAATAAAAGAATTCCTGGCATCCAACCACTGAAGGCATGTACATGGTGCTTGTTCCAATGTGGAGATTGCCCACTCTTCAGTCCAGCATCACTCTTTCCTCCAGCAGCACAAATTAGATATTCAACCGGTGAAGGGCTATGAGAGCAGAGCAGTGCAGCTGACTCTATGCAGCAGGGGACTTTCCCTTTTGTGCGTGAATTCACATACCACATTCTGTTTGAGTAGCTTTCCATTTTTCCACATTTAGGGAATGCTTTCGGCACTGACTTGCCTCCATGGAATATCTATACATCCATCAAAAACCCCCTGCTTGTTCAAGAGGATCCTGGGGCATGCAGGAGAGTCTACTGTATGTGAACCAAGGCCGCTACCTAGAAAGCACCCCAGATTTTCCCAAAGCTGTGTGTTATAGGCACAATTGGTACCAGTGGGCAAGTTGCCTTTCATGGTTGAGTGGATTGACAGCATTAAAACATTATTGGCTTACAACTAACAAAGCACTGATACAACTTAGGAACGTAATTCATATCTCTGGTCACATATCCCACATGGACCGCGGAATTGTATCTGCTTAGATACAGCGTTTCTATTGGCTCTTGCCAAGAGAAGGACACAAAGCAAGATCAGTGTCGCCGATATGTGAGTGAAATATGTTTCATTTCTCCTTTGGATGTGAACTGGATGAAGCTGCGTCAATGCTGAACTTGTACCTGGAGGAATAATAGGTGGGGGCTAACATACTGACGCTGCATCCTGACAAAACAGAGACACTGCCGGTGGACAAAAATAAATAACAATAAATATCCATGCTGTTTGGCTAGTAGAGTTACAAGTATTTCAAGTCCGAAAACTGAACACGCTGCAGAGCTCAGTAAGTTGGAGGGTAAAAAAAGAGGTGTACAAGATCACCCATAAGTGCTCTGTGGATGATCCTGATGATATATACAACAGAACAGAGATGAATAAATTTGCACATTATGGGCACACCCAGTTGTAATTATACAATCATTCATATTATTGTCTGCAGAAAGGCACAATTCAGCCAAAGCTTAGCGCTTTTCCACGGAAATCAATACTGCTTAAAAACCTATGCCCTAGTCTCTCTTGATGAAATCAATGCAACAGAAAAGTGCCAAACTTGGCCTGCTTCTATCCCATTTCCAGTTGTTGCTTTTTTGGCAACTTGACTGTGGAGAAACTGAAGAAAACTAGACTGTTTCTTCTAATGCATCTAAAATGTGTGTATGCTGGATTTCCACAATCAAGTGACCCACTCCCTAAGATTTCACTATGTTTTCTTCAGAACTTCATTTTGGACATGGCTTCAAGGCTTTCCCCCTTTTTCTAATTCCTGTTTGTCATGTTATTCATTTTAATGATGGCTTTGCTAGAGATTTGATTTTCTGCTGTTTTTGTTGTATAGTTTTGGAATGACTGAATATTGTTTAATTTTTTATAAGCCACCATGTGGAAAGGTGGGATATAAATAGATTAAATTGATACAATCTAAAAAAGCATCTGAATGTGCCCCTTTGATATGAGAAACATATTTCTCCCAGATAAATCCTCTACTGTGGAACAGTAGGTGAGCTATATATTCATCTCAGGAGTTTTTAAAGCTGCAAATGTCTCTCTAGCACACCAGCAACAAAATGCACACATCAGGGGAAAGCGAGCAGTTTTACTTTCAGTACTGCAGCTCTATTGTTGAACACAAGGACCCAAAAATAAGTGGAGGTAATGTCACATACATATTGCTTTCATCAAAATGAAGATAATTAACAATATATATAGCAGATGAAGTAGTAAGAAAAATGATATTGTTTGATCCAGTACATCTACTGATGAAGAGCTGATATTATCCATTTCATGCTCAAATGTCTCAACCATTTCAATAATCCTCCAATTTTTGTAATAAATCTTTATGCAGAAGGGAATAACCTTGCTAATATATCCCTTAGTTACATGTTTGTTTTATACAAAGCTGCATAAGGCATATGTAAAGTATACATGCTGCATAAATAAGACATCAATTGCAAATAGAGGCATTAAGATGCAAAACACAGCCTTGAATGCGACATATGCAGGAACAAAATCACGTTAAAACTGTAAAATGCAAGGAAACATCACTCAGTTTTCCGAAGAGAACCCACAATAAAATAAGTGAATACAAAAGGTTTGCCTGTGCATAATCAAATTATATCCTGATAGACTGCAGATCATTTCAGTGAATTTAAGCTGTACTATACTCCCATTGCTTAAAGAATAACAGCGAGTGATACCACATCAGTATATTAATGTACAAAACAGTTTTCTTAACATTTCCAAGCTAGTGTACGAAATAATGCAAAAGTGGAATTTGTACATCTCTACACACACACACACACACACACACACACACACACACACACACACACACAGAGAAGAGAGAGTTGGGTAGCTAAAATAAGTAAAAACAAAGGCTCTGGACCTACCTGTGTGACCATACTTTGCATGTATGGTACTGGATGTTGCTGTTGCTGTTGCTGCTTTTGCTGAGCAGCACTTTCTATTGCTACTTTTGCTACAGTACTTGGATCTGCTCCAGCTGGCACAGCAACCATAGTTGCACTGCAGCCAGCCTTGTTAGGGTCACTGATTGTAACAATTCTAACTCCTACTTTATTTGGGATTCCTGGAACATTTTCCCTATCGTTATCCTCTGCTGGCCTCTTTACAGTTTTGCATTCTGCTGTGCCATTAGTCGACCGAACTTCAGATGACAGGGTAGCCAGGGGCCCACGAGGTCCTGAGTGTGGAACTGCTATGATTTGATGCCCCTGTATAACAGAGGCTGTTGACTGTGGCGAAACTACTACACTTGGGCGTTGCTGAGGCACATCTGAATTCAAACTTGAAGCTAGAGGTCCATTAGGTACATCAGCAATGGTACCACTAAGTTGCTGGGTTAACAGTTTTGAAGCCTCTTGTGTACTGCTGACAGCAGACGTAGTACCCAAACCTAATACAGGTCCGTTGGAAAATCTTTCCCCTTGATCACCTTTGGCAGCATCTTGTTGTGTGGCATCCATATTCCCTTGTTCTACTGGAGAAATCTCACCATTTCCTACATGATTGGAAGTTTTGTGATTTGGAATGTTTTTGCTTAAATGGGAACCATCGCCTTTTTCAAAGTCACAGATTCCATTAACAAGGGGTTTCCTCAAATCACTTTTAATTTCCTGCGTTTCTGGTTGCTCAGAGTTCTGCTTTCCAAGAGCTCCGTTTTCACCCAAGTCTAACGACGGTCCATTACTGACCTGCGAGAACTGATTGGCCTCATTCTGAGTTTTCCCTGAGTTAGCTGGAGGTAGACTGGAGTCATGTTTTCTTCCGTTTAGAAGACTTCCCGCTTGTGTTTCGTTTTCCTTTGCATCGCCATTGCTGGTGTTTGCAGCTCCTCTTCGGCAAGAAGGGTTCTCCATGACCTCGATTTTACGCTCGTGAATATGTAAACCTGTTGCCTCCTTTGCTTCTTCTTCCTTTTGGCAAATGATTTTGTCTCCTTTGAACGGGGGAGCAGCAGCAGAACATGACGATTGTCCAGCTAGAGGTGCCTGGGTAGGTGGAAGCGTTTGCACCTGCAGCCCAACTCCTGCCTGAGTGCCACTCACCGCAATTCCAGCTGGAGCAATGATCGCATTTCCCTGACTCACAGTTGCCGTAGCAAAACTAGTATTTGGCACAACTGTTATGGTGACCTGATTGCCAGAAGTCCCCTGGAAAATGGTTGCTGGACTATTTGAGATCAACTGGCCTGGCAATATTTGTAAATTGGAAATGGGAACTGTTTGGACTGTTCCTTGGGGCTGGATTGCACTCTGCACCAACTGAACGTTTTGCTGTCCAACTAGGAGTGGCTGAGCTGAAGACTGCCCTTGAACTCCAAAACTTGGTGTTTGGTTATTTGCCATCTGATAAACCACTTGAGGGCTGGGAGCTCTTGCGTTGTTTGGAGGAGGAATCTGCGGCGCTGGGAGAATTAGCTTGCCTCCAGGAGTCGATGGGCCTCGCTTAGGAAGCAACAGCTGTTTTATCAGGCTTGACTCACTAGGAGGAGGCTGGCCCACTGCTGGGTTATTTTGCTGCGACTGAACTTGCATCTGTACCTGCTGTTGCTGCTGGACTTGTATCTGTGGCTGGGACGGTGCTGGTGAATGCTGCTGCTGCTGCTGCTGCTGCCTCTTCACAGAAAGCATCTGGCTGACCGTGGGAGGGGGTCCTTGCGTTTGCGGGGTGAGCGGTGGAGAGGATATTACGGTAGGGACTTGATTATTTGAAATTGGTCCAGGTGACGGGGAGGAAGCTGGCGTTAGGTTTGGCTGCCCACCCAACTGGACAGCTTGGCCAGTGGGTATCGAAGCGGGATTGGTAAGAACAATTTGGTGAATGGCTGGTGCGTACGTTGAACCTTGCTGAGCTGGCTGGCTTACGATCACGACACTTTGCTGAGGTGGTGGAGGCTGCTGTTGCTGTGATGGCTGCATGGGCTGCTGTACCACTGTTGCGGGAACTTGCTGAGAAGGGAGGGGCTTTGGTGCAATGTTCTGAAACCCTACTCTAGATGTCGGTGGATTTTGGACGCCAGCGATCGTAACCACCTGTCCAGCAGCAACTTGGAAATTCTGAACTGTAGTAGCAGTAACTATATTGGAAGATGAAGTTGTGACATACTGCTGAGGTGCTATGATGACCGTGTCTTGTTGCTGGTTACCAGCTGTGGACTGCTGAGATGATGTTTGTACTGGCTGTGATGATGTGGTAATGAGCTGTTGACTCTGGGAAACGGCTGATGTGCATGCTGGTATGTTCTGTACTCTGCCAAATATATGGCCCTGAGGTACAGCTTGTTGAATTACCGTAACAGGAGTGCCTGAGGGTATTTGTCCCGGTACCACCGCGTGCAAAGGGGACTGCTGAATTACAGGTTGATGAAGCAAAGTCTGAGAGCTGACAACAGTAACGGAGGGCTGTGGCCCTGCAATGCTAGGATTCTGATTGGAAGGTTGTGCGCCACCGCCTACAGCGATAGTAACAGGAACTGCAGACTGGGGAACGGTGCTCTGTATGACTGTGGCCTTGACTACTTCACAAGAAATTGGAGCTTTGTTCTGTATGACCGTCATGGGAGCATTTTGTTGTTGCTGACTGTGAACTGAAGGGTTCTGTAGTATCCTGGAGCCAGTCTGTACCACTGCAGGTGCACCTTGAATAGGAAAAGACATTTGTGTTGCAGTTAGAGTTGAAGACTGATTGTTAATAGAGGTCCTTGGAAAATAGTTTCCAACACTTGGCGGTCCATGTGGGAGTCCTGTAGACCAAATAAAATGGGGGGGGGGAGGCCATTAGTAGGAACCTTGAGATTATAGCAAGCAACATTTCAAAGTAGAAGTATTATTAGTTAACTTAAACACGCATGGTTTTTTAATTAGCTTTGGAGTCAGCACTAACCACAGTACATACCAGACAGAGGTTCAAGTATCTATCACTGTACTTGGTGTCCATGTATGTCCCTTCCTCTCCTTATAACTCCAAGGGCCAACAATGGTGTGGAATGCCATCATAAGGAGATAAAGAACTACAGAACTTTTAGAAGACATTTGAAGGCAGCCATGTATCAGTAAGTTTGACTTTTCATGTTTTTATATATGTTGGAAGCAGCCCAGAGTGCCTGAAGCAATCCAGCCAGACAGGTGGGGTATAAATAATAAAATTGTTGTTGTTGTTATGGTTCACCCCAGATGAATGCCCAATTTGCCAGGTACACATGACCTGCTTTTGGATGACATCAGTGTGCTACAAAATGCAGGCTTACGATTTAAGTTGTTAAATAATAATTTGCATTATTTACATCAACTAACATGGAAACCAGCTGAAGTAATCTCCTCTACCCCCAGAAAAAATGGTTTCCAAAGCATTGTAGTGTTGTCTCCAGGGTTGTGTATGTGTATATCTGCATATCATATTTTTCCGTGTATAAGACTAGGTTTTTCCCCTTTAAAATGTCAAAAATTAGGGGGCGTCTTATACATGGATACATCTCCCCCCCCCATTTTCTTAAATCTGAGTCCCCAAAAATAGGGGGCATCTTATAGACAGAAAAATATGGTGATTTCACACACCAGCCCACCATGCAGTACACTTATATCATGTATATCTTGCTTTTGGAAAAAAAATCACAATTCCAGGGCAGCTTAGTAAACACATGGCTTTGGAACACAGGCTCCCCCTCAGCCTCCATGTAGAATGTCAGGTACTGCCCTGCACATCAGCAGGAATGTCTCACCCATATGATCTGCATGCCTTCTCTTTGTAGTGGAAAGATCATATGGCAGGCTATACATAATCAACTGCATCAGACTCTAGATGCAGAAAAGAGCCAGAATGCATGTGCGTGTAACCTTAGTTCCCATGCCACACTGGGTATATATGTCTCTATGGGTAGCAGCAAACTGCGGGAGGCAGTGGAAGACAGGCGTGCTTTGGTCCATGGGGTCACGAAGAGTTGACTAAACAACAACAACAATGGGTAGCAGCATGTATAGTGGCCAGACCTGCCTTCCCAACACGGGTGTCACTCTTGTTTAGCCGCATGGGGTGGTGGAGAAGTTGGGGCTGTGTGGGTTCACTGATGGACAAAGCATACTGGCATTATGCTCCTGCTGCTGCCCCTGCATGACTCCAACCTTGCCAGCTAGGGCAGCACCATCCCAAAACATGCGCGACTCTTGGTCAACATACGACATAATACTGCAGTACTTGAACCAGCCCAACATTTTATGCTCTGAATCAATTCAAAACTCAACATAAAATATTCACAGTGCATAAATTACCTGCTGGTGAAGGAGAAGGAGCTACATCAGGAACAGAATCAACCCGAAGGACGGGGGTTGTCGAAGGTTGTTGCTGATAGTACATCTGAATAGGGAGAGGTATAGCCCTCCTTTTCACTCCTAACACATGAATATGTGCCTGCCCATTGTTATTTGTATCCTCTATTCTCTTCACTGAGTGATTGGGAAAGACAGTTCTGCCAAACACAAGCAAGCAAACAAACACATTATTGGTAGCAGTGATATACTAATTCATTTTGCTCGCTTTTTTCAATGATCTTCTGAGCATAAAATCTAGCTTTGTATGCAAGTATATTTTCTAAGTATTGTGGTAAACTACGTCAGAAAAACCATTCCTCAAGGCAATTGATGGACATTTCAGTTTCCTGCCAAACGTGAGGGTTCTGAAGTAGCGATTATATCAGTGCTTCCCAACCAAGCCTGCTGTAAGCAATGATCAGTTCATGTTTCAGCACCAAGGAAGTGTGGGCATTGGCAATGGAATTGGTATGGAGAAGAGAACACAGTAGTGGAGCACTTGGGAAGAAGAATGGATCAGAGGGAGACAGAAAACGAGTGCTGGAAGAAAAATAGTACTGAATTCCATCCAGTTATTTTTAAAACAGGGAACAGCACAGGAAGGAAACTGTGCCTTCTAAGCCTGAGAAAATTTCAAAAAGGCAATGGAGTACATATGGGCCATGGCAATGATTGCTATTTAAGGGCGAGGTGGAAATCTAAGGCAAGAAAGAAAAAGCACTATAAAATGTTCTAGATTTCCTCAGCACAGTATGCTGCTTGCATCCCACAGCTACTTTTTTCTTATAGATCAGCAGGTTCAAAGGAAGGTCTCCCAGACTCTTGGCTCCAGGTTTTAGGTTTGGGTTTTCAAAAGATAGCTAAGATAAAATGAAAAACCCACACGGAATGTTTGAAAATAGCAAAAACAATGGTTATACCAACAACTGCCACCTTTAACAATACAAGATGGTCATATCCATAGCACACTTTCTCCTTAAATTTGCAAATCAATACAAACTGCAGAACACCACACATCCCCAGGCTGTGATTTATTCTGTGAATAAGTTAAACTTACCGAAGACATTTATAAAATCCAGTTGATGTTAGGATTCCACCGCGAGCTAGTTTGCTGCACGTGGAGAGGTATTCAGAGTACATTTCAGCTCGGGAGATTGAACAATCTGGATTGACCTCAAAATGGGCATTCAACCTAAGGAAACGATTTGGGAGAGAGAAACAAACTATATAAGCACATATGCAAAAACTAACTGGCTTACTGTTCTGCAACCATGTTTTTCAAACTTTTTAAGAAGCACTTCCTACATCTACATTTCTGACAAAGAGCCTCTGTGCACTGCATAAGGTTCTGGATGCAACTCCAGTTCCATGGGGCACTGGCTGGCCTTTGGATCTCTTCCACTGCCCTGCAAAATAAAGTCTCTTCATGGCTTTGATATTACTTTGGAATGTTTTCCAGTTACACAGGCAGCCTGGTAAGCACCTGTATAGATGGCAATACAGTAGGTCTGGCACCTCTTGAAAAAGACTATACAGTTGCTTATTCCTACAGTATGATAATGAATTTTATATTCCAATGAATATAGTATAGGATGGTGCTATGGTGGCCTAATGTAAAGGCTAATATATCAGTGTTTCTTCAACAGAAATTATCACACTAAGCTGTGCTTCCTTGATATAAACATTTCTGAACTACACACACACACACACAGAGAGAGAGAGAGAGAGAGAGAGAGACAGAGACATAGTGCTTATGTATGAAAATGTGCAAATCTATGAAAACATTTAAGCACGGGATGTAACAAGAAAGAAAGAAAGAAAGAAAGAAAGAAAGAAAGAGCAGAACATACAACAGCCATCTTAATACAAGGGTAAAAATCAAGCCCCTTGCTGTGAAGATATAATTAAATGCTTTATGCTCTTATCTGAAAACCAAGACACTTAAAATAGAAAGGAATACTGTATCATTCAGCCTTTCTTGAAAAGGCTGTGCACTACTACACAGCAATGTTCAAATTAGCTGATTAATATTTCTTCTAAACAACATCAGAATATTTTTATTTCTAAAATATACATCAACCTTTAAAATGAAAATATTTTAAATTTAAACATTCTCCTATGGTTGGCTTTCTCTCCCAGCATTAAAATCCTTGAATTATGTACTCACCACTGGCATGCAAATTTTTCACTGTCAATTTCTACTATTCCTGGTGGTGGAGCAACATGTGGTGCTCTTGATGCTATGGAACAGAAATAACAGTCAGGGTCAAGGATTTAAACCACCACCTCACCACCCTTTTCATTTGTTTAGTTTCCACCCCTTACTATTTCTCAAACGTGTATTTGGACTTGTTTTCCTGAGAGCAACTCTGCCTGAAGGTAGTGGAGCTTGCATTTATTTGGTGTCCAATGCCATCAGTGCTGAATGCAAGCCAGGGTCCCAAAGAAACACTCTAAGGCTCCCAATTGTTCCTTTGCAGCCATGGCTTTATCTAGCCCATACCTGACGTCTGATGAATTAACAGGTGGGTGTAGCTAGCTCAAAGTGGCCTGGTGTGCCCAACTGGGAGGCCTGGCTAGCCTAATTAGGTCCACGGGCTGGAGGATCCCCAACAATGCAGTAAAAGGTGAACACCATACACTATACAATATAATTTTTATATAATTTGTTTAGCAACAGCAATACTAACCTGGGGTAGTATGTGATGGAACCTGCTCCACTTGCTGCTGCCTGATATCGGAGAGTAGATGGCTCGTACTCTGATGTTCGACAAGTTTTACAGCCCCGAGTGCATCTGATCCAAACATCTGGATGTCCATTGAGACCAGACATACTAATGTATCTGAATCATTAATATTAATCATATTAATATTAACACAATAGAAACTGAAGGACAATTCATTTATTACGCTTTCTCTATTCAACTGATGAAAATGAAAATAGCTTTATAAGTTTGGTATATGCATTTTTCTTGGCCTGGTATTTATTATTGCATTTAACTCATAATTTTATATACTACTTGATTGTAAAAACCCCTCAAAGGAGGTATTATACTGAAATCATAATTGAAGAATCCAGATATCTGCTTTTGCATTTAGTATAATCTTGGGTGGGGGGGAACAGATTCAGTTATTTGAAGATGTTCTAGGAAGACCATGTTTCTTATGAATGTGTCAACTTGATAATAAAGCGTAGCATCAGACATAGAATCCAGTACTTAGTATGGACTCTTGAGAATCTAAGGTATTAAAAGAAACCATATTCTAATGCAGGGGTCAGCAAACTTTTTCAGCAAGGGGCTGGTCCACTGTCCCTCAGACCTTGTGGAGGGCCGGACTATATTTTGGAAGAAAAATATGAATGAATTCCTATGCCCCACAAATAACCCAGAGATGCATTTTAAATAAATTCTACTCATGTAAAAACACGCTGATTCCCGGACCGTCCACGGGCTGGATTTAGAAGGCGATTGGGCCGGATCTGGCCCCTGGGCCTTAGTTTGCCTACCCATGTTCTAATGGACAAAAATGGAAAGTATCAAAAGAGCCTCCAGATCACAAGATAGTCATCCTTCGTTGGTGGTTTTTAGTCATGCTACCTGCATATTAATCTGCTACCTTCCATAGTTTACTATTAACTTTTCTTGACTTTGTATCACTCTTTTCATCCACCCTCTTTCTGTAAATACTCAACTACTGAGATCAGAACAAAGCATGCAAACTAAGCAAGTTTACACAACTTACTTATTGGCATAATTTATTTTGTGCACAGTTTTGTGCAACCTTCCTCGTTGAAAATATGCATTTCTTTGGTGCAAATGACAAAAAACTGCACTGCAACAGCCTTACTTTTATGTAGCACTTTTAATTTTCAAAAGTCCTTTACAATTCTTGTTTGTGTTGGGTTTTTTTTTTGGGGGGGGAAATGTATGACTCCAACTTTACAAATGGGTAACAGTGTCTGCGAAATAGGAATTGGCTAAGATCACAGCGGGACGCGGGTGGTGCTGTGGGTAAAACCTCAGCGCCTAGGGCTTGCCAATCGCATGGTCGGTGGTTCGAATCCCGCGGCGGGGTGAGCTCCCGTCTTTCGGCCCCAGCTCCTGCCCACCTAGCAGTTCGAAAGCACCCCTAAGTGCAAGTAGATAAATAGGTACCGCTTTATAGCGGGAACGTAAATGGCGTTTCCGTGTGCTGCGCTGGTGCTGGCTCGCCAGAGAAGCTTCGTCACGCTGGCCACGTGACCCGGAAATGTCTCCGGACAGCGCTGGCCCCCGGTCTCTTAAGTGAGATGGGCGCACAACCCTAAAGTCGGACACGACTGGCCCGTACGGGCAGGGGTACCTTTACCTTTTAAGATCACAGCACAATAAGTTTTTGTGGCACAATGGGAACTTGAACCAATGCCTTTACAATCCAACTCAAACTCTCTACCCACTGAACTGTATTAACTGTTGTTTACTTAATAAGAAACATGTCTGTGAGCCTATAGCTAAGGATATTGATAATTTCAAAAAATTGCTCTTACCTATGCTTTTGTCAACTTTTGCTATCTTAGTACAAGCCACTTCACCCATTTCAGTGAGCATATAGAGCACTTCCAAAGCTGATATGACAAGTAACACATCAGGCAAAGTGAGATGACAGATGATTTCTTTGTAGGATTCTTGATCTACATATTCACAAATTAAGACACCATTGTCCTCAGCTTTACAAAGATTAGCCAAGATTTCCATGCCTGAAACAAAAACAAATATTTTAGAACCAAACATCTTTATCCTCAATTATCCAGACTAGAAGTAATAACCACATAACAGCTTACCCCTCATTTTTAAGAATCTATCTCTTGCCATTAAGCATTTTGTAACAGTATGAAACATTAGATGAGTTGTTTTGAAATCAACAGGGTCCAATAGAAGCTGAAAAAGAAAGAAAGCACTTTTACCTGAGTGATGTACTTATAATGGAGAATAATATTTACAATCACCGAAATGATTAGAAAGATGTCACATTCAATACTGAAAACATTTTCAAATGGATGCTATATCATTTCCACTACTGTGGATAAGTAAAGCTTGTTCTTCATTAACTTTCACTGTTTTTATTACCACTAAATTCAGTCTCGTGTATGAAATTTTGAAAGCAAAAGGAAATAACAGTCCAAATCCATTCATTTCTACTAAAAATTCTCTCTGAGTTCAATGAAAATTATTGCCAAGTAAATGTGCAGAGGATTGCAGCCTAAGGTTACAGTTCTATCTGTTCTTATCTGGCACCCCAGTGAAAACAAAAGGATTTATTTTTGAGTAAGCATGTATAGGATTGTTCTGTATGGCTTTGTTTGCACTACTTTATGGCTTGTTTAGATTATATTGGAAGGCCAGCCAATAGCTTTAAACATACCAGGAAAAATAAGCATTAAATGTATAGGACATTTCCAGAATTTGAAGAGATTAGGGCCCTTTTGAATACACCACAAAGGAAGTCTAAAACAGCCACTTTTACTGTATTAAGAATGCACTGGGCGCAAGCTAGGAGAACAGTAGCCAATCTTCAGTGTTAAATGTAAAAGTATTATTGACAATATCTGGATTTTGATTTTAGTGAAGGGTTACATTTCGGGTGAGGGTATGAAATCTAATTGTTTAATCTCATCCCAGACAAAGAACAGGGATACTACTTTGAAACAAAACAAACAACCCATATCTTTACATCCAAATGAGGCATTCCATGATTACAAGTACATGCTATGAAGAACACAGGGATACAATTTCAGTGGACTAAAAATATCTGCAGAAACTTGCTGTTCTCGAAAATATTTGAAGAGATAATAAGAAACAACAGGAAAGAGTCTGGAAGATCTCTAGTCCCCTTTTATATGAGAATCCTTAATGTTTAAACTCAATCCAGCCTTGGGATTCAAGCCTTTTAACTCATAAAGAGCATATTTTGAATTTGTTTCTTACCTCTGCGGCAATGTTTCCTAATGTGTCAAGCCCCAACTGTCTTAGAGAAATAAAATGACTGTGAGCAGAGAGTAATAAGAAACGAAGACAGGTACGATTAGCTGCCAACAGCTTTACATTTCCCTCCTCAAAGGAAAGATTTCGTAAAATCACTGCAATTTGGAGAACCCGTTGTCCTTCAATATCGTTAATGCCCAACTTGCGTGGTGGATGAAATAAAGACTCCCATATCCAGTCTTCTGGTGTAGCATCTATAAAAGACAACACATTCACTTGAACAGTTTCTGCTCTAGATACCCCAGATATAATCCAATGCTCATTTGACGTAACTCACCTTGAGATTTGTTTCTGTCTGAAATGAGGTCACGTACTTCATTATCTTCAACAATATCCCTCCAAAACTGAACAAAAACAAACAAACATTGATTTATTTTTTTATTGCAAAGTTTCCTTGAACAAGGTAGCAGTCTGAAAAACCCATTGTGATGCGGGGGAAATGATGAGACTGATTACAATATCAGTATGTGTATCTGATTACAAAATGTGTATTTGAAGAAGTGTGCATGCACATAAAAGCTCATACCAAGAACAAACTTAGTTGGTTTCTAAAGTGTTACTGGACAATATATCTACCGTATTTTTTGCCCTATAAGACGCACTTTTTCCCCTCCAAAAATGAAGGGGAAATCTGTGTGCGTCCTATGGGGCGAATGCAGACTTTCGCTGAAGCATGGAGAGTGAGAGGGATTAGTGCGCACCGACCCCTCTCGCTCTCCAGGCTTCAGGAAGCTATCAGCAAACCTGGGGAGCCCGCAGGAGTTCCCTAGGCTGCGGAGAGCAGCCTGCTGTCTGGAGCATGGGGCGCGCTGAAGCAGAGCGCCCCGCGCTTTGGGCAGATATCCGCGGCTGGGGGGGGAGAATAATTTTTTTTCTTTATTTCCCCCCCAAAAAACTAGGTGCGTCCTATAGGGCGAAAAATACGGTATCTATCTATCTATCTACCTACCTACAATAACTTAGTTATGAAGCAAAAATCATGATAAAATTACAGTGCAGGATTGTACACTCCTGACCCAAAAGTACTATTTTGCCTTCAGCATTTAGCTGCATAGCTACAGATATGAAGTGACAGAATTATGCACTTCAAAAACTTATTCATGTTGTGCCTTTCTTTAACGAACAAATACCATCCATTTTTTTTGGTTGGATATTTGCATCTTTTTATTTAATGTGCTCAATTTATTTTCTTTCAATTTGGGATAAGCTGTGAACCTATAGATAGTCTTGGACTATGACTCCATATTACTTCAATCACCCTTGATTATTAGCTATGCTTGCTGGGGCTGGTGGAAGCTGAAGTCCCAATAACAACTAGAAGGACATTTGCTCCCCATTCTTGATGGCCAATGCTACAGCATCATTTTAAATCAAAACAACCACTGACGCAAAATAATTTCATGTTTAAAAGTAAAAGACATCAGCATGAATAACAAAACTCTAAGCCATCTGCCACCTTTTGTTATATGCTTATTTTTAATCCTATCAGTCTCTTGTTCTTCTATCTCTAAATGAAACTCGTATGTAGGGTCACTGTAAATATCATGGCAAGAAAGTGCAGCTAATTCACACTTGGTTGGGAGAGCAAGCATAAAAAGAACAGCTTAAACACTATTCCACTATTTGGGGGGGGAAATCAAAGAAGAAAATAAAATGTAACACTATATAACAATTTATGCAAACATGATCTCTTTATCAATTATTGAATGTACAGTAATAGAAATGACACGTCTAAAATCCACTTAATGCACGCCTTCATTAAAACATGAAACAATTACCGTATTTTTTGCACCATAACACTCACTTTTTTCCTCCTAGAAAGTAAGGGGAAATGTCTGTGCGTGTTATGGAGGAAATGCCTACGGGTGGCATGCCTACGGATTTTCCTCCTCTAAAAACGACGTGCATGTTATGGTCAGGTGCGTGTTATAGAGCGAAAAATACGGTAAGCATTTAAGTAGGGTGCACTATACTACTAAATATTAAAAAAGGAAAAAATAGAATTTCCAAAATATAGCTAATTTTAGAAGCAGTGTTACTAAATGGCATTCCTAAGTAATTCTTTTTAAAACTGTGCTATCATACTAGATACACTGTAACAATTATAAATAGATTTTGGAAAACATCCAAGCTTCCTATTTAAAAAATCCTCACAACATAACTGAAGCTCCTGTTACTGCTATCACTAAACAATGAGACATTCCTGGACTATCTTTCCTCGGGACACAAATATTCAACGGATGTAACAGGTCAAACATATATAATTTGGTACATTTATTTATGCACCCCTAGCAATAACTATTTGTGGCCTTTTTGGTGTAACGACCAAATGACATGCGACACAATTCTTCCCCCTGGAAGCACAGCACCCATATGTAGAAGGATCCCCCAAAAGATGCAAACAGAGCGTTCCCCAACCCAGCAATATGAATGCATAGTCATTCAGCGCACCAGGCTATTGTGGTGGTACCTTGGTTCTCAAACACCTTGGTTCTCAAACGCTGAAAACCCCGAAGTAAGTGTTTAGGTTTTTGAACGTTTTTCAGAAGCCGAATGTCCGATGTGACTGTTGGCTATTGTTTCCGGGGCATCTGCACCAATCAGAAGCTTCGCCTTGGTTTTCGAACATTTCGGAAGTCAAACAGACTTCCGGAACAGATTAAGTTTGGCGCTTTTGTTTTTGCTATTTATTTTGTGTTTTTCGTGAATTTGTTTTTGTGACTGTGTGAAACCCAGTTCAGCTACTGATTGGTTGATTGATTGCGTGACTGTGGAAATGGATAAAAGCCCCCCCATCCAAACAATGACTATCATCAGTGCAGGTAAGGGGAAAAAATAATTTTAATTTTTATCATCTACAATACTCTTATTTATTTTATAGTACAGTACACTGATTATTGCTTTAATTTAATGGATCACTGTTCTCGTTAGACAGCAAAATTCATGTTAAATTGCTGTTTTAGGGGTTTTTTTTAAAGGCTGGAACAGATTAATCCGTTTTGCATTGCTTTCCATGGGAAAGTGCTCCTTGGTTTTGGAATGCTTTGGTTTTGGAACAGACTTCCAGAACGGATTAAGTTTGAGAACCAAGGTACCACTGTACAGCTACCAAATTCTGGCCCATTCCACTTCCTCCAAGCTTGTATTGTTTTTAACTGAGTGGAAAGTATGGGCTGGGAGGCAATATGGGATTGCATGCATCCTTTGCCATTAACAACTGTTTGCAGTGAAGGGACATGGCGTCAATTTTAAGTGGTGCTGTGCTACAACTGCTAGACGAATAAAACTTTGGACACTTTTCTCAAACAGATGTTTTTATTAGAAAACCAATATTTCAATGAGATAAAGATAAAACCCTCAGCAAGAAACCATTTTTAATTACTGAATGCTACCGTTTTTGCTATGAAGGCAAATTGACATTCTCCGCATTTCTCCTATTGTTATTAATCTTATCTTCAGACTTTATACTTTTTTCTCTGTGAAATAGATTTATATTTAAAATAGTATTAGCTAATTGCCTGAAAAATGTATATATGGAAACTTTTTCACTAGTGCCTAAGAAATGTTAAATCTGGGCAGAAAAGTCACATTTACTTCATAGATACAGAGGTCCTTTTTAGTTTCACACACTTCTGTCAATAAAATTAAATTACATATTTTAAAATGTATTTCGTTTTTATGATCTCAAGTGCCTCAAATTCGGTTTCAAAAGTGTCAAATTCTGGATTATTTTCATCAACACATGAACATATATAATACAATCCACCTGTACTGTCATTATTTGCTTGTTGCAAAAACTGATGAAGTAATTAATAATTCTTACATATTAACACAAAAAGATGCTTTACCTTAAGTTTTCTTGTTAGTGGATTAATACAGCTGATCGTGCCCTCTAGTGGGCAAACAAATGTTTTGGGGCTCTTAAATAAAGCATCTCTAATACATCCACTGTGTGCATGAAATGCTATATTTTGGGACCTAGTATATAGTGCTCACGGCACAGAACCACCTGAATTGTTTATCACACACATAGGTCAAAATATGGCATACAAGGCTGAGTGGTGGTGTGCAACATGCAACAATGCAGTGTCTTCTCAAGGAACAGTACACACAGCCTATCGTGAACACTATCCACGCTCAACAAAATAACTGACATGGGTGTGCAAACTTGGTTGCATGAAACTCAGCTAAGTTGTACATATAACTTTGGAGCTGACTAAGGAGACTTTCACACATTCTAAATGCTGTTTCTCAATACTAATCTACAATAACACAGTCGCTGTATTATTACCTCCAGCAGCACCTACTGGGGAGAAGGAAGCTTTCAATCTATCCCTGCACCTACCCACTTATTTGAAATACCTGAGAGCTCTTTATTTGATCCACTCTAAATAAAATTCCCTTCTCTTTAGTCTAGCTTTGTCACTACTATTTAAGCACAATGTTTAAGCTGCACTGTTAAACTGTAAGGCTCTATCACACATTTTTTTTGACATGCTGTTTTTAAAACTATATTTTTAAAAATTACCTTAACAAAATCTCTATCCGTTTTCTCCTTCCATTCTTCACCAAACACAGTAGAAAATGAACCTAAAGCTATGAGTTAAAAAGCATTAAAGTTACAATTAAAAATTGTCCATAAACAGCTGTGACAATACTATAGATAATTTGAAAACAGTGTAATTTTGCGGTATTGTGGCCAGCCAATCTTATTCAGTTGCAATATACTTTTCTACTACCAATATTACAGTTTATTAGAAGTAGCATAAATATGTTTTTAAATTGTTTTGAGTTATGTCTTCTGCTTGGAGTGGGGTATTTACAACATGGAGAAGAGTGCTTTCTTTTGAAGGGCAATAGCCCATTATATCAACTCATCTAAAGCTGCATGAATTGGACTACTGTTAAGTAGAATGGGGGGGGGGAGTTCTTTTATCAATCCTGAATAATAAAGGAACTACCTGCTATAATTATGCCACAGGCTAAACAAGCCAGGAAGAAGAAAAAATGAGTGAAAAATCTATGCTGAAGAAGTAAACTCTACGTTGTGAAAATTCAAATGTTGTGCTTAAAAACATTATGCAAATAACATTCAAAGAAACTTGCTTAGTTGCATAAAGCTGTTCATTTTGCTTGCTTTGATCTGAATCTCATATTTGAGTTCTCGCACAAAGTAGAATTTTCTTGAAAGGAACTAGCATGGCAAAAAGGCGATAACTTCAAGCCACATATTTCTTAGGTGCACACAATTCCGTGCATGTTGGTGTCCTCTGTCTACAGTTTCCAGCCTGCCTAGAAACCTACTTAAAAAAAAAAGTGGAAATGCAGACACCTAGAAATCTGTCCACATTTAGATCCTACAGTGTATGTAAAGAAGGCATCCTGGTTCCTTTCTAAGATGCATTAGTGGGTAGTAGGTATAAAAAGGTTGAATACCCCTGGGCTAAACCCTAAAAGGTTCATTGAACTATTTGAGATAACCACAGGAATTGATGTAGTTAGTTCCAAGGCTCATCCTATTCTCTGAACAAAGGAATGTTCTATGTGCACAAGAAACTGACATGTGTGAATGGAGTGTCTCCTTTATTACAGAGAATGGGAAATCTCTGCATACCCGAGCCTTTAGACTGCACTCTTCAAGTCTAAATACTTGATTTTTAGGATCTGGACAACTGACTTATATGCAATGCTGATCAAAGTTTGATAACAAGCAGCTGCATAGAATTCAAATCCTAAAATTTACTCTCTGGAATATGCCCGCAATATGGAATATTTTTTTAAGGCAGATGTGAAACCCCCCCCACCAAAAAAATGCATCTCTTATGCTCTCTTTTTGGAGTGATAATAGTGTTATACAGCTATGTTGAAACACACATTTCTCTAGGTACCAGAGTAAAATTTTACACAGGAAGTTTAGTTCTGTCTTCAGCTGGAAGCTGGCCAGCTGCAGACTCTCTGATTTAATCCAAATTGGCCTTTATGGCAGGAGTTCAACATCAAATTCTGTCAGTTTCAATAAATATAATGGCTGTATTCAGATGTCACACTCAACCATAGTTTAGTAAGACTCCACTCTTTTTTCCTCTTCTTCAGCAATGCAGTCTCTTCTCAGTCTCTTCTCCTTCGGGTGCAGCAGTTAATGCTAACTATGGTTTGTTTAACAAGCCAGCTTCATAATTCATGAAGCATTATCCATAATCAAAGTTTGTGTAGTCTGAAGACAACAAGCAGCAGCAAATCTAACCTGGAAGTGGAAGTTTCCTAATTCCTCTTTGTAGCCAAATCAGAAGTAGGGAGAAGGGCAACAGCCCAAGGCTTGCTGCAGCTCATGCATCCTACATTAACCTATGGTTTAGTATGATATCCAAATGTGGCCAGTAGCTGCATACATGCCCTTTTACCAGTGGTTCAAAAGCACATCTCTTCAGCAATTATTCTCACCTAAATCTCTGGCTGCAAGAAACAAATAGCCCCCCCCTCTCCCCAAAACCCCATTAGTTTGTTTATTCCAGTCTTCATAAACACATATTTGGCCATGATCCTTGTTCTACTCTAGACTAAGAAAGCAAGACATGATTAACCATTTCAAGAAAACACAAGAGATGCTTGAAATACTGAAACTTGTTTGAAATTCAAACTATTGTGAAATATTAAAGAAAGAAAAGAAAGTTACAAAAACTTGCACAAGTGTGCTATAGAAGCAATGAGACCGGAAGGATCTCAGCAGAAGAACACTGCAGGATACAGAACTACTGGACAAAAAGTGGGTCAGCTTACTGGAGGTAATAGAATCAGCGTCATTTTAACTTTGGTGTATCATCTCACCAGTGACTTGCGAGAACTTTAGGGTCAAGTACCAATCCAAAATATCCCCTCAGTTCAGGGGTTGGTTCATAGATGAAATTATTGGAATATTGTTTCTACATATTAGGCTGCTATTAATAGCCCTGTCTTGTGCACCTTTTCTCAGAAATGTAGTAACTATTTGTTTAAGGCTGAGGAAAGAAAGAAAATTCTATGTTGGGAACCATTAGGAAAGGGACTGAAAAGGAAATATCCTCTAGAATAATAGCGCTATAGACAATCAAGGATGTGCACAGATCTGTCAACAGACTTAGTCATGGTAGCTAAATGGAATGTACAGATGCATGGCTGGGATTCCTCTGAATGTCAGTGGCTGGGAAGAGACGCAGTGATGTTAAAGACTGCTGCCTTCACAGACTTTTGTAGGCATCCCAGAAACATCTGGTTGGCCAGTGCTGAAAGCAGGATGGTGAATCATCAGTCTGATTCAACAGGACTCTTCTTTTGTAGGATTATGAAACAGGTAGGATAGAAGATGGGAAAAGACAGAGCATGCAGAAGGAAAAGAGGAACAAGGAAACAACTCTGCTGCATACACTTGCTCATCAAAGGATTATTCAAAGTAGAAACTTACTGTCATCAAATACCCCAGCGTTAGCAAGCAGCAAAGTGATGATTTTGGGGTCCTTGTCAAGCTGCATAACGTGTTTGCTTTCATTTGATAGAAGAGTGCACACATTAATAGCAAAGTCCACTTCATTTGGGAGTCCAGATAACAGAGAAAGCACCAATTTACTATAGTCATTTGGCGAATTAAAGTCCATAGATAGCCCATAACTTTGTCGAAGAAAATCTATTTATAAAGGCAAAAATACATCATTAGCAACAATGCACCTGTAGGCTTTTTGTGCCATTTGTCCAACGGAAATCAAGGACAAATGGCGCTACCATCGACTAATTTGTCAAAAATTACCTGACACGCTGTGCTGCTGGTAATTATAGGAAGATGGAATTGCACCTATAGGAAGTTGAGGCTTTGGATTGCCTGGTTGTACCTCATCATCATCCTCTCCAAAGTGATGTACTTTCTCGTACTTTTCTAGATAACTGAAATAAAGAGCAAGGCTTTTTCACTATGTAGAACTTCATACTGTACAATCATACAATGCTAAAAAACTGTAAATTGCTTTAATTTAGCAGCTCAGTGAAACTTAATAAATTGAGGACTTCTTAAATAAATAGAACACACCATAGATCCAGACTATTAAGTTCTGATTTGAAGGGCACAATCATATTCCAAAACATCCATAATTGTATTTTATATAGGTTATTCTATAGCATTATATTTTAACTGCATTGCCGACCTTCAAACTTACTATTAAACTTTTGAAAATAAACAAACCCACCACCACAAACACTAAATGTACATTACAGCAGTTCTACTAGATACACCTACAACTGAAAAACTGAGTGTATTTTTTGCAGCTTGCTGATACCCACAAGCCTAATTCAGGTGCTGCCATTCAGGGTCAACGGAATTAGTTACAGACTTGAACAAAATCTTCAGTGTTGATCACTACCCCCATTGCTTTAATGTTTGATATTACTTCACACCAACATCTAGAAGGGTGACCAAGATCAGTGCCCTACTTAATGTAAGACATTTCAAAACATTGCCAAGCAAACCCAGTCAGCACAAAAGCAAGGATTAGCTCAGATGACCATCAAAATCAATGTTTGAAGATTTAGCAATAAATCAAAGCTCCATTCTTCACTGAAGGGAATGCGAAGGCAAAGCAGCACCCAGCTGGATTGAACCCCACCACTGCTGATGTCAACCTGAGATGTCAACTGATTGACATGTGAGTGTGGTTGGGGGGAAATGGCCTCATGGGCAAAGACTGACCTGTGAGTCCAAGGATCCCCACCTGTGCTTTAGAGGACTTGGATGAGATGTCTGAATTGGATCACTATATTTACACTCCCAGTGGTTCAGAGAAAGACTTTGCCCAAGAAAGGGATTTCAGAGTTTGTGGAAGACTTATGTAGACAATGACACCCCACCCAACTAAACTCAGTGGGAATTTCTTCCAAGTAAATATGAATAGGATCGGGCTCTTAGGATCAAAAAGGTGGACTCAGTCTCTCTCAAGGAAAAGTAGTCTCTTGGGGCCCAAGGACTTTCTAAGGCAAGGGCCTTTTAATTATGCCCAGTGAGATGAAGCACAGACTCTTAACACTTGTAAAATGAGCTTCTAGAGAACTATTCCTACCAAAAAGTTACCACATTCTAGCTTTAAGAACAGCAACATGCAGAGTACATTTTAAGAATATTATTTTCCACATGTACAAATATAAACTTTTACAAAAATGTTTTCAAAGTGATGATTTCATAGTTGTGGCAAATATATTTAATGAACAAAAAACATTTATTTTACAGATTAATTCAATTTGTCTCCCATTCACACTCAGAGTGGTCTATGGGGACTTCCATCGAGGAAGACCAAACATCCTTACCATCAGAGAAAGAAGTATATTGGGCACCTTCAGAACTTTCCTTGCTAAAAAGTGTGCTCTTTTAATAACAATTTCTGGTCTAGCCAGCCACTTCAGAATCCCACTCAACTCAACCTTGCTCTGTTTAAGCAAAGGGAGTAATATGTTCCTGAGTCATATATACAATTACTAATATGTAGAAACATTAGCATCCCCTTATCCTGTTTCCAGACAGTGAATATATGCATTGTATTTTTTTCTATTTTATAGTTCTATCCAACAGTCCTCAATCGAGTGAGAATACACCTGCAACAGCATACAAAAGAAAAAAGGGGGGGCAGCAACTGAACCACTTAAAACAAGAATTCAAACATACTAAGCACAAAATGGAGAGCAAGGATATTAAAAAAACAAAACAAAAAACTATACAAAGGCCTTTCTATAGCAGAAACAACAATTCAAACTCAAAAGCCTTTCTAGAGAGGGAAGTCTTGGCTAATTTGCCAAAGCTCGTAAAGGAGCTGGCAGGTGCACTTCTCTGGAAACTAAAAAAAGGGGTGGGGTAGGGGAAGCCACACAGAGAAGATCTAAGATCTAACTGCTCTCATTCTGCTTCCATGAACCAAGTAAGGACTCTCTGAAGATGCCAGATAATGTGAGGAGATGTCATTCTGGGCCCAGATTGTTAAATCAAGACTTCTGAAACCCGCTGATGCGCTGGCTAGGCCAGCCTTCCCCAAAGGCTGCACTGGCTACGACTGCTGGAAGTTGTAGCCCAAAACATCTGGAGAACATTAGGCTGGTGTCAGTACTGGTTTGAGGCACTACACAAATTACAGGGAAAATCTATGGTGCACATTTTCAAAACTGGCATCATGAGTCTAGTCCAAGGCAGTCTAGTCAAAAGTCTTACAGCTACTTTTTGCAACAGTTACGTTTTCACAACACACAAAAGACATGGAGCATGTTACAGTTGTGCAGCACAGAGAATGTAATTCTTGATGATTTATTATTATTATTATTCATTTATTGGCTCGGGGCACAATTTAACAGGAACATCGCCTACACAAACTTCAGTGAAATAGCAGCTGAGCTCCAATGCAAACTTAAAATCGTTTTGCATTTGTGTTACAAGCATTCCTGGTGGATTAAGCCCTTGCCCTCCTAATTCTGCCCCTTCCACTTTGAATTTTGGCTTAGCCAAAGCAGAGGGCGAGTTTTGTGCAAGCATTTTTATCATCAAAAGGCAAACCATTTACTTATATACTTGAAGTACTTATATACTGGTTTTCATGTCAAAGCTCTCTCAAGGCGGTCTACAGAAGTTAACTAAAACCATAAATCGATTTAAAAAACAAAAATAAAGCAGTAGTATTACACAAACTAAAAACAACTATACTTTAAATCTAACTCACATCACTAATAGAATGCAAATTGAAGTTTTAAAGTAAATTTAAAAAGTAACAAATACATCTTATACATCTTTTGGGATCTTTTTAAAAAAAAAAACTCAGAGTCTGGGGCACCTGCACAAGGGCACCAATAGAAGCCTTTACCAGTGCCATGGCACCCGCCAGGTTGACGACCCCTGATTTAGAGATTTGACTATAGCACTATGTAATGTTCAGTGTTTTCTGTATAAAACACAGAGGCATCCTGTACAGTAAAATAAAATATGCCACATAAATCTATTATATTCCCCCTTTTTTAAAAAAAATGTAAGTGATATGTGTCTAATCCTCCGATGAAAAGCTCCTGCACACATCCTGCTTCTAAAACCAAACTAGATTACAGTGGAAGTAGTTACCCATTTATGTTGTGGCATTAAGGAAACTGTATTTTAGCTGTCTCTGCGTTAGCATCAGTGATTGATTTCCCTACAGTCCACACTCTACCACAAGCTACAACATTTCTGAATTTTTGCTTTGCAAAGTGATGTTTGAGCAGATTTCTCATTTGTCTTTCTACTCCATTAATTGACTGCATTCACATTTTTATATGTTTAAGGTTCTCGACAGGTTCAAAACATTAGGGGAGTATCCACCACTGTGCAAGCAGCATTCCACTAACACAACAGGATTTCCTTTTTCTTTCTTCTTGTGGGCCCCCAAAATCTGTTCCAGACAGTTCCCCAAGCAGATTATGAGGGTGTATGGGGATGCACACAGAGAAGAGGAAATTAGGAAGAAGTTTAGCCTCATTGAAGGCCAGTATTTCAATGAGTAGGAAAATGAGAGTACTCCTAAACATTTCTTTTAGAAAAAAGTACTATCTGTCTATCATATTTATATTCTTTTATACACACATATTCATAATTTTAAAACTTCAGTGTATATGCCTTTCAAATACTGAAAAAAGTAACAGTTTGGTTACCTTCAGAGTGAACAGACATACCTGCCCCAGCAGAGTGCATGCCTGTAAGCTAAATATTCTTGCAGGGCTTATTTTCACAGTTAACGGGTGTGTCCTACCTTGGCTATAAGCCTACAGGGTGGGCATGAGAACTTGGGACAACTTTGCTGCTCTCGTACGGTCTTGGATTAGAATTCTGGCTTTGCCCCTAGCTTGGTTCCTTTTCTATCCTGTTTGTAGAAGTTGTGGGACTAAATCAGCTTTTGCCTGCTGCTGCATCCTGCTTAAATAAAGCTTCCTCTCTTACTCTCAAGTAAGAGCCTCTGCCATTGTGTCTGGGGCATGAGCTAGGATAGCATGGGATACAATAAAGCACTTTATGATTTAGAACCAAAGGAAGGACTTTATAGTTTAAAAACCATGGAATAGCACAACCCAGAGTACTACAATCTTGGTCTTGTAGAAAACTCATTTTAACACTGATGCTATTAATGGCATGCAAGCTATAGGACAAAGCTTTCCTATAAATCTCATCTGTTAATTCTCAGAGTGGCTAAAACATCTGTGCCCAGAGAACAGAGAATTTCCATTCTTGATATCACTAGTGCAATAAAGGCTGAAAACATGTACAAAGAGGGTTTTTAGAATGAATGTACACTAGCAGTACTGTTAGCTGTCCAATGCAAGCATAACAAATCAAAATAATACTGCAGCTACTTAATTTAATGTTTTAAAGTATGGCCTCAATGAGAAGCAGCCAAAAGCAATACACCGCTATACTACTTGGGGGAATGCTGAGATGGAGAAATGTTTTGGCTCAAACTAGAACCATTTCAATAGAAAAAAAAGTGTTGCATTTAGCATATGGGGAGAGCAGAAGCAGTTCTTCTAAACCAAGCAGCTATCTCCACTATCCAACTCTGTTTTCCTTGTGATACTCATGACTATTGCTGAATCAAAATCTGGCTGATAATCCAACCTATTTGAAATTAAATTCAAATGGTCAAGTTCCATAAGGGAAACTACTGTATCTAATATGAATTTAGGTCAGATTTGATAGAAAACTGGTTATCTTACACTGAGCACTTGAAAAGAAACTGGTAACACTATGGTGCTAAGGCATCAGCAATTGGCAGCCCTTGGGTAGTGTGTCATGTGGTCTCCCTATTGTCAACCCCAGACAGAAGAGAATGATACAGGGCAGCAGCATCTGTGACAATGAAACTTGGTGGCAAACTATGGGACTTTCCCCCTCCTTATCACAGTGGTCCTCTGACAAAATTAGGTTTCTGACCAGAGTCCCAGGCCTTTAATAAAAGCAAAGAGCAGTAGCATCTTAATGACTTGGGAGAGATTTGAGGTGGGGTGTGGAGTCTAAGCACACACAAACACAAACACTCCTTACAATAAAGAAAAGGAGTTATGTGGCTGAACGTTACCCTGATGCTTACTATTCCAAATGATTGCAAATAAATTGCAAACTTATTTCTCGGTTGTACATTAATATATCTTCTATAATAAGTTGATTTAGAAAATAGTACTATTTTCTGAATTGTATAGCAGGTTATGAAGTATGGAGTGACATGTAAATTATTACTTGTTTGATTTACAGTGAAGGTTATTGGAAGCAGTGACAGCAAAAAGAGAGAGAGAGAACGAAAGACAATCTCTTGTTTCTTCATAGACCACTGAACTGGCATGAAGCATATGGGGGCAGCTGAGTCCAAGTTTAACAGATTCTTTCATCATGACAATGGCAGAGCACGGGGGTGGGGGAGGACTTTAAATGTTAAGTAGCAATCAATTTTTAAACTGTCTAAATTAAGAGTTTACGATAATGCAATACTGAATAAAGAAAAGATCTCCGTGTTGTGCTGTTCTTTTGTTCTGGTACCACATGGCAGAACAAAACAAATGACTGAAAAATGAATCAAGTATCACTTTCCCAGATTTGGGGAAATTTGCAAGTTTTTGCTGGTGTATAAATAGAATAACACAAAGCAATCAAACTACAACTTTCATACATACCATTTTAAAAAGCAAGTAACTTAGTTCTGTTTATTGTTCATAACATATAAAAAACACCGGAATTCATTCAGTCTTTAACAAAGTGAGAATAAGTCAAAAAGACATCTTAGAAAAGGCTGCTCTCTACTGGAAAAATTACAAAATTGCTACATTACCTACTTTGCTAGAGTGTAAGAGAAAAAACAACAACCCTCAAGCAAAAGAGGAAAACGTGTAAAATACAAAATACATGCAAGGTGATTTTTCAACAAGTATTATTCCCAAGACAGATCTGTCAAGAATAGAAATATATTTCTTTCAATTACAGTTGTAAATGAAAGTCATGTTTCTGACTTTCTTTGTTCACTCAAATGAATTAGCCAGATGTAGCAAAAGAGAGGCCAATCTTTCATCATAACTGCTGCAGCCACTCATAAGCTCTAAACTCCATCTATGATTACCTCCTGCCTACTGAAACAAGTTTCTTAAAAGTACAGCATGTGTAGGGATAACTCCCCTCTTAGAAACCCAAACACTGAGCTATGGACTGTGAGCTGGTAAGTTAGCTGTCTACTTCTGGGAGAATTAACAATCCCACAGATAGCTGTCTTTTAATGGCTACAAAGCAGGATACAAGTTTTTTAAATAAAGTGACATCTTGAAGGTAGGGGAAAAACAAACTAAAACAGTCTTATTTAACATATTTTTTACTTCTCCAATAAAAATATTATAAAGGAAAACATTAACATTGTTTCTTCCCTGCTATCAACTGAACTTTATTCAGACAATGGCTTTGTCAACATGACTTACGATTCCTTTCAGGAAAGGAAGGTTTCTTTGCTTATGTTTCTATATATCAAACTTAAACACAGTCATTTCCAGAAAGGTAGCTGTGTTAATCTCTCACAGCAAAAACAAAAGCAAAGTGTGGAAGCTTATGTCATGATAAATGTGTTAGTGCCACAAGACTCTTGGTGCTTTTGCTACAAATAGTTTATACAGGACCACAAATGCAAAGCAACACATATTATGTGATGCTACTGCAGAAAGTGCCAGTTTCTGAAGGTTTTGAGAGGAGAATGAGATTCTTGATTGGTGGAGCACGCAGAGACTAGTCCGGAGTGGGCAAGGCTTCCTTGCCAAATCCAAATTCCAAAACAATGGCTACCAGAAGTCTATAAACAGGGCTGGCTCAACATTTTTGCTGCCTAAGGCAAAGGACATGATAATGCTTGCCTCCAGGACACTGCAAGCTGAATTTTTGTGCAGCCTAAGAGATAGGGCAGCATTCTCTGTTATAGCCAAGGTCAGTAGGCTACCTTAAGGGGTGCTGGGCAACCCATGCAACACACCGTTCTGTCCATTTTCCCTAGGAGTTGTCTTCTGAAACAGCCACATCCTTCTGCTTGATAGTAGGGCCAGCCTTGACTATCTAATAAAAAACCTTTATTGCTTTATTATTAAGACACTTTTGCCCTGAAGTTATGGAATGAAGCTAAACACAGATATATGTTCAAAGTATCCAGTATAATATTTTAAATACAATTTTTAGATATTAAGTACAATATTTTAAATATTTAAGTTAGATTTTTTAAAGACTTTAAAAAGTTTCCCTTTTAGTTTTAAATCCATAGTAACAGTTATCAGAAAGCATCAATGAAGGCCTATCATACAAAAGCAACAATAATGTTACACTACGATCATAAATCACAGGAGTGGAAGGAACCACAAGGTTCCTAGTTCAGTCCCCTGCAATGCAGAAATCGTTCACCAAATGTAGGGCTCAAACAAGGAGTGTGCGAACTAGTTCTCATAACCAGCTACTTTCTGGTTACAAATCTTGACTTGAATTTGGAATTTCAAGAACGATCTAATGGCTAGTGAACCAAATTCTAATCCTGACTGGATTTAGGACTCACAACATTATTAGTTAGTGGAAATGAGTGCCTCATTGATTTACTCACTTATAAATAATATTTTTAGGTTACCTCCACAATAGCCAGGAAGTAAAAATGTGACACACGCACAGACCAAGATATGCTGTTTCCCACAAAATTCTGAAGGCAGAGGCTGGCACTCAAATCATCAGAAGGAAAGTTCTACTAGTACATGGGATCCAGTCCCCCCCCCCCATCAGCTCTATATATCTGCAGGATAGCTGTTCCTAAGAGTGAAGGATTTACTTATTTTAGGACACATTTTATGGCAGGACTGGCTAATTTGTGGTCCTCCAGATGTTATTGTACTACAACTCCCATTAGACCTGGCCAGAATGGGTTAGCCACCCTTGTTTCAGAGTCTAGCTCTCCTAAGTCTGCTTACATAATACAATATAAAACATATTAACCATCACCAAACCTTGGCTTGGTTAAGACAAACACATTGAACTTAATAAAACGTAGGAGTTGAGGGTCATCCTCTTCACACACTCCTTGAACCGAGGTAACTGTGATATATAGTGCCTGCTAAATATACACATTTGAAAATATATGCCGCACATGTGACATAATAAAGGGATTAACAATTCTCCACGCCATTTTAACAATCCACAAAGGGAGAGAGGGTTTTTAGGGGCAATCAAGAACATTTCTATGCTCACAAAATTTAAGCTGTGTTTACCAGCAATTTGACACAACTGTCAATAAATTTTCAAAAGCACAATATGGTTTGTTTATGTACAAGAGTTTCATCTTTTGGTCTAATTTAAAATAATGGAGCTCTTCCATTACTAAGAGTGCTGACAAAGGAAAGAAGGTCCAGTAAAGAGCACTCTTAGTTGTACATTACAATGACCTTAGATCTAAGAATTGTGAAAGGGGTTCCATTTGCAGAATGGGATTTTCCTGATCCTATGGCCTATCTGCATGGTTGGGAGACTTATTGAAATGGTTTCTGATATGGAATAGGGGTCTGCAGATGGAGGAGTCAGCAGAAAACACATTTAAGTAAAAACACATTTCAACATACACTAGATGCCTTGGGATTCAAGCCAACATGCCCATATTTCTTAAAGCTTATCAAAGAGCAAGTTTATAATATAAGCACAGTAACCTTCATAAAACCATTATAAGAAATTAAGTATTATTTACATTTGACCCACACCATAACTTTTCCATAGAATAAAAGGCTATAAGTATAAGAGAAAAACTGTTTTGCTAATGCTTTGATGTACTAACTACATGTACTAACATGTACATGTGCTAACTACAACATTGCGCAGAAACAAGGCTGCGAGTTTGAGTTCTTCATCCAGCAGTGAGGACTAGGACATCAACTGACTACAGCATATAATGTCATAACTCTTCATACATGCAGCCATTTCATTTACATAAACATGACAGATGCCTTGGGACAAGAGTTAATAAGCACATACATTATATGAGCACATCATCAAGCTATGTAAGCCACCACAAATTCTTTCAGTACAGTATTATCCTGGCCTATGTTATTTTAAAGAAGGTATTTGTATGAAGCTTTTCACAAGTACTTAATAAGTGTGCCCAAATACACTAACACTCAGAATGTTTTTACACACATATGTTTCACTGAATTCACTAGAGCTTATTTTCACATTTGCTGACAACAGGTGACAAACTGAGACCATACACTACGGGTTTTAAGGAACATTTTTCTAATCTCTGCTTTAAATTTTTCATATAGCTGAAGGGCAAGAAAATGCCAACTCCTGCTGCCTTTCCCTCTTTTTTCACCTGGCACCTATTTCTTCTAGTGTGCCGTCTCTTAAGCCACCTCCTTCCTCCACTCCTCTCTCTTGGGAATCTTGCCTCTTTCTGCTATCTTATCAGTCCTACCTAATGTGTCAAGATACAAAATATGCATTTGATAACATTCTGTACCTCCCATATTTCCCTTGCCCCAGCTTCCATTTCTCTTCTTAGGCCCTCAAGCATGTCCTGTTTGAACTTCCCATTTTCCTGATCCCTCCTCAGCATTTGTGTCCTTTGATCCTTTCTTTTGCCCAAAACATTCTCTGCCTCTTTGTCTGAGGCTTCCCAAGTTCTCTTCAGCCCTAAGTCAAAGCAAAGGTTTGTAATCTTGTCCCTTGAGGCAGATGGAGGAAAAAGAATGAACTATTTTTGCTTAACCTTGAGGCCTCCTGTCATAGCAGTTCCCAGGGATAGCATTTGCGTGGCGAGACCCCGGGCCCCGCAGTTCCCCTCAGAAATAAACATACAGACACGAATATGTTGGGTTAATGGGATAGATTAGGCCACAACTTTACTGGTTACAGATGGGAGCGGTTTGGTTTAGACATTTGGGTGAAGCCAGACTATATCCTGATTCCTGCCTGTCTGCAGGAAGTCTCAAAAGGGTCAACCACAGATAGGGGGAGCCCTACAATATACATCAATTAAGAGCACCCCCAGGGTCCCTGATGGGGTCGTGGCATGGCCCTAGCCCACGCCCAGGCTTTGGACAGGAACCACACCGCCAGATCCCTTTAACTAACGGGATACCCTTAACGAGGAGGGGCAGGCGGAGGCAACAACCTTCCCTCCCATAAACAAGGCTTACCCAATGCCTAACCTTACAAAGTTGTGACGAATGCTGAGAGGTAGGCAAAAATCAAATGGCTGGTGCCAATTTGCCAAGTGGGAAAATTCCTACCTGGCCCCCACAACCAGGCGGCTGACATTAGTCCATAGTAGGGCCAAAGTCAAGCAATGCATAGAAGAGAGGGTGGGTGGGCTGGGAGATCTGACAAGAAGGCGAATGGAGGCTGCACCCCAGCCATGCCCTGGTTTAAACAGCCAGCCCGGGGGGGGGGGGATGACACAGCTGTGAGCCCTAATGACGTGGGCAGCATCCCTCTGCCCACTCCCGGGTCACCAGGAGGTCCTGGATGTCCTCCAGCAATGCTGCACCCCCGGTGAAGGGGAGAAGTCAAATTATAAAGGAACCAAAAAAAGTTCATTAGAAAACTGTAATTTTGCACTCCTTCACCCACACATTCTGTTTCCCTATTTATCTCTGTACAAATAGAAGACAAACAGTGCAATCATATACAGTGGTACCTCGGGTTACATACGCTTCAGGTTACATACGCTTCAGGTTACAGACTCCGCTAACCCAGAAATATTACCTCGGGTTAAGAACTTTGCTTCAGGATGAGAACAGAAATTGTGCAGTGGCGGCGTAGCGGCAGCAGGAGGCCCCATTAGCTAAAGTGGTACTTCAGGTTAAGAACAGTTTCAGGTTAAGAACGGACCTCCAGAACGAATTAAGTTCTTAACCCGAGGTACCACTGTAGTTACTCAGAAGTACCTTCCACTGTATTCGATGCAGCTTCCTCTAAAGTAAACTTGCATAAGCTGACAACCTTAAAGATACTTTACATTTCACAGAAATTAGTGATGCTTGCAATGTGTTTAGGACTTAGCAATGTGTTTAAATTAACATTTAAAATAAAATTACAGATAGGAAATCACAGGGTGGATACCCATGATAATATTTAGCTAGTCCTTTGAAGCCAGTTCACATAAAGCCAAAGTTTATAAATTGTGTATAGGCAGAATATGAAAATGAGCTTCAGGTTGGTGTTCTCTCTTTGCTCAGAGCATTTTGCATGCATTGCAGCTTACACATGTACTTTTGCATACAAGTTGGTTTCACTTAATACACTTAATACACATCACCTACCTAAAAGGGAGCAGGTGCTTATAGCCTTCAGTTCACATACACATCCAATTTTACTGAAGTATGTCCCTTCTCATATGCCACAAAAATACAGTGTTCCTCAAAAAAGTTTGAACTCCCAACCATCTGTCATTATACATTCTCCTGTCTGAGCCTCGCATTTCAAGATGAGATTGAAAGAGCTACATAAATATCTTAATTGGATGAGATAATCTGAAAAGTCCTAATGTTTGATTGGGTGTGCAGAATTTTTTGGAACCCATGCCTAGATTTTCAGAATTCCGATTTATTATATGATGATGAAGAAGAATCAGGACACTGCCTTCTTTGGTTTTACAAGTAAGCCAAAATACCATTACTGACAGGGACTTCTACAAAAAAAATTGTCTGTTTACAAGCCTGTTTCTTACCTAGGGCTTCTTCTCCCTATGTTAACCTCCTGCTCCTCATCCCCCTACTATAGTGTTAAGACCTGCAATAAGTCTGCTACTTTTTACCATCAAACAGTGAACAGAGGCTTATTGTTGATTTCAACCCTGCAGCCACACAGCACTAAGCCTGAAATATGATTAATCTGATTGACAGCTGGGTGGCCCTCCCTTCCAAGATGCCCTGTAGAGGGTAGGCCACTTCTGGATCTAGTCCTCCAATCTAGAACTGTCTCTGAGGGCAGCAACTTTTTTTTCTTATCAGAATAAATGCCAACAACCTGCAATGGAGGGTGGAAGAGGGGTGTAGTGTATTTACAGACACTGTTGGAAGTCGGGGCTAAGGTTACCTTACATTTCCAATGACCCCAATTATTTTTTTCTGTTCCGAGAGAAACATTTCCCCCTCTCCTAAAATATTGCGTGTTTTAGCCACTTTTCTTTATTCAATAGACTTTAATGGGAGCGTCAGAAAAACATAGTCCCAAGTAGGTGCATTGTCACCAACTCCATGCCCACTAATCCCCTTGGCTCATCATCCGTTATTCCATAATGCAGTCCAAACCTTTCACATAGAAACATGGCAAACCAAAGGCTATGCCATCTAGCAGACTTTTACGAAAACAATAAACCCATATCAACATAGGAATTACAGGATAAATCAGGAGACATTCAGGTACCCTGGCTAACGCACCATCAACGACATGACTTCCTAAACAACTCAGCAGTAAAAGCAGCAGTCTTAGGCCCTTGACCACCTTTTAAAGCCTTCTTTTGTCAGCAGAAGAACACGGTAAGGGGATGGTATCCGGAATATACAAAATACTACTCCAGAACCCCGCAATCTCACTCAACACAATTAAAAAACAATGGGAACATCATACAGGTTATGAAATAAACTCTACCCAATGGACTACTAACCTCTCTTTAAATCCATCTCAGCCAAAAGAAGAGAACACACTTTGAAACTTATCTATAGATGGCATCTGACACCAAGGAAATTGGCATTAATACATCCAGGAACCTTACCAAAATGCTGGCACATACCTTCACATGTGGTGGGAATGTCCCCAAATCCAACCCTTTTGTACTGCAGTCCTACAAAAATTATTTAATTTATAACTAAGCAGGTATTGGAACCCACTCCATAACTGACCCTATTAAATATTTTCCAAGACAATAATGTTCACTTACACCATAAAGAGCTTATAATCCACCTACTCTCAGCAGCGAGAAACTTTGTAGTTGGACACTTGTCAGGAGTAAGCATGGACCATCGGTATCAAATTGTATGGGAAACGGCCTTATTAGAAAACTTAACTGACAAACTAAAACTGACATGAGGACGAAAGAAAGAGGACACCTTCACCCCGATATGGCTCCCTTTTATTACACATACAGTTCAAACTGACAACAGTGATAGCAGGGATCTACCAACAATGTGCAGATCAATATGGCTATCAACCTAATATTTCACACATACCCCTTCCACAACCGCAAACAAATCTCACTACAGTTCATCAGAGGCAATAAAAGACAAATACACATACCCTGACCCCCCCCCCCAATCTTCTCTCATCGTTGATGTAAACCAGGGGTCGGCAACCTTTTTCAGCCGTGGGCCGGTCCACCATCCCTCAGACCATGTGGTGGGCCAGACTATATTTTGAAGAAAAAAATGAACAAATTCCTATGCCCCACAAATAACCCAGAGATGCATTTTAAATAAAAGCACACATTCTACTCATGTAAAAACACGCTGATTCCAGGACCATCCACGGGCTGGATTTAGAAAGTGATTGGGCTGCATCCGGCCCACGGGCCTTAGCTTACCTACCACTGATGTAAACCAATAAATATACAGAAAGAGAACCTACTCAATTGACACTGCCATAAAAACCCCACGTACATACCAAGTTGACAAAACAGCAAGATAGCATGTAAATTTACCTCCCACCCTCTACTCTCTTTCCCTACCTTTGGATATCATATTGTTTTACATTTTACCGAAAGACTTTATAATCTGATTAAGGAAAAAAAAGTGAGAGACGTTGCACATTCTTTGTAGCTCATGAAAATCTTCAATAAAAATTATTTCAAAAAGAAAAGAAAACCATAGTCCCAGCCAGGATTACACTTCTTGGTTATGCTAAACTGACAAAGTAGTCTGGGATCACCCATATATAATTTCAGGCCCCAGACCACATCTGTCAGTGCAGACAAAACTGGTAAACCCTGCAGAGCAAGTTCCTGAGACAACACAAAATTATAACAGGCACAGAATACAATCCAGGACAGTATTAATCTATACCTGCTCAATACTGAGCAACAGTATGTGTAAAAAACATCTTCTTACATCTATACAACTGACTCCATATTTCTGATTCAGTATAAGAAATACAGTAGGTTTTTTTACAATATTAGAAATGATGATTTCAGAAATTTTTCAAATCAAATTGCAGAAAAAGTAAAAAAACAAAAACCCAGTAACAAAGCACAGATATACATGCACTAATGTTTTCACATACAGAATTGTAAAGCACTGCCCTTAATTCTTAGTTTAGCTTTCAATGTATTAATTTCAAACAGTGGGTACAAAAATTAAGAGAACAGCTTTTCTAATATGAAAGGGAGAACATTTATAAAAACTGTGACTTAAATCTGAATTTCAAAGGGAATGCAAGTTCCACTGGCTCATTAATAAGACATTATTAAACATAACACTTTTAGTATTCCTGTAGAGTTCTTTTTCTATCAGTTTCCCACTAATAAAATGCCACAGTTTTAAGAGGAAGGATCAGTATTTCTCATTTCACCTACCTTTCTTTCTCAAAATACTCCCAAACAAAGCATAATTTCTCTTCCTGCTCTGAGTTATAATTATGTCTTCATTAGTTTTGAATTGCATTATAGTAAGAATCTCTCAATATCTTGGCAACACAAGCATAATGTGTCAGGCTAACAAGATGCAGTTTATATTTTTTTCCTTTTTTCTTTTTTGGAGAGAGATACCAATATCAAAAAGCAAAGCTGAAGTGTTCATGAAAGCAAAAAAGACATGCTTTCTGCCAATTTCCACTCTGCAATAAGGATATTTTACATTGCATCCTATAAGACATGGGATGTGTCATGTACCTCCTAGGTATACGTAGTTTCGGCCTCAGATGTATGGAGAACATAAAAAACCCTCATTGCTAATCGGATACTTGTAATAATTTAGAACAAATTTCAGTGAGTCACTAATTATTTTATTTTGAATGTAATTTATATCTACTTTGTCTCAAGGATTTGAAAGGCCAACAAAGTTTTGATATGAACAATAACTGCAAAAATAGCAGATAAAATATTCAAATGTATATTAAAAATATGTGCTTAACTACCAATTACTAATCTTATTTTTGTTTGTATGTCAACAGATGCACAAATAATGATGAACAGAGTGGTAGGATATAGGTAAATTATTATTTGATTACTGTATGATAAAAATAACTTGTGAACATATGAACACTAACTTCAAGCCTGAAACTTTAATTCATATTTATTAAAAGAAGTGTTAACTCTGGCTCAAAAAGTTAAGAGTTTAACAGGAAAGTGTATTTTCAACTTCCACAAAATAATTGCATGGAAGTATTATTTATTTTTAAATTTTATACCTCCTTTGTATACCGTATCTTGACAGGAGTACATGTGCTCTATAAATGAAGCCCTATTGCTAGCTGGTGCCTATGGCTGGGCGATATAGCATCCAAAACCAGTTTGAAGTTCACATCATGATAATTTTTTCATAATATTTGAGCTGGCAATATATTGTGAATTACTGTGTGTAAGGGCTAGGTCATGGGTAGACAAACTAAGGCCCGGGGGCCGGATCCGGCCCAATTGCCTTATAAATCTGGCCCACATACGGTCCGGGAATCAGCATGTTTTTACATGAGTAGAATGTGTCCTTTTATTTAAATGCATCTCTGGGTTATTTGTGGGGCATAGGAATTCGTTCATTCCCCCAAAAAAATATAGTCCGGCCCCCCACAAGGTCTGAGGGACAGTGGACCGGCCCCTGCTGAAAAAGTTTGCTGACCCCTGGGCTAGGTGAGATCTGGTTTTCAACACTGCAATAACTCACCAGCTAAACATTGCAATGTTATCAGTAGCTAAACCTCACAATATCACCAGCTAAGCATTGCAATCCACCACAATGTCTGAAGTAAGAATGGAACTATACAGAAGCAAACAGGACAATGTCCCAGCAACTGCTACTACTTAGGGGTCTAAAACGGATAAATGATAATATTATCAATCATCACACGCTCAGTTTTATCAGCAGGCAAGCCAAAATGCATCCCGACAGGACTTTGGGTTTTTGGCTTGGCTACCAAATGGTGGTATTCAGGACAGTAGTGGTGGCAGCCTGGAGGCTAAAAGAAGTTGACCATACTTGCTCTAGAATAACCCAGTGTGACACCCAGGAACTTGGTGCTCTATAAGTAGAAGAATTCTAATAGTAGCCTCTACAGAATTACCAGAACTGTTCACTATTGTTCTGTTTAGCTCAGACAGGCTACATTTTCCCCAATGATGTTTATTTTTTATGTATATTGCCTTTTCTCCAAAATGATTATGCATACATGCGCAGAACCTGAAGATACAGATGACACAGAATCACCAGGGCTGAGGGGAATTTAGAATAATAGAATCATAAGAGTTGGAAGGGACCGTGAGAACCATCTAGCCCAGGGGTCTGCAACCTTTAAGACAAAAAGAGCCACTTGGACCCGTTTCCGAAGGAAAAAAAACTGGGAGCCGCAAAACTCGTCATTATAAAAATAACTTTTTTGTCATTTTTTTATTATTTCTTTGTTTGACCCCTCAGAATTACTCCTTCTCATAGAAATAAACATTAAATTAACAAGTTACCTTTTTGTGTGTGTGTGTTCTTCACTTCCCTTCAAAACAGTGACCAGCGTACATGCCCCCTTTCAATGCAGTGACCAGCGTACATGCCCCTTACAATGTAGTGGGCGGGCGGGCGGGAAGGTGACGTTGGGACGGTGCGTGACTAACACACGCACCGCCCCCATGAGACGTCACAGCCAGTACAGCGCCCGCCACAGTGGGGAGTGTCGGGGCGCACAATGCGCCTCCTCCCCTCGCCAGTATCCGCCCCGGAGCCGCGGCTCCGGAGCAGCGGGTTGCTGACCCCTGATCTAGCCCAACCCTCTGCAATGCAGGAATATGCAGCTGTCCCATACAGGGATTGAACCTGCAACCTTGACATAAATCACTGAAATCTCTCATTGCTTCTGGGTACCTGTAAGATCAGTCACACAACAAATTTCGATAGTTGAGAGTTTCGCAAATGAAGTTTAACATAGTATTTTAGTAATAGTAAGCCGGTTTGCTTGCATTCACGTGACAACGTTAAAGACTATTTAACCTCTAACTCTTCCATGGCTCTATGTTGAGGTTCCAGCATTGCAGGAAGTTGGACTAGATAACCCTTGGGATCCCTTCCAACTCTACAATTCTAGTGCAAGATGAACCAAAAAGTTTCTCAAACTATATGGGTGATAAAATATGACTGTTTCTACAGGCATCTGACATTGGAAGTAGGGGGAGTTTGAACATCAACAGACCCCTGCTATGACAAAAAACAACAACCACCAAGCCCCCCACCACTACCTCCACCTGTCAATGCCAATGGTAGAATGCAGCCAGTCAATCTATAATTTCCATGCGGCTAACAGTTTACAGTAATCTCTTCAAGCCTATTCAACACAATGCAACTCTAAAGCACTGAGATACTAGCCACAGTATGTGAAGATGCCACTCAGGAATAAGTTTCACACACCGTATTACGAACTTTGTCTGGAGCATTTCTTTGACTGAATACTGGCATCAAAAGGATATGAAAAACAAATTTTAAAAACCCATATTCAACAGCTGGGAGACCTTTCTTAGAGTGAATATATGTCCACCATGCTGGAGTTGCAGCAGTGATCTTAGACCAGTCCAAAACGCAGGGCTTACCTGCTACTTGCAATGATTTGACATTTGACAAATTATCTGGCATTTTAGCTAACCGCCAGGGAAATATAAACTAAAAAAAGGCAAAAGAAAGAGTGATTGTTTGAATATGCATTTCTACATTGTTCAAAAGCTGATAGTAGATACTTTTTATAGCCAAAGGAAAAACAAGCCTTTTCTGAACAAAACAATCTGAAAACTGGTAGAAAACTGAGGATGAAACAATGCAAATGCCACCAATTATGAGAAGTGTATGTACTATATTGCTAAAGCTGGAACTGGTTCTAAAACTAGAATGCTTCAAAAAATAGCAGATGGGCAGAATGACTAACTCAGCAAAAAATATACTGTTCTATACTGATGGTAAATATATTGAACAGGTAAACTCTGTAGATCCCAAAACTATTACTGTAACATGAAAAAACTAAGGGGAAGATTTTCATCTTTATTACAACAACAATTGGTGGATATCACATCCACCAATTTCATAACCTCACAGGTTACTACTAACAATTAGCATTATTGTAATAATTTATGGATAATCTTTCATATAAATTTGAAGACGATTCACAGCCCTGTAACTTAAAAATAATAATTTTAAATCTGTACAAATATACCTGTCAGATATCTCCAACCCCCAATTTTGCTGGGAAAGCTTTAAAACAAGAATGTGTTTAGTAGCTTTACAAGCCTGTCATAACTCATGGGTGCTGTTCCACAAAACAGGGGCAGCCACACAAAGCCCTGCTTCAAGTTGCGGTGGATGGGGCTTCCTATTTTACAAACATCTAGGAGAGAGTTCCTTGCAGAACACCGTAACATATTACGTATATAAGGAATAAGGTGGTCGGTCAACTAATTGTGTAGGGCCTTACATGCAGTGTTCAAAATTCCCCAAGTGCCAGGAGCATTTTCCAACTGGCATAGGTCCCATGGCGACCATGTGGAGATCTCTGGATGCCACATTGGCGACTGACATCTCCATCTCGCTGGCCCCTTCAGCTTCCTTAAGCAGGTAAGCAGAAGAGTATATGTCAGGGAACTGCCATCAGTGCTGGAGGGAGAGAGCAAAATCCAGAGGGATTCCGGAGAGCATCCCGGGATTGGGAGAGGCAGCCCATCTTCTGGGGAAGAGAATCAGCGTAGCACCAGTGGAGAAGGGGGGCAGATGGGGGAAGCGGCAAGGCGGTCCCATGACTCCTTGCCGGGGACCAGCGGGGAGAGTAGAGGTCCTCCGCTGCCTACGCCCTCCTTGCGCAGAAGGCTTCCGCGCAGAGACAGTAGGCGGAGACTAAGCGTCAAAGAGCTTCTCTGCTGGAAGAAGTTTAAGAAACGCCCACTGACGGATTCTGCCAGCGATTGAGACAGCCACGGGTGAGTGGCTGTCCGGACAGAAAAGGTTCATTCAGGCAATCTAGCCAGGTGTTTGCACCGGCTTACGCACGAGCAACCCCTAGAACCATTACAGTGTATTTATGAAATTTATAACCCACCTTTTTCTCCAAGGAGTACACAGTTTAGCCACCTCTGCAGTTAATCCCTACAATGACTCTGTAAAGTGGGTTAAGAGACTGTGAATGGCCCAAGGTCACCCAATGAGCTTCATGAGTGAGTGGAGATTTGAACCCGGATCTCCTAGGTTCTAGTCCAACATTCTATCCAGTATACCACAATGGCTTCCTAGAGTTCTTCTGATATGGAGTAGCTATATACTTTCAGTAGGTATCTAAATATGGGGAAAGCAAGGTGTCACTTAGACAGGGATCTGAAATATTTTACTTGAAGCTTGAATTTGTTTTATTCTGGATTGTTTTATTTGATGTTTTAATGTGTTATAAACCACCCATACATATTATATATATATCAGTATAAAAATGCAATGAATAATAATAATAAAAAGGCGCCAAGATATTCCATTATGTCAACCATTATCTGGGTTAAGGTGACATTTGGCAATTAGCTTATATATCTGAGTTTCTAACATTGCTTATATGTTAGAACCCTGATTTTAACCTGGTAGCACTAGTTCATCGTCATAAGCAGCCTAACAGCCATGTTTTACAGTAGTAATAACCTCCACAAGGGTAACCAACCTCAAGGGTAGCCTCACAAACTGCAGTGAGCTCTAATCCAAACCTGAGGTTACTAGGGGTCTTACAAAACATCTGTTCTAACCCCCTGCTCAATGCAAGAAATTTAGAGCTGGACTATGGCTACCACTCTCCCTCACAATTGGTTTCACTGTTGAACTCTTCTTACAGTTAACAAGTTTCTCCTAGTGTTCAACCAAAACCTAATCCCCCCCCCCTTAACCAAAAGCCATTAAATAAACTGGCATGTATTGAATTTAAAATGTGTTGGAATGGAAATCAAAGAGAATTATGGCATTAGATTCAAATATCTAATGAGGGCTCTGGGGTGGGAGAACAGGATTTTTTAGGAGGAGTCATAAGGCAGAAGGAGCAAGCGGTTTAAGAGCAGCAGGAGCAGAAGCAGAAGAAGAAGCAGAAGCAGAAGAAGTGCATAAACTAGGCACTGTCCATGCGGGGCCAGACCTATTTTGGGTCCCTGTTACTGCCACTCCACAGCATAGCAGGCAGGTGGTCTCTGTGTCTGTACACAGACTAGGTGGCTCAGCCAGTGGGAAAAGGCTGGGATTGTTGGCCCTCAGCTATTGCCAGCTCCATTATTTTCAGGTACAACTTCTTTCCTGGGCAGAGGCAAGAACTCATCACTCCAGCTCAATGGCTAGGGTGAAGAAACTCGTCACTTGACAAGAGTTCTTTGAAGAAGATGCTGCCTTTCCTCCTGCAAGTTACTCAAACACCACTGCTAAATGTAGCTTATGCCCAAGATTGCTTTGCTTATTATTTTTGCTGCCAAGCATTAGACCTGCTAAGGGAGGGGGGAGAGAGTTTGGGGGCTACCATAGGCTGGGATTGTTCTGAGAATATATTAGCAAGCACTTTTAGTGCCCAAGAGTTCATGGCTAGATATTTCCTCCTGCTGAAACTCCCACCCATATTGGGATCCTTTCCCTGTTAAGTCCACAGCTAGCTAAACTAATATTTCTTCGAATTTATTAAAACCAGCTTTTTCACAAATCTAAACAGGTATACATTTGACAACACATGCCTTTGGCTTTCCATAAGACCATGAATTCCACGGCCATTTCTCCTCAAAGGTCCCACTACTTTAACCTCTTTCAACAACTCATTATTCTTGAGATTCAATTCTAGGCTAGCCAATCCCCTTGTTCATTCCTCCGCCTTCTAAAAGAAATTCTTGGCGATGCTGTGCTAATTGGAGCCTGTCTCCCAGCAGTTATCAGGGCACTGGGAAGTCCCTCCATACTACTAACTCCTAGAAACATTGGTAATTTGTTTCAAGAAAGCAAAATCCATACCTTTTACTTGGTCTGTAGCAAATCTTACTCACCAATTTGTTATTCTTTTCCTCTTAAGAATTTTTGTTAAAGTATTCTCTACAGGATTACAATATACAGACTTCTGGTTTTCCATGCTGGTCTACTTTAAAAACAACAACAACAAAACCTACTACTTCCCCTTTCTGTTGCATCTGTGCTTATTGAAGAAGTTATACCCTTAAATTGTTACATTCCTATCATACAAAACATTCCATCAAGTCTCAGTTACTCCTATAGTTATATTTACCTTCCTTTACTAGCAGTTCAAGCTAAACTTGTTTATTCCCTGTATTCTGTGCATTAGGTTTAATGTATCAAAAAGCCTTTGATACTGTTTGTCCAGTCTCTCTTACCCTCTTTTCCAGCAAAACCACTAGGTCACACTTTAGTCAGGAAGTTATACATAGCATAACGACTTCAGGTTGCCAACGATGAGCCTTCCTTGTGCATCCTCTTAGCTCTTGTTGACACCCCGATCTCTGCAGCTGCTTTTGCTTCACCCATTTTCTTCTCTTATTGCTTGCCTGAGCTTCTGTTACATGATGCTGTTTCAGCCTGCTGGTGAAGAGGACAATGGGTGGCAAGAAGCCCCAGCCCCAGCTAGCTTGCCACAATCTCCCAGTCTACAGTATCAAATTGTAGGTTTAGTTGCCCCAACTAAAAGCCGTATCGAATCATATACGGGAAGGCATCAAAAACCTTCTAGAAGATAAAGAAGCCAAGGAAGGACTACAACAGCAAGCAGCCATCAAAGTTTGCTTTTCTACATGCCCTCATCATACAATCATTGCAAGTGAGGTTCAAACCTATTTTCAAATATGATATTCTGTTCACATGTACTGTTGCTATAGTTCCCGAGAGAGACCATAGAAATAAAACTGTTAAAACTAAACAGTTCAGTCACTCTTAAAGGGGGTCAGATGCCTGTGCTCCCAGAGAAACACGCTTAACCTTGAATCACCTCCAGCTGTAGTCTTGATCATAGCTGTTGAGGTGCGCATTCTACAGAAACTAAGTCCTCAGGCTGAAGGAGGTTTTTCTGAGACTACAAGATAGCCACACTACCATTTCTGAAACTAAGTCCTCTTACACTAATTCAACAGAGCTAGACAGAGGTTATATGTACAGTACTTATTTATTTGAAGTTTATAGTTGATTCTCTACCAAAATTCTGAGTGACTCACAACAAGAAAATAAATTGAATGCAATAGAATGCAACAATGAAAACACAACATCATCATCATCAAAATTTGTATACCTCCCTATACCTACAGGTCTCCACACATATATGGCATAAAACAGTGGCAGAGTAAAAACAGTTTAAAGATAAGATTATATATTTATAGAGGCAATTTGTGAGGGAAACACCATGGTTTGTTTTTTCATGAAGAAATCAGCACAAGCCTTGGCTTGTGCATGGAGATTTAAAGCTTGCTTCAAGTTTGATCAAATCATGATTTGAAAACCTGCTTTGGTAAAAAGAAAAACCCATGATTTTCATAAACCACTGCTTATTAAATTCAGATGCAACAAAGCATAGTTTGCTGCCAACCATGGAAAGAAGTTTGAAATCTTATCCCAGGGAAGCATGTAAGCCTGATGTCCATTCCTGATAATGCATGTAACAAACCATGGTTTGCTGTTACTGAATCAAATCAATTATCACATTGCAATCATGCACAAGTTCCATGCACCTGTATGAAGTCCCTTTACTCCTGCCTTTGTACATGGGAGTTAATAAGCTAAGATGCTGCATATTTAACTATAACTTTCAGTTATGTGCAATCTGGGAAACAACAGTTAATGGCTTCCAAACAAGCCAGGATATAATGCTTTGGTCCAAAGTTGGCTTTCAAATTCTGGCTTGTTTTAAAATTAAATTAGAATATTGCATCATTGGAAAACACATTGGCACAGGTAAATATTCACTATCATCTGCTCAGGACACTTCCTTTATAGTAGTTGTTGTGGTGGTGGCTGCAATTATAAATCTATGGCTTAGTCAGTGAGTGCTTTGTCTTTGTCTGGAGCCACCCACCACATGGAAAACCATGTGTCACTGCTACTGTTTGGTAGTGGTGTGATATAAGGCAGCTTCTCGTCAGATGGCTCCAGACAGCTTTCTACATGAAGCAATTTAGGCTGCAACCCTAAACAAACACTCATACTAGGGAGGTTAGTTTCAATCTACTCCATAGGAACTTTCTTCTGAATAAACTTGCTTAGGATTGTGTGGCTGCCCCACAGATCTGTGGAACTCCCTCCCACAGGAAATTCACCATAGAATCCTGAATGTTTCCTTAAACAAAGTAAGCAAGCTTTTAGTAGATAGGAATAGGCAGAGATATGGTGGCATTGTAGAAAGACAAACATCACAATTCCATAAGCTACTACTCCACTCCAACCAGAAATTACATTAACATGAGCAAAACTGGCTGATATATCACTACAAATATATAGCAGCAACTCATGAGTTAATGATAATAAATATAATGTGACTAAGGTAAAAGAACCACCTTTTGTTGCTTTCAGCTGTGAGCAAATTCTATTTATTTAAAACTTTTACAGCCCACATCTCCTTGCACTCAAGATAACTAGTAACAACATCAGCTCTACAAACAATGTTAAAGCGCTACTGCACAAATAAACTGCACATTTGATCCAGTCTCCTCACACTACTGCACTTGCTTGCCTTTTTTGAATGTTGCTACAGCCACCACTACCGGTGTTTCTAGTTAGGGGCATGAAGTGAAGTACTACAGCAGCTGGCTGAAGCTGTCTCACCTCAGACTTTAATACTTTACTTTTTATTAAAGTAACAAAAGAAAGAATGTGCATGCAGGTACAGTTGCTAAAGAAATACCCTCTATTTCTCTGTATAAAAACAGTAGCAGCTGCCACAACAAAAGCATCAGAGGAAAGAAAGTGGGCCCAGCAATATGGGAAGGCCACCAAAGGTAAACATCAGAGAAGGATTTCTAACTTAGCAGTTTCTAACTTAGCTGCTCACCCGGAGGCTGCAGCTTCTCATCTTGGGCATATGATGAACAAAATAAATGACTGTATGAGTGAGAGTGTGTGTCTATGTATATGTCACACATGTGCATGTACACACACACACACACACACACACACAAAAATGTATTCCACCCCTAAAATACATTCACGTGTAGGAATAAACAATAAAGCAAGAATGCATAGCAGTCAATGTTTACCAACAACTGTAACTTTATACCACATATGTATGAATACGGAGGTAATGTTAATGACATGCACCCTGAACAGGCAAATTGGCTGAAAACCTAAAGCACACCATACGTTTTAAAATACAATATAAGTACAGGCAACAACTGACTAACGCACACACTGCAGTGACCTGGAAATTTGGCAGAAAAGGGGGTGTAATGGGATGGAGCGGGTTTATGCGTGTTCCACCATCACACGCAACGACCCAGAACACAACCCCTGTGCAAATCAGGGGCTGCCTGTACAAGTTATTCACCTTTGAAATATGCATATGGAATTGACTTTGGCTAAAGTTTCCATGCATTCATAGACAAAAGAAGTATCATTGTACACAAGCTTTGCTTTTCCTTCATTTCTCTTGGACTCGCTATCCATAACCTTGGTGATGTCCTTGTTTCTCAACTCTCATTTTGCCTCCCATATCTCCTGTGAGAGTTTCTCTGCCTATCACTGTCTCCCACACATAGACTGCAGACCTTACGCCGTTCACTCCACATTTGAAAAAGCAGCTTATTCTATTGCTTTCTAAGCAATAAGCCAAAAGGAGAATGCTTCCGGGCCATTTCCTCATTTGTGAATAACAAAGCAAAGCATAGCCATACACATCAGTAGACACTTTCTAGTCATTTCAGAAGCTGTTTAAAAATACTCACTGACACTACTCATTTCATACAAATAAGCTTAAATCTTTCCACAAGTTCATCAGCAGAATTATGAAAACCTATTCTCTTCATTTAAATGTATCTTGCTATTAGATCTTGGCCTGATTTTCCAAATCCAAGCAGCAAATGTTCTGGCTCATCAATATTTTAACCATGAAAGTTGTTGAGGTAGAAATGGAAAAGGGTACAGCACAAAGTAAAAAGGAAGTTCAGGTTGCTTTCTCTAGCCTTACTCTTTCAGCAATACACAGATGATATGTTTTTTAAAAAACAGGAGTGGAAGGAATCTTAGAAAATTGTGTATAAAGAAAAGAATTAATACACAGCTGGCTTACCTTTTCAAAAGGAAAAGGTATGTACCTCAGCTTCACCTTACTGCATCCCAAAGGGTCTATATCTGCTCTTAGTTCAGCTGCTCTGAACTGTTTTGAGAACAGATCCCTGCACCCCATAATGGCAACAGGATTCTGCACACCTGCACAAGCATATAATAGCAGATCTCAACATGATGCCAAATCATGCTAGCTCTCAAGCAACTACTTAGGAAGGAGATGACTGTGTATGAAGTGCAGCAAATTCAGAAAACAGTTGCTAAAATCAGATGTATGTAGAGCAAAGGGGAGGGAAAATCATATCTGAATCTTTCCGTTTTCTTCTGCACTGCCAGGTGGGAGAGTGGGTGAGGGGGAGAGAAACTTGCTATGGTTTTCATTTCTGAAGCAGAGCTGTTCTAAAGGCAGAAGAAAGCAGGCTTGAAACAGACTGAAGGTTTACGCTTACCACCAGCACCACCACCACTGACAACTCAGCTTGCAAAACCAAACTTCTTACATGCAACCAAATGTCATTAATTGAATGAAGAAATTATCCCAATTCTACCACATGCTCTGAACTGAATGAAGAAATCCCAATTCTACAACTTACCTTCTATATAAAAAAAGAAAGTGTACTAACTGGAACATTAATTTTCCACCACACATAATAGCATCTCCACAGCATCCCCTCCAAAATTCTCCAAGTAGTTCACTCATTAAGAGTTTTCACTGACAATAGCCTATACAGCAGGGGTCAGCAAACATTTTCAGCAGGGGGCTGTTCCACTGTCCCTCAGACCTTGTGGGGGACTGGACTATATTTTGAGGGGGGGGAATGAACAAATTCCTATGCCCAAAAAACAATCCAGAGATGCATTTTCAATAAAAGCACACATTCTACTCATGTAAAAACACTCTGATTCCTGGACCGTCCACAGGCTGGATTTAAAAGGCGATTGGGCCGGATCCAGCCCACGGGCCTTAGTTTGCCTACCCATGCTATACAACCTAATATAAAATAAGTCACTCTTAAAGCCACATCCCTAAGAGGAAACCCCACCGAACTCAACAGGGTTTACTTTTGAGTAAGCATGTACTTTATAGATTCTAGATTCAGGTAAGGAGCCGTGTTGGTCTGATGCAGTCGAAATAAATAAAAAAATTAAAAAGGATTGTACTAAAAAGAATTGTACTATTAGACAAGAAGATGTCAGTAGGCTCTAACTGCTAAAGAAGACTATGAACATTCTTTTAAGAGGTTGCTCATGCAACCACAGATCTTAATTTTGAAGACCTTACTGGCAGAAATTCAATATAGCACCTGTTTGTAAATGAAAACTATGCAATTTGTTATCATGCTAATATATTAGCAAGTAAAGTTAGAATTTCTTTGGTTTACAAGTTTTTTTTAAAGTGATTTTTCAGGAATAAACAAGACCAACTAATAGCAACATTTATATTTATTAGTCATGTTTAGCAAGGGGGGGGGGAAGAATAGTGAGTATTCTAGTACCAACTAGATTAAAATGAGATAGCTTTATAGATTTAGTAAAATCTCATGAAATCTTTGCAGTTACTGCCTAATCTAAGCCCACCAATCATGGGCACCCACAGGACTTTTCCTGTGGAGAGGCTACATAAAATAATATTTTATATATAATTTGGTATATCTAAACCACCCTCATCCTTCATCTTCATCAAGGAACAGGTTTACCATTTCTAGATCTGGTGACTGAGCTGTTGCCTGGTAGACCTGTCCTCTGAAAAACTTGTATTCCAGGTCTACCCTTCCCCTCCTTCTGCCTACTTCTCAACAGGTAGCCCTGACGCCCATCAGCCTGGCACCCAGTTCTTTCCATGGCTCCCTTCGCCCCTTTCAGGCCTGAATTAATTACACTGCTCCTCCCTCCCCTGCACTTCTCTAACCCTCCCCCAGCCAAAAAAAATCCTCCCAACATGAATGGACTACACTTCAGGATTGTCATACTCTACCCTAACAGCTATAACACTTTGGTTATGTTGCAAGGCTGGCGTACTCCACTCTCTTTCAGTCACAGCCCCTGCAGAATGAGTATAATAATAACAATGGGTTTTATCTGCACTGGTAAAGCAATTTTTAAAATGTTTACAGGCACATGGGAGAAGAGTGAATCACATTTCTTTGTATGAAATAAGACCAGATTTAGTAAGATCAGGAACTCCTTTCTTTGGTACTACCTTTTGTTTTGGGCTGACACACAGCTCCCCAGTCATTAAACCCCAGATAGCTGAATGGTTTGCCATGGAGCATCAAACACTTCCCCACCAGCGAAGACCAGTAGAAAAGGCTTTAAAACAAATCAAGAAATCCCTTCTTTAGAGACTCTAGACAATGCCGGTTTTGCTCTAGCCTTCTCCTTGCCTAGTTGGACAGATCTGTTTTACTAAATGTTAATTATTGCCTAGGACTTCATTCACCGGCTAAAACACTGTCAGGAGGGAGCAGGCTAGTTTCTCACAAAACAAGCCAGGAGCAGTGGTGGCATGTTTTGCTTTACATCTCAGGTTCTAACAAAAGTTAGGCACTGTCCAAAGTGGGCATGGAGACATTAATTCTGTGGAGGCCAACAACTGGTAATAAAGGGAAAGTAACTAAAGAATCACACAAAATTAGACTGTAGTTTACTTTATGGAGCAAGAACTAAGTTATAAATTGATCTTCTTAGCTAGTTAACAATGGCAGGAGCTGGATTCAAGTTTGTCACTTTAGAAGCCACTGTGTTAATTCACCTTTGCATAGATCAATGAGCATGTTCATTGGCAGTGGTAAACAGCGCTTCTGTGTGTTCTGGCACACATCACGGTGTCCCGTTGTGTCAGAAGTGGTTTATTCATGCTGGCCACATGACCCAGAAAGCTGTCTGTGGACAAACGCCGGCTCCCTCGGCCTGAAAGCGAGATGAGCGCCATACCTATAGTCGCCTTTGACTGGACTTAATCATCATTGCCATTAGTAGGGATATTTTTCTGATCTCATTGACATGAACTGCCAATAGAAATTTTAATAAGACATATGAAACATAAACGGACAATTATAAAGCCTCTAAACATTAATGGAGAAATGTTTAATTGTGGTGTGTTGTAGACATTTTTGTCCCAATTTACTATTATATTATACTATATAATATTCTAGTAAATTTGCACTGGAAACTAGTATAAAACATGGGCCCCATGGTACGGTATATCATATAGATTTGTTTTCCAAATCCTTTCAGATAACTGTTAGAAACACAGAAGGGTTTAAAAAAAAAAAAACAACCACAAAAATTACAGTATGTTTCAATGGAACAGAAGGATCTCACAAAATCAGAATAAGCTTTGCTTGGAGCCAAAGTTCTTGGACCACCAAAGAAACTTTTGCATTAGTGCAGCAGCTGAATATTCAACTGCTTCTGAACGCAGTATCTTTTCCCATCAAGAGTCTTAAGGAATACTGTGCAGAAGAACCGAGCAAAGAAAACAATCTTCAAGAGTTCACTAATAAAAGCAACAGTTACATTTTATATCAATTAGCATTTTTCAGTTATAAACCTTAAATGCAGGTATGTATGAAGATGAGAAGGAAGCCCCTCTCATGATAATGTAATACATTAATGCTCCCATAAGTCCCATTATATCTGAGAGTACACTGGACTCTCATAATAAGACATATGCATTATGTGGAAAAAGGGTTAGAAATAAGTACGTTCAGCAGCATTTGGAAATGCTACAAAGGCCCATTTGATCTTACTGGTAGTTTTAGTATTATCTGAAGGTTGTAGTCCTATATACAATTCTCTGAAGCAAGCTACACTTTACTTCTGAAGAAATATGCATATGATTACACTGTAAAACTTCTAAAAGCATGTATGTTACAGAATAAGCTAAAAGGAGGTAGGAAATGAAGATTTTACAGGACAACACATTTTATTCTCCAGTTTTTTTCCAAGGTTTCCCTGTTTTGCTACAGTTGCAAAGTCTTGAAAACCTTTTGGCTAGTCAAAAATCAGTATTAAACAATCTCACATTAATTACCCTGAAATGACCCAGCACTGACTAGCTGACTAACCCAATATAGCAGCAGCGATAATTTACTGTTACTAAGCAAAATTAGTTTTCCAAGACATGTCCCAGCAAAACTACTTGAATATACCATCCCAAAGTAAATAAATTTTACACCACACTAAAACACAGTGATAGACAGTGAGGCTATGCAAAAACCAGCATTTGTAATCATGTAGCATTACAGAACCTCACAGTGATCCTAAGTAAATTTATTTGGAAGTAGGACTATTGTTTCAATGCAAGTTCATTTGAAGTAATAAACATGAAACTTGATAATAATCACAGTCACCGTAAGTTTGCTCAATAGTCTTGCAAGGCAGAAGAGTCTTATGAGTGAGCTCACCTTGTCCCGCTGTTTAAAAAGTGTGGCAGTGGGAAGAGAGGGACCTGCCAACCCACTGGGACAACTCCGCTGCTTCTGCGAAGTTCTGAACTCCTTGCCCTGAGTTTGGACTCCTTAGACCATTGCTTCTAGTCTGACTGGCCTCACCTTTCCTGTCCTCTAGTCTGAGAGCCGATGCTCAGCCCCTCTCTCTTTTCTGCCTCAATAAAGGTTTATTCTGTACTCTTAAGGAAGAGGCTCTGTCATCATGGGCTAGACAGTAGTGAGGAAAACAATAAAATAATATCTCTCATACACTATATACAGTGGTACCTCTGGTTACATACTTAATTCGTTCCGGAGGTCCGTTCTTAACCTGAAACTGTTCTTAACCTGAAGCACCACTTTAGCTAATGGGGCCTCCTGCTGCCGCCGGAGCACAATTTCTGTTCTCATCCTGAAGCAAAGTTCTTAACCTGAGGTGCTATTTCTGGGTTAGTGGAGTCTGTAACCTGAAGCGTATGTAACCCGAGGTACCACTGTACTTTACAGACCAACTGATTTCATAGAGACTGTATATAAATAAATAAAAAACTATAGCTTGAGCTGAACAACTCGATTACAATAATAATCTATTAATCACAGTAAATTGCTTCTAGGACTTATTTTTTTAACATTCTGATATTGTATATGCTGATTACAATATAATATAAATTTACCCATTGAACCCCCCCTCCATTTCTTGTAATGCAATATTTTATGCAATATTATTTCCCAGGGTATCCAACATTAAGCCCTCTGGAGGTTGAAGACTACAGCTTTCATCATCCTTGATTATTATGCTGCTGAAACTGATGGGAGTTGTAGTTCAAAACATCTGAAGAACACAATGTTAGCTGTCTCAGTTCTCTGCCATACATTCATTTCCTGTCTCCTAAAAGTTTTTATATTTTTTCCATAAGCAATGAAATCTGATCAAATATATCCATCTCTGCCAAAAGCTCTTAGTTCAATGCTGAATATTTTTCCTGCCAATCGTAAGTTGAAAAACTCAGCAAATTCATTAAATGGAAAGTATTCTACAAAAACTTAAAGAAAAATAATAATCAAAGAGGGTAAGAAGTTATAGATTTGTCTAGTAGACCAGCCTCATGCCCCTGGTCAACTAACAAGGCCCAAGAACATGTCATCTTACTTTAGTTGGTTTCAAATTTACAATGTAGCAAGTTGAAATAAATACAATGTGATCCCACAGATGTTTACAGTACAGTACTCAGAAGTATGCTTCACTGGGAATTATTTGTAGGCAAGTGTGTAGGTAAGTGTAGGTAAGCCAAATTAGTTTATTTGCCATATTTATAGACTGCCCAAATGCCCCAGGACAGAAATGCACAAAAAAAGAATAATAATATTAAAGACCAAGCAACATAAATTCCATACAAATAAAACAGCAGCAGCAGCAGCAGCAGCAATAAGAATTCATTCCATTCTATCTCACCTTTGCCCAAAGACAGAGCAACAATGTGTGCCAGCTACATTATCAACTGTTGCTTCAATGATATCACTACCAACTGGGCTTATCCAACATCTAGGATAAACCTTTCACCTAAATTTTGACATTTTGAAATATCAAAACACTAAAAAGCCTTGCTAAAATCAGGTGTGTGTTTATATCTATATTCTGAAAACAGGTTTACCATCAAGAAGCCATATCATAATCGATAAGAAATGTTCAAGGGAAGTAAAATATTACTAGATTCAAAATATTTTCCCACTATGCCTAGGCAGAGAGAAAGGAACAACTCCCCTCCAAATGACTTAAGAGCCTGAGACACCATAAAGATTAGGATTGAAAAGCATGGGCTATAGTAGTAACAATCCCATAAGTGCATGTTCAGACAACAGCAATCTTGAATATTTGTGAGATCCTGGTAAAGCCATAGTTTTGCTTTCCATGTTAATCAAACCAGGCCTTTAAAAAATAACTAAGAAGTTATCTCAAGAGGCAGTATGTTGCTCGCCACTAATTTCTTCCAATCAAATGATTGGTCCTCGTGCTACAAGAATACATGTCAGCTGGCACTATGAAGCCATACTAGTTTTTCATTTGTTTTCCCCTATCAGTTCATGAAGAAAAAAATGCTTCCAGTCAAAACTTTAACTAGGCTCACATGTGCAGTTATAATTAGCATGCTGCTGTCCTATACCAATTAAGTTGTGACAGGGGGCTCAAAGACAGGCTATGCGGGAAAGATATCCATTCTTATTACATATAGGCAGAAATATCACACATATTTGGGAAGCATGTAACAAATCTAATTCAATGCTTTAGAGAGTTAACCTAAAAACAAAAATATGCAAAAAGAAATAATTCATTAAATCACTCCTACAATGTGTATACTCTAAGTCCATTTTCATGCAAAAGAATGGCTCGTGATATGTCCAGTGTAATTTTATGTCCCATAGTCAGTAACATTTTGCTTGCAATTTGATTTCACAATTCAGTAGAACCTGCTTTTAAACTACTGCCCTATTTCTTGGTTTAAACTCTCCTTTGTTAAATTTCATACCGTTGATCTCAGCTACATCTACCTGTAGTACTCTAGTCAGCCAATTTTCTCTAATGTATTTCCACTTTCACATTTATGGAAGCTGCTCTCATGCTAATAACTACATAATAAGCCCAGCTACACATATTAACATCTTTTCACTAGGAAACGTTGCTAGACTTCTAATAATTTTGTTGTTCTCTTATGGTGCTGTACAAATTTGTCCCCAAAAAAAACTGTACAGTGGTACCTTGGGTTACATACGCTTCAGGTTACATACGCTTCAGGTTACAGACTCCACTAACCCAGAAATAGTACCTCGGGTTAAGAACTTTGCTTCAGGATGAGAACAGAAATCGTGCTCTGGTGGCGTGGCAGCAGCAGAAGGCCCCATTAGCTAAAGTGGTGCTTCAGGTTAAGAACAGTTTCAGGTTAAGAACGGACCTCCGGAACAAATTAAGTACTTAACCCGAGGTACCAAAGTAACCAGACACCGTTATTTTGTTAAGGCGAAACTGAGAGACTGGGACAGCCATTCTTGCTCTTCGAATTTTGACTTGTTCAAATTCAAGTTGTTGCTTTACAACAAAATTTGGATATGTAAGGATCCCTCAGCATTCTCCTCATCTTACCTCCACATGCTCCATCGCTGGAGTCACTCTCATCTAGCCCTGCTATGCTGTAGGAAGTGAGCCAGACTGGAAGGAAAGTGCTACAAGCAATAAAGCAAGGTAAGGTCAGCTCTCCATCAGCAATACAAATGGTTTGCTGAAAAAATTTAGACTCCTGCTCTCCCTGCTTTAGACATTAACAGGGCAGCTGTGAACAAACGAACATGGCTGCAACCATGACATATAGAAGAACTTCAGCTTCAACTTTACAGATTCTTATACAAGCACCTTTAGTTTGGATTTGTATCCCAGGAACAGAGACGCAAGGCCCCAGCAGTGAGGAACCTTAAGCCCAATGACTAAATTCAGCCCTCCGATTCTCACCATTTGGCCCACAGGACTCTCCTCAGCTCACAATCCCTCCACTGCCATACTCCTCTCCCCATGTAACATGTCTCAATGGCTCTGCTTTGCACCCACAAGTATTTTCACCTGCCTGGAGTGGGTCCTTGCTTGCCTGGATGGAGCTTAGAGAAGAGTGTGTGTAGAAACTAGCCTACTGTACAAAGCCCTACCTCCTTCATTAGCAGTGTTAGAATCTCAGATATATAAGCTAGGTGCCAAGTGGATCATAAACTAGGGTTACAGTTGCCAAAATGGAATGTCTAGCTGCCATTTTTGAGCAAGACGGCTCCAGTGTCTTATTTTTCAAATGATGAACTGACTGACTATCAGTTCAACATCTGGCGAGTTTAGATGACCACTTTGAGCTATGTGAAGAACTTCGATTACCTGAGGAAGAAAGGTCACTTTATCCAGGGACAGTCAACATATATACTGCCCTATTTCTACCTCTTTTTCTTAAGAATATTCTTCACAACTGTGAGCAGGACAATGGGGTAGCGTAAGTAAAGACAAGCTACAACAATTAACTATAATGTTGTCCATTCTCAGGCTGCACAGAATAAGCATTTTGGTTCCTGAAATTCATTCTGATTGTGCAGATAAAATATAACCAACAGAATTCTACAGGATGTAGTATTAGTGTGTGAAAACAGTCAACATCCAATGATCCCCAGGCGTGCACCTTCAGATGGCAGGTGCCATCCTGGCACCCAGGCATCTTCACTTAGTCGCAAGTGGCAGATAAAAGGTAAAGGTAAAGGAACGCCTGACCATAAGGGTCCAGTCATGACCGACTCTGGGGTTGTGGCGCTCATCTCACTTTACTGGCCGAGGGAGCCGGCGTACAGCTTCCGGATCATGTGGCCAACATGACTAAGCCGCTTCTATTTTATCTACCTGCACTTTGATATGCTTTCGAACTGCTAGGTTGGCAGGAGCAGGGACCGAGCAACGGGAGCTCACCCCGTTGCGGGGAGTCGAACCGCCGACCTTCTGATTGGCAAGTCCTAGGCTCTGTGGTTAGTAAGAAAACAGGTACTACTAGCATATTCCCTTCACCCACTGTTCATTTACTTCCTCCCATGTAAATTAACTTTTAAACGCCAATTGACACAAAGTAGTGAGATTACTATGTTAGTCACCAGTGCCACCAATGCTACCTAGATGCACTGACTAGGGACATTTTTCTTCTTGAAACAGTGCATTACATGTAGCAGACAACAAGTTCAGAAGAGCCATCTTTAACTACACCATGGATTCCTCAAATACATTTACTGGGGATGTTTGCTTCAGCCACCGAAGCATGGAAGCAGAAGTGGCACCAGGCAAGAAGAGATTAAGCAAAGAGACAGGAAGCAGTGAGGTGGCAGGGGCAGAGAATATTGTAGCACAAGCAAGAAGGAGCAACTCATAGAAATAAGCCACATACCATAATGAAACACACACATTCTACCTGAACACCAGAACACAGTCTGGGGCACAGGGCACATACAGGTCAATATAGTGGTATTCATGCACTAGATTTTTAATGGGCAGAGGGGAGAGAAGCAGTCTGAAATCAGGAGACCAACTACTGAAAGGGGGGGTATTGTTTTTGTTTCTTACTATGTTATGCATTTCTGTGTTTTATATTTGTAAGCCGCCCTGTGATCCTCTGAAGAACAGTATAGAAATTTAATAACAACAACAAGAACAACACCAATAATATATTCAATTTCATGCTTGAGTCCTGACATCTCTATCCTGGGTAAATGTGGGGCTGCTTTTATTAAAATGCATATATATATATATATATATATATATACACACACACACACATATATATGTGCTATTTTCAGTTTATATACCACAGACACATTATAAAACCACCTGCTTTATAAGGGCATTTGCATGATGCAGGAATTCACTGTAGGATCAGGATTTAACTTTGCACATTTAAACATAAAGTTCATTTGACAATGTATTACTCAATTCTTAGCTAACCAAATCCAATGTTCCATACTAAAGAATTTTATCACTATGCCCTCAGTTTAGTTCTATCATTTTTACTATTATTATATCTCCCTCAACTTTCTTACTATAATCTTGTTTTTCCTAAGTTTTATATAGTAAACTGCCACTGGAAATGGTTAAACCAAGTTCAACTATAATAATTCAATACTGTATTTATATTTTAGATTTCCCTAAAAAATAAATCCACACTTATTGCTGCAAGTACAAAACAAATACTTTTTAAAATGAAAGCAAGTTATTTCTATACTCAATAGGGTAGGGGTGAGTAACTAGTAACCCTGCAGATGTTGTTCAGTCTTCCAACTCTCATCAGTCTTAGTCAGCACAACCAATGGTCAGCGATGATGAGAGCTGCAGTCCAACAATATCTGGACAGCCACAAGTTAGCCACTCCTGTTGCAAATCACATAGCTGATTTCATACAATCCCTTCCCAACCCTGAAACTGTTCGCTTATATTTATTTTGATCAACCATCCACCTATCAACTCAGTTCTTTTGCAGAGCGTAAGATTAGGCTCAGGGAACCCAGTACAAGAAGACGCATGCCTGCTTCCTCTGTTGTGGGGAAACTGGGCATGCCTACAATCAAAAAGTCACTGTTTACTGTTGCTTTGTTGTATTTGTTGGTAGAAGACCACTTTTGTTATACTGTTTTGAGTTGCTGCATCAATGCTATCAGTAATATTATTTTAACAATTTATATACCACTTAAGCAGTTGTCTCTAAGCTTTCTTGAGTTGTTGCTTTTGGGGAGAAGCAAAGCTGGCTTCCAACCTAAGGGTTACAGAATGCTCAAGCTGGGAGCTGAAGCACTGGATTTTTGAAAGCAAATCTTAGCTTTATCTTCATTCTGTTGGTGCTGTAGTGGCTGTTGCAATGCAGAACGTCTGCAAATTCAGAAGATAAATTCTGGCTGAAGACTAAGAGTCCAATCCAAGATGGATACTTTCAAGAATGAACAGCTCTCTTTCCCACCAAATCACAGTACTAGCTGCAATTTTGCACTAGCACAGCAAATGCCTGGGACACTATTGCTGCAACAACTAAAGAAAGTAATACCACCAGTGTAACTGTGCCAAACATGGCTTTTCAAAACAAGACTGAAGAGTGGCAAAGGAAAACAATCCTATCCGTATTAAACTAATGTTAACACCAAACCACAAAGTATTAACTTAGTGACGTGTTGAGCACCCTAGTCCACAGAGAATTGCTAGTACAATTGTGCCAATTCAAAACATTCCTAGGACCAGCCACCGAGCCACAAAAAATTGAAGTTTAAAAATGTATGGCTAATGAATCAGAACCTGATAATAAACATTCTTCTGTAGTCTCTGATTCTCACCTGCAGGCCCACAAATGGAGCTTTATGCATGAATTAGTTAACAACTCTTTATAGGGCTGGACCTCAATAATCATGACATTAAAAAGCAAACGCAAAAAACTGGAGTTTAAAAATGTATGGCTAATGAATCAGAACAGGATCATAAACACTCTTCTGTAGATTCTGATTCTCACCTGAAGGCCCACAAATGGAGCTTTATGCATGAATAAGTTAACAACTCTTTATAGGGCTGGCCCTCAATAATCACCACATTAAAAACAAACACAAAACACGTTTAATCTGGAAACCTTCTCCCAACCTTCACATTCCCATGCTATTATTATTTTTTACCAAATAACAAAACATGTAAAAGCATGCTTCCCAGCAGCACTGTTTCTTTAAAATCCTTCATTTATTTGTAATCCTTCAACTATTTGTAATTCACTTTGCTAATATAACTGAGCAAATCTTAAACATCAAACCTTAAGTCCAGTTCAGCGGAATTATATTAACTGCTGCTGCTCACATCACAAGAACAGGTACAGTCCATGAATGGTTACTGACACTTTGGCTTCTGACTGCTCACTACACTGCCACAAATCATAAAATTACCACATCTGCCAGGAAGTGCAATGCAATATAGTTAAACTAGAACCTATTTTGTTTAACTTTTTAGGTGGGAAACAGAATGTAAAACTGAATTTTTAAAATGCAGAGAGCATCCAATCTTCTACATCCAATTTTAAATAAAGCTGAAACCCACTACCTCATTGTGAGAATGCAACTGTCAAAGTAAAAAGCTTGTTCATATTAATAAATCTCTCTCTCTCTCTCTCTCTCTCTCACACACACACACACACACACAAAGAAAGCAAAATCATCTATAAAGAGGAATGTGTTGAAAATTCAGTGAGGTGTTTGATCATCTTGTAACATGTTGGAAATCTGATGAGGTTACTGAAGCAATTTTCATACACACACGGTTATTGGCCTGAAATGTTTGGATATTAAAGGACACCTTGGTCAGTCCTTCTCATTCTAAGCACCTGCTAATGAAAGCAATTTTAGAAAGAATTATTTAGTTTAACACTACTATGATGCAATTAAAATACTGAAGTCCGGAGCACGTTAATATGTGGTCATTTGTTTAACTTCTTAAAGACGTGGTCTACATAAAAACCAATTCACGAGCTCACTATATATATACCAACACTCCTATGCTCAAACTGCACTGGCTGAAGGTATATCAGTGTGGGGTCTTGATGCATACATGATGTCAGGGATATATTGACAAATTCTCAGTGCTTGCTCCACCAACAGAGGGTCCAAATACGAGTGGCATTAGGAGCAAGTCAGGGAAGGAAGTCCTAAACACCTTCAGGCCCCTCTCCTGGTTATTACGCTGGTAAAAGGTTATGCCAGCAAAAGTATTGATCTGATTTAAAACAGCTCCAATGAACTCACACTGTCCTCATTCTGTGCACACTATTGTGACAAAGCATAGGATTCTGAATAACTCTGCACTCAAATCATAGCACACCCAGACCTGTATATAAAATCTCTTCTACAGAGCCCATAACACTGTATGATGTACACCAGGAGGCTATATTTCTCTGGCCTCCTGTCAAGCATACAAGGGGATTCTGATTATGGGAATTAAAGAAAGGACACTTTGCACAAAGGGCTTTAACTCAGCAATATGTTATTCCTCTACTTGTTGTTCTAACACTTTTCTTCCAAGAATCTTTAAATATATTTTGCCTCAGGACACACAGACAAGATTCTGAGTTTGACTCCTTCAACTAGAGGTGAAGGGACAAATCACCCTACATGGGAAAGGAAGGAAAAGAAGAGTCTATGATTCAATCCATGACTACTGAAAATATTTCAGTCTTTTATGTGCTTCTCCCTGCTCCCCGTGAAAACAGTGCCCCGGTTATACTGTTTAACTGTTGGTTGCAGTGCCTTTCTGCACTGTATAGAAAGGGGTAGGGTTAATGCCAGGGTCTCTGATCCAACCATTGCTACTACTGCCCAAACACTCTAGATGGCTTTTGCCCTGCAGGATCACAGAAGAACAAATGGACATGCACAGAGTTCCCCTTCAACTACTCTCATGGGAGATGTGATTATATTTTCAGTCATTACACTCTCCACCAGGCAAAGTGAAGATGAGGCAAAGGAACTGGAAGAGACTAGATGACAGTACCCAGTATTAATCACTCATTAGCTTCTACTGAGAATCTAAGGCAAGGCTGTGTGTTGCAGATGCTATTGCTGATTCCTGTCCTGGGATCACTAGCCTTACCTTCCCACAAGCAGCCCTCCAACAGGTGCGGAGGAAAGGGTGTTCCCAATTTCCAGTGTCATAAAGACAACTAGTGAAGCCTACTGCAAGACCAACAATTGCCAGCCTTCATGTTCTAGCTGGACAACTTTGCAAGATGTTTGACAGATGTTTATGTAACAGTTGAAACCATACACAGCAAAGGGAGGCAGCGATAGGTAAATGCCACTTGTTACTCTTCTGCTTATTATCATAAGCATAGTAGCCCTACTGGAGTAAGAAGGTTGGCAACCATAGCCATTTACCTGCTTCCACAACTGACTCCACTGCCAATGTTCTTTAGTGAAAGCATTCAGTTTCTCAAAGCTGTTGTTTGTTAGTCACTGAGAGCTTGTTACTGCAGTTTGTCTTCCTGTGGGTTGTTTTTAACTTTGTACTGTATAGGATTCTGGCTACACTACATACTACACTGACTTTATATGGGGTAACCTGGCAGCCAGCTTGATTGCCTGGTAAAGCCAGCTTTGTCAGATGCTGAGATGGACTGAAGGATGACAAGTATTTAAGAGCAGTTCTTTCTGTGTTGTTAGTAAATGCTGCTAGTAAATGCCTCAACAGCATCACTTAAAAAAGTCACCCCTTAATTTCCTTCAACAGGTTTTGTAATAAGGCGAAAAAATCCATAGACCCTAGTGAAAGTCTGGTTTTCATAACTGGTGCCAAAACAAGCTTTTTAAAGACACCACAGACTTCCTTAACAAACTTAACTCTATTAGACAACTTCCACAGGAAACCATCTCAGCAACTGTGGAAATAGAATTATTATATACAAACATCACAATGACGATGGGCTCTGGCATATCATGACTACCTTCCCTGACAAAGAAATACAGTCAACATCACCCCATAACATTCACATATCATCCTCTTTACATACTATTGTTTCAAGTTGAGATACCCATCCCTCCAAACCCACAGTACCACAATGGGCACATGTGCAACAACATATACCAACATCTTCATAGCAGACTGTGTAATATGTGTTTTAACTAGCATTTAACCCAGTGGCATACCTCAGATACACTAATTATGTTTTAATCATTTGGACAAATAGTGAGGAACTGTTTCAGAGATATCACCAAAATAACACCTACTGCCACCCTACAGTCAAGTTCTGCTTCATCAATTCCACAGCAAGTCCAAGAGGCTTGGTGGTTTAGACCACAGTGCCTTTGCCTTTACCATCTATTCCATACAACACACCCTGGATATAGTACAAAAGACATCTGAATACGAGCTTATACAGAAACTAACCGACCACTAACACCTACTTCCATGGCACCAGTTACACCGACAGTGCATTATCTACATTCAGTTGACTGTCTGTAAGGATCTGTTTAATGAATGAATGAATGGAAATTCCTGCTTCACACATAACCCTACCCATGGTTTGGTGGATCATCTAAACCATGCACAAACTATGGTTTAATTACTGCCAACAAACAAGAATCTGAAGTCATGGTTTGTTGTTGGCTAAGGAACTTTTAGTTTGTTTTAACTACGGCTTGGCATTACATGTGAATCTGACACCCTTCCTTAATTATGGTTTGGACATCCTACCCCAGATGCCCACCAAGCTACAAAGATGACTATGGGGTGTGGCGCTTGTCTTGCTTCAGTCTGAGGAAGCCGGCATTTGTCCGCAGACAGCTTTCCGGGTCATGTAGCCAGCATGACTAAATCACTTCTAGCGCGGCAGGAGACCGTGACGAGTGCCAGAGCACACAGAAACGCTGCTTACCTTCCCACTGCAGCGGTACTCACACTGGTATGCTTTTGAACTGCTAGGTTGGCAGGAACTGGGACAGAGCAACGGGAACTTACCCCGTTGTGCAGATTCGAACTGCCAACCTTCCGGATCAGCAAGTCCAAGAAGCTCAGTAGTTTAGACCACTGGGAGTGAGTGCCGTTACAAAGGAACAAAACAAGAATAGTTGGAAATCAAACATAGCTGGGTTTGTTTCACTGTCTGTGGGACTATGTGTGGTTAATATGTGGTTTCCTAAACAAACCATGGATCACTGTTATGTACAAACCAGGCCATAGGCACCAATGCAACAAACCAGATAAATCTTTTTCTTAAAATGAGAACACTGCTAACAATGCAATCTATAGCATCTAGGATTCCTATGAATGCCACTCTACAAATCACAAAGTGGCTGTCCTAAAACTCATTAATCTGGATGGACAGAGAAAATAGTAATTGTGTAAACCAGTGTCTCAACAGCTACCATGGATTTCTTCTTCCCTGTATAGTATCAAGGAAAACACTAAGGTGCATCACTTAAAAATGTAATTTCCACTGAGGTGTTTCCTTTTAAAACACAAACAACCACCCTTACATCTATGCTATTATTCAGTCCCTGTATGTATATGATGAAGAGGACTTTAGGCCATGAAAGTTAATGCTTTTGAAATGCTGGGTTTTTATACCACCTTTAAAAACTGTGCTCTGTTAGACTTTTCTGTTCAGAAGTAAGATCTACAGCTTAGGGACTGCCACAGATAATGCCTCATTAAGATTACCTCTCCCTGAACTTCTGAGGCTCATACAACTACCAAGAGGACTCCCTCATCTTAACATCTGAGAGGGTATGTAGGGAAGTAGAAAGCCTTCCAAATATTTGGGGCCTAAGTTCTTGCTTTAAACAATGAGTAGCTTGGGTCAGGTCCAGAAACAAACCAGCAACCAGTGCAGCTCTTTTAAACAGGAGTTATGGGAGCTGTAAATAGTAGCCCAGCCAATAATCTGGCTCTTGCATTTTGGAACAGTTGAAGGTTCTGAGTTGCCTTCAAGGGTAGCCCCACATAGGGTGCATTCTAGTAATCCTATCTGGAAGTTACTAGAGCACAGAATACAGTGGTCAAGTCATATAAACAACTATCTGGGCATCTATTAACTTTGTGTATTGCTTTAGCACCAGCTGACTGTCTGAGACTGGATGCCCACATAAATGTACAAGATGAATAGAAAAGTGACAAGTAAATGCCTTCTTAAGTTGTGAACAGCGATTCCCCAGAAGTCATTTACACAGGTTTACAGATCCTCACAGGGATAATTTCAGGACGGAAACAGTAAGTTAGATGTTGTTGTTATATCAGAATAAAGATGTCAGCCATCTTTCCATTATTTCTTCAGAGGCATCCACAAATTCACTTGCCAGCTCACAAGGAGAAAGATCCCCAAGCCCTCTGTCAGCCCTCTGACAAAGTGGGAATCCAGCACCAAACACATCCCTGCTCCACTGTAGCTTCTGAGCAGATAAGAACAGCAGGAGTCCCTTCCAAGCAGAGGGAGAGACTCATGGTGTCTTAGTTGACCCTTGTGGTCACTTCACCTCCAGTAATAATAACAATAATAACAATAACAATAACAATAATAATAATAATAATAATAATAAATTTGTACCCCGCCCTTCTTACTAGGTTGTCCCAGCCACTCTGGACAGCTCTAAAATTCTATGTTTCTACTTTCACCATACCCTGCACAGACGAAATACTGTACCAGTCTCTCAAGCCCCTTTGCATGCCAGAGAATACAGGGGAAGACACTGGTAGCTACTTTTTTAATGGCTGATTAGTAAGCCAAGCCAACATTTATTCTACTATCTGTTTGCTATATTCTGCCCCTTCTCCAAAAAGCTCAGAGCAGAATCTACCTCAAAGGACTGTTTTGAGAGAATGTCTGTTAGAAGGAGAGTGTGGTACAATGGTTAGAGTACTGAACTATGACCTAGGAGACTAGGGTTTGAATATCCAGTCAGCCATGATGCTCACTGGGTGACCTTGGGCTAGTCATCATTTCTCAGGGTTGTTGTGAGGATGAAATAAGGAGAAATAAAATAAATAAAAAGGTTAGGCTAGGTTTGGCTAACGTGAAACGCCTTGCTTAGTGCCAACCAATTTTCTCCATAGGGAGAAGAAATTTTAACATGGGCTTCCCATATAGAAACCCAACAGGTATCACTGACTGATACCTGTTGGGTTTATTTATACACTGGCTGTATTACCAATCTTACATAAATAACACTAATTCGGCATTTTAAAAAACAGTGAAGCATTTAAAAGCAAATTATTAAACAATATTATTGCACATAGGACTCAATCCACCTTACTTAAATGATTAGATCAGTGTTTGATGGATACTAAGAACAATTTTAAAGAAATTTTCCTATTCAGTATCTGAAAAAGGAGATTTATCTCTTCCAATTATTATTTTCTTCAAGCTTCTCCATTTTTATTTTAATGTCTTCGTTTTCTGCCTCCATCACACTCCCTGGACAACTGCCTGCACCTCCTTAGGGAGACCTGCACCACATGTAAACCAAAGTCTTCTATTCCCATTTCACTCTAAACAACTAGAAATGCCAAAATCTAAGCTCCTGTTACCACAATGTCCATAAGGCCATGTGTTTGTGAATACCTTCACATAGATAATTGTCAATGATCACACCAATATCTGCTTTAAGACCCACTTGAGGGCTCACAACATTTTTGTTGTTGCAGATACTACATTTTTCAGTGACTGCAACATGAAACACAAATACTGTGTGATCACAGAATTGTAGAGCTGGAAGGGACCCCAATGGTTATCTAGCCCACCCCTCTGCAATGCAGGAATCTTCAGCTAAAGCATCCATGGCAGATGGCTATTCAACCAGCAGATGTGAAAAGGTTCCTCAGCAAAACACAGACCTATTAGCAGCATAGCCACTATTGCAGTCACGTACTTGAACTCACTCTCCTGCACTGATCATACTAGTCTGTCTGGACTAGCAACACCCACCCTGAGGACTAGTCCCCTTGTGGCTTACAGGTGTGAAGCACATCAATTCAGTATACCTGGAACTTGCAAAATCATTCTGTCTGGAAGGATACTTCAAACATGCTCAAATCATGAACAAGAAAAAAGCAAGGAAACATTTGGGCTGGTGCGGGGGTGGGGGAAGGGTTTGATAATGTTGACATTGGTTCAAGAATGGGCTAATATCTGCCCCCTCATGAATATGTTAATAAAACAAAGACCAGTGCTCTAGATGAAAATCTGCAGTTACAAACCACTGTATGTCCACATATCATGATTGAAAAAAGATTTATACATCCCTACAAGGCAAAGTCATAACATGAAAAAAATCACAACGTAAGTGATCTGGGGCCAAAGTTGGGAAGGTAATTCTTTATAGGTAAAAGGTAGGTCTGGAGACTTTAAAAGCCAGATCAATCACCCTTACAAAGTTCAATTATAATGAATAATTGTATCAATCATAGGATGCTCATACTATACTCATTGAGAAAATAAAAATTCTTCAAATTCTCTTTTTTTAAAAAAAGTTCTGAAGTATTATGAAAATGACTGCATAAATTCAAAAACAATAATTATTGATGCTTATGAGCTTATTATACAGTCATCAGCAGATAAAGTTTATTTTTGCCAATATGTTAGCAAAAAAACCACCACAAAGAGATCACAGTCATTTCCTAGTGCAGCAGTGGCACATATGTATTTTAACAAGGGCCCCCTAAAAGCAAAAACAATACAAAACTAGATTTTTAAGTATGTCCAGGTGTGGGTCTGCTGAAATGAATATCAGGAATAAAGAGATTACATGATCTAACACATGAGTTACAATGGAATCTTATACACGCCTGCTCAAAAATAAGTCCCAGTGGGGATCTGGGTATAGGACTGTATTCCTAATAGGAATTAACTCTGTGCCACACTTTGGCTGCAGTTTCATTTGAAATTTGAGTAATATGGGAGAATTACAGTGAAATCTCAAGAGAAGCATGTACTATGTTTTTTGATTAAGTGTATCTCTATTAGCTTTTTCCAGTACTTAATATCTTTAACAAACCCCAAAACATCCTTAAAAATATCAATGTCTCCTTATCCAAAACCTTTAGAAGTGAAGATGCAAATTAAGGATGCACATACGCACTTGTAAACAAGAGATTTCTTGTTATAGTCAAATTTTAACAAAAGCATATGCCATCACAAACATGCATACAGCAACTTTATATTCCAACTGATTCTGCCTAAGGATTTCCAGACTTCCTTGTAACTCAATAACCACTTCTACACTGTTGCTGTGACTCTACAGCTTTAAACTGGAAGTCAATCTAGGACAACCAATGGAAAGTGCACCTGCAAAAATTACATTTCTTAATTCAGAGTGCTAAATCCCCTACAGTTAGATTTTAAAATTATTAAAACTTGCCTGTCACAAAACAGAGCAGACTGTACCTACACTAACAGAAAAATGAAAATATTTGCATCTTAAGTTTAAATTATAAACTCAAAATATTAAACTTGTTTAAAATAAAATAACAAAACTTCACATAGATTCCTTGACACAAACATCTACAAACATGGGCTATATATATTTGTATTGTTTGAAAGACAACATCATATTACAATTACTACAATTCCATTATAAAATATAGAACTTCAAGTAAATACTACATGAAACCATTTATCAATTAAAATTGCTAAAGATTGGGGGGAGGGGAAATCAAGTAACAGCAACAGCATACTTCAGAAATCCCTTAATAGAACCAACATTTCAAAAATGCAGCCCCCTCCCATATTTATATGTAATCCAAAGCATACCTTCAGCAATAGCAGTCTTTGATGACAAAGAATGTATACATCTACCATTTATTTTAAAATACATAATTGTAAAACAACATTCCATCTTAAAAAACAGACAAGCAATGTCACTTAATTATTTTGCAATTAAACATTGAGTTGCTAAAACTAAAATTAATTTGCTTCTTATAGCCAGCCTTACTGTGATATCAGTGTTAAATAACCAATAAAAAGCTTCCTACAACTACTATTTGTACACACAGGGCATCAGGCAGACGTAAATAAAAAATAATGCAAATCCAGAAACAACATAGCCTTTAACAAAAGCAAAAGGCACTTTCAACTGACAAGAGACACAACAGCAATTTTAAAAAAGAAATGTCTTAATGAAGGAGAAGATATTGTGTATTTTTCACACCCTAAAAAGAGCAAAATGTTCCACACCACTGCTGCAGAAGTCCTTATCAACACTTACCGCAAGTAATACTGTTTTAAAGCGAAGGCAGCGTTAGAACAACTTCTGGGAAAGTTAAACTCTTCTACAATTTCTCCCCACTGATTCTTCTCAGATACCTGTCAAAAACAACACACTGAGATGCACAAAAACCACACACATGCACAACGTCGTCGCTCGCCACCCTCAGAAAAAAGGGCTGCCATGAAAAACCCAAGAAATGTGAGCAAGATCTCTGGATTTGTTTCCATCGGATCTGGGATCCCTATTTCGCCCTGACAGGCAACCGTGGCGATCCCATCTCGCTCCTCCCCTCGCATTTTACAACATTTATTTTATTGGGGAGCGAGAAAAGGCTTCTGTGGGGTTGTGGGTTTTTTTGTATTTCGGTGTGGAGAGGTTTGTTTTTGTCCTCGCTGCCTGGACAATAACCAATCGGGAGTCTCTCCGGCCGCCTTGCTTTTAAATCCTCCCGCGGCCCGTTAAAAAAAAAAAAACCCCAAGAAGTTGAAAAGGAGCCAGGCCGAGTCGGGATGGGGGGCCGCCCCCGCCGGCCCAGGGGTGCCGGGGCCCCGTCCCGCCGAGCCCGCCCGCCAGCTCCCGCGACACACAGAGGCCTTTCTTTTGAGGCCTACATTTTCTGTCCCTAGCCTTGAAGCCTAAAGATGGCTATTTGATTACACACCGTCTTGGCTGCCCCTTTTGTTATTCCTCTCCGGGAAGGGCTGGCGGGGCAGCGCCTGGTCCCCCCCACGGCCGCCGGGATCATCTCCGAGCCCGAGCTCCGTGCCGATTATCGATGTTAAACATGCCCGCTAATTTTGAGTTGCACTAAAACTGCACTCAGAGTCTCCTCTCTCTCTGGGCGCGCGAGGGAGAAACACCACACACACACACACACAACCCGCAAGCGGAAGAAACTGCCTCACACACGCCGCCTTGCCCGCTCTCTCCTGCCCTCCAGGAGACGTGGGGTGATAGCAGCCCCCCCCAAATAAATATCTAGAGGGGGGGACCCTGGGAAAAGCGGCAACCCCCCCCACACCCCGGGCTCCAGCTCTCCGCCGACAAGGCCGAGGCACCAACCTGCCTTGCCTGCTTCCTCCTTCCCCTTCCCCCCCTTCCCAGCCCGGCTTGAGGGAAAGACGGGCGCCGACCCCCCCAGCCCGCCGCCGGGCCCCCCGAGGGCGGCGAGAGAGTTGGGGGAGGAGAAAGCGAATTAAAACTTCCACTCACCTTCCCGAATCCGCCTAAAGTGGTGACTCGGGTGTAGAGAGCGTGCAGGTCCAGCTCCTTCCCACCCACCACGGGGATCTTCTTGAAAGGAGACCTGCCGAGAGAGGGGAGAGCGCCACAAAAACAACTTGTCAAGTCGGCCCCCCTTCCCTGCCCTGGCGGGGGGCCGCCTCGTCCTTCAGGGAAGGGGCTGGAAGTTAAAATCGGCCGCTTCGCACAGCCTCCCCCCGCCGCCACCATCCCCTTCCATCTCCCCATTTTCCTTCTCGCTCACCCTCTGCTGTGGTGAAACTGCCGCAGCTCGTCCAGGAAAGCCAGTCCTTTTCTCCGATGGTCGGGTTGGTTTTTCCCGGTCGAATTTGCCATGTCGGCCCCCCGGATTTAAAAAAAAAAAAAAAAGGGAGGTCGGGGGGGGGGGTTGTTGTCTCCTTAAGTGGAGGGAGGGGAGAAAAAAAATCCAAGAGAAAAACAACAACAATCCGCGGCTCCTCCTCGCCTTTTTTTCAAGAGACCCGGGTTCCTCCTGTGCTCGGCCGGGGATCAGCCATGGAGAGGGACTTGTTTCGAGAAGAGAGAAAGGGAGAAAAAGTTTAAAAGGAATAAGGGAGCCCGGAGAGAGTGGCAATTACGAGTCCTGTCTCCACACGGCGAGGGAGAGAGGGGCCACCGCTCGGCAATTCTTGCCGCCGCCGCTGCCTTGCCTGCCTCTCTCAGCACCACGAACCCAGCCGATCCAGCCTGCACATGAGACTCAACATGGTGCTGCTGGATCACACAATGAATTGGGTTAGTGTTGTGGTAGGGTGGGGGTTGGGGAGGCTGGAGTGAGGGACTGACAGTGTGTGTGTGCGTGTGTGTGTGTATTACAGACGCGGCTCCATGAGATCTCCCCTCTCCCTCTCTCTCGCACACACATACATACACACACACACTGTACAGCGGCGGCGGCGGTGGTGGCGGCGGCGGCGGCGGCAGCGGGATTCACTTCTCTCCTCTCTCAGACAAAAAGATCTGAGGCCGCCGTGCTGCTTGCCTGGGCGAGATCGCGACACAGCGCACCCCGCAGGCCGGCCGAGGCACTGCAAAAGGCAGCTCCGAAATGGCAAAAGGCAGCACTGCCAGCGAGCAGTTCCTGGCGGGGAACAATAGGCTTCTCTCGCGGCTAAGGGCTCATCTGCAATGTGCCGCAAACTTCACACACACAAAGCCGGGCGGAAAGAGAAAAGGCTGGAGGAGAGGGGGGGGGCAAGGAAGGGGTTGGAAGCGGCTACTACCGGTTGTTCCAGGGTTAGGGGCAGGGGGAAAATGTTCCATTCTTCCCAAACTTTAGAAAGATGGAAGTACTTTCCAGGTTAACCGGAGGAGATAAAAGAACAGGAGGAGGGAGGGACTTGCGTGTTTTGTACATACCAACTGTATCTTTCAAAAGGAAAAGGAAATAATCACCAGTGCATTTTTAACTTTGAAAACCTTTCTACATCAAAACTGGGAGATCCCACATATTTTTGGATACCATATGTTTTTACATGTGAACACATATCACATTACGCATGGCCTAAAGTAATTTTATGAGAGTTCCTAACCTCTGTAGTTCAGGGTGATCTTTTAAAAAAATCTAGAAAGTTTTCTGTAGCACATGACTTCTGAAGATTCACTAATAATACAAAGGTTTTATATTTAAAATAATTATAATCGGCTTCAAAATATATGAAACTTGTCTAACCATGGCAAAGCTGGGTGATCTTCCTAGTTCAAATTCCATCTCAGCCATGAGTTCACTATCAGACAAGTCTTTATTCTCTCAGCCTGAGGCCGTGTGCAACGGGGGGGGGGGTGTAATAATATTGGCCTACCCTGCAGGGGTGTTGCAAGGCTCAATGGAATAAACTGTAACACACTCTGAAATCCTGAAATGCACTACATGAAGTTTTATTATTGTACAATGAGCAAGTGCAGCTGTAATTATCAGGGAATATCATATAGGCAGGGAAAATGTACTTACTGAGGAAACTTGGGCTATAAGTTACACCTGGCCACACTGCGTATCCAGCACACAGTTTTATAAATTTACACCAGATATATTACTTATTTGGTGTTTTTTAAACCAATAATACGACATACCAGTGGGGTATGACATACCAGCCCACTCATTTTGCAAATCTTATAGGTAATAATGCAGTTAAACTATTAAAGGCCCCTGATCCAAAATATGGATTGTGAAACCTAGAGGCCTGTAAAAGTGAATGGCGGTTTTGTTTTCCTTGACTATTGCAAGCCCAGACTGCAAATCAAGTAGCACAAGAATGAATGTGTAAGAAACACAAAAGTGCTATGAGAGATTATAGTTGTTAGGGGGAAGGGAGAAGGATGTGATCTTATGCATACAATAGGTAAGAATGTGGGGGGGGGAGGGTGAGCTCAAGGTGTGTGAGACCTGGACAAGGCAAGCAAGAGGGTAGAACATTTCACCATATTATGTATCCATATACTTCATAAGACTTGCTGCAGTACAACGCAATATGTATCGACTCAGAAGTTAAACCCCATTGTTTACTCCCAATATGTATGTAGAGTTGCAGCTTGAAGTGGGGCATTGTATGCTGGTGCTCCATACTATGTATTAAAATGCAGGTCCAAAGAAAAGCTTCTGATCATTTCTGGTAACTTGATTAATTTAAGCACACCACTGAAGTGCAAATCACACCACGTATTAATAAAACAAGCCCTTCTTGATTTCCAGAATAAGCTTATGTGATGCCCACATCCAAAGTTTGCTTTCCTTAGTTTGCAATCCATATATTGGGGTAAATTCCAGTGAGTTCAGTAGGGCTTGCTTACTAGGCATGCCAAAGAATGTAGTATGTGATAGTCCTTGTTAAAAATTTAGTAGCAATAATACCCAATAAATAATTTTGTAATCGCAACCCAACTCAGAGCTGGAATTATGTGTGGAAATCAAATGGATTTTTTTGTTCCCACAGAGTAACACATGATTTCACCCATCTTCAACAGATGTAAATGGAACTTCAGATAAACTCTTTGAAATACTTGGGGATATTTCTCAATCACAGCTCTTTTTCAGTTAGGCCCATAAAATAAATTATACTCTAGATGAGTGCTTGATTTTTTAAAAAAATGTCACTGACATTTAAAAATTGTAATGTAGGTGAACACTTTCTCTCCCCCTTAGAATAAGCAAGATTCTAGATTATTTGAGACTTATGGGGCAAAGGGCACTTTTCCCTCTCCTGCAGTGAACTGAACCCCCAGCCCTGTATCATCATGTTATCAAATCTGAGATCTGGTAACTAAAGTTAGGAGAGTTCTGTTTAAAAATCGATTACACATTATGGTCTCCAGTGAGCCGGTCAAGGAAATCTATATTCCCTTTATGCCGTGTACTAAATTGCTTCAGGAAATTAAAATCTAAGATTATGTTTTTCTTTCAGCTGGATTGCAGTTTCATCTTGAAAACAGAGAGATAGAGATGTATTAAGACGGTTGGTAAAACCTGCCCTCCAGGTCATATTCATTATTGAGAAGAGGGCAAAATCCCCTGGTTTGGGATTATTTCTCAACATTTTAAACCTCCTGCCCTTCTACAGCCGTTTCTTTGAGGGGGGAGGAGGAGAAGTTCTGCAAATCTCACCCCCAGAAGCACCCTAATCTGAAGGGATGCATGCAAACTTTGATCGCCGTTGCTTATTTTGCTCTTTCCAAGTTAATAGCATCCGCAGAAATAGCTGTTGCTGTCGCTCCAGAAAAACAAATGCAGCACCAGGCGAGCGTGCGTTCAAGCGCCTTGTGGGAACATAAGGCTTTTTTCTCGTCCTCCACTCAGGAGGGAGAGTTGTAAACAGTCCTCGAATGACTCAAAAACTAGGGGTCTCCCTCCCACAAGCGCCTGGTAACTTGGCAGAGGTGAGTCAGTTCCCTCGCTTCAGTTCCTTGCGCGTACTGTATACTGCGGCGGCAAGGCAAGGATACTCAAACTGCGTAGCCGGGCTCCGCTGCCAGAGCGCCGCAATTTGCGCACGGTCCCTTACGCAACCGTCCGCTGGGGGATTCCCTGGAGGGGGTCGATACCATCCCGCCACCGCACTCAAGGCCCCGGGAGCCGTTTACAGGGCGGCCTTAGAATCGAGGAGGCGGCGGCGGCGGCGGCGCCACCACAGCACCAACAACGGCCGCTCAGCTCTTCACAAAATGGCGGCGCCCACGGAAAAGAGCAGCCCCATTTTGTGCCCGTGGAGCTGTCACAGCAGCGGGGAGAGAGAGAGAGAGACGGGCTCGGCTGAAGGGGGGCCGCGCGGAGCAGAAGGCGGCGGCCGGGTCAACGCGTTGAAAGAGAGAGTGTGTGAGGGAGCGGGGGGGCAAGGACTTCGCCTCTCCCTCGCTCCCCCCGCCCCCGAGACGAGCCTTGTTGACGCGAGAGCCGGAGGCGGGCGGAGTCGGCGAGGCAGCAAAAAGCAGCAGCAGCTGCCGCCCGCAGGGCTTGAGGGCGCGGGGCGGGGAGCTGCTGCTCCGCCGGTCTTCGCTGCGGCTCCTCGCTGCTTTTTTGGCCTTACTGGATTGGCTGCTCTTTTCTCTCTCTCTCTTTCTGTAATTTTTTATTTTTTTGAATTGGGGCCATTTTCTCCGCAGTTCGGATTTCCCTCAGACCTCGCGAGCGTTCGCCTCCTCCCCTTCCGCCGCCGCGACGCAGGTCTCCGGGGTGGGACTGGAGCGCCGGTCGCCACAGCGCGATGGAGGAGCCGGAGGAGGAGGGGATTCTCTCGCCGCCGCCGCCGCCTCGCTCTCAGCCCCGTCCCCTTCCTCGGCTTTCCTCCACAGATTATTCTTTTTTTAACTACAACAGGGCCCTGTAACTTTTTTTCCTTAGTCCCTCTCTCTCTCTTTTTGTTCTAGCAAACCAGCACTTCTTCCCCAAGCGAAGGATGGGCAGAGTTGTAAGACTTTTAACGCGCGTCACGTCTGGGAATGCATAACTCTCGTGCTTCCTTTTTGCAATTGTGCCTTTCTGAAAGTACGTATCTCGCCTTGTTAAAACTGATGCTCTCTTCCGAGTTGCAGTGCTGGCAACCCTGCAAGGTACATCTACGTTTATGTAAGGGATCTCGCGTTTGGTCTGGTTATCAGTGGCTTTTTTTTCCCTACGAAGATGATTTGTTTTTAGCAAGCTCTTTTTTTAAAGGGATTAAAAAAAACTAAACTTGAATCGCTTGTTTTAATGGTTAGATTATTTAGCACCTCTAGCCTGCGGAAATTATTTTGAAAAGGCTTAAAAGTGATGCGTTGAGGCTGCTGTGGTTTGCAATGCATTGTCCTGATTCTGAAAAAAAAAACCCCAACCTCATCGTAACGCTTTTTCATTTCGCTTTGTGCGATCAAAGTGCCTTAGTGAGCAGCACAAATTAAACTACGTACTTGATTTGGTAATATTTATGAAAAATAAACGCTCAACTGGAACACTGCCTAATTGTATACTCTTAATTTGTACCAATGTTAACATTAACTTTGTTAGAATGCAGATACTGTGATTTTGCCACAGACTTATTTATAGTAGAATTTAAAAGGTAGTTATGAAACAAAGCCACTGTGGTCATTTCCCCAGTGCTAATTCGTACCCACAATTAACTGTTTTACTAACACATCTACTTCTCCCTTCTGCTTACTATCCTTTTATGCAATGGTTGTTGCTTTCCTATGTGGTTTCGGCTTTTTTCTCAGGAGTAGACTGTTGCAGCTTGCTTTCTGGCATTTTGGTCTTGTATAGTATAGACATTAGTTTTTGTTAATAAAGAACTTCAAGCTTCCAAGTGTAAGCCATGTATCTTTACTCAGAAGGAAACGCCACTGCGTTCCATGGGGTTTACTCCCAGGTAAGTTTACATAGGAACTGTATGCTTCAGCAGTATGGGTTTCTCTTAGAATTTGGGTCATTATATGTGCTTTATATTTTAAATAACAAGTACTTGCACTAGTTGTTGAAGGTTGTAGTCCCACAGTGTGCATTTTATTCAGTTAAATAATCAAGGGAAGAATATATTTACACTAGGCAATCATATCTTATTTCTTAACACCTTAAAAATTCTATTTCCCAGAGCCTATCACATTCTTAATATAAAAAGACTTGCTTGTTAAGCACTTTTACCAAACATATTCTGGAAAAGACTGTTCCTTTTTTTAAAAAAAAAAGATGCTTTCTCTCACAAGTCTTTGTTATATCCATTTTAAATTGAGATGTGATTTAAGGTGATAACGCCAATGCAAATATTGTTTCTGTTTAGCATAACTAAAATATTGTCATTTGTCTTTATATCACACCCCCCCCCCCCAATGATTAAGTTGTGACTCTTAGCTATAAGGAGAGTCACCTAAAATTGAACCTTGTCACTTAATGGTCACATCCATTAAGCTAGCTCTGCAGTATGATTTGAAGCATCCTTACTCAATGGTAAATCTCACTGTACTCAGTGGGACTACCTCTTAAAGTGGATAGATTGGAGCCTCAACTTCACAAATACTCATCCTCATAATCCACATGAGACTTGCATTAATCAAAGTACTTCTCTAAACTAAGCTATGTAGCAAGCTGTATTCACATGGTTCATGATTTATATTCAATGAATCCTAAGTTATCTGTTGTGGAACATCTGGAGCTGTGATAAATTTGTTTATAGGATGGCAGGCTGGTATACACTCCTCAAAGACAATAAGATATTTCTTTAACACTGTGATCTTGGATAAATTTCTTTGAGCATTTACAGCATTTGTGTCCCTAGTTTTTATCAGTAGCTATATACATGGCACGCTTAAACATTGTGTCAATATTTGTCCTTTCTTATGATACATAACTAGGTTGATATATGACATTGGGTTGCATTTCAAACTACAACCCATATTCTATTGTGCAAAAAATGAAGGTTTGAGTTTCCTCAAAAATAGGGGGGGAATCCTTCTTGACTCTTAAGAATCTGGTGGATTTAAGACAATTGGTGTAAGTTTTCCAGCAAATGATGCAAAATCATGCAGATGAGCTTGTGCTGACCTGCAAGCCTTTATGGTGAAATTACTCTTAAAGGATAGCTAACTGATACTCTGAGTAAGCAGAGCTATGTATTCCTTAATGAGAAGGGCTATTGGTTCCTGTAGTGATTGTAAAGGGAAGAGTGCTCCTAAAGGAAGTGTTGAAGTCCCGTCTGACATCTATTCATTTTTTTAAAAGAAAAGAGAGGGAGCTATTCAGTAGGGAAGTAAGGGAACCTGAGTAACCCTCTTTCAACATAAAGGTACAGTGCTAATAAGTGTTATAAGATGGGAAGTGCAATCACCTCCCCACCCCACCCTCCCCAGTTCCCAAATCACTACACCTCAGTACTTGGAAAAATTTAATACTTTCCAGTTGTCTGCCTACCATGCAGCTGTTAAAAGCAGTTGTGGGGGGGGGAGGTGGTTTCCTTTTTCTCCCATAGAAATGTAAGTATGGGGGGGTGTCGTCCCCCCTCCAAAAGTTTACTGACCATAGTTAAATTTTGTTCTTTTCTCATCAGTTTAATCCTAAACAACATTGGTTTATACCACACCAGCTAAACTGAGGTCCTAGGTTGATAGCAAGGACAGCAATCTCTTTTTGCTCTTTATGCATTGAAGAACAAGGTACCTATCTGCATCAACACTAACTCCCTCTATTGCATCTTGGTATTAAGTCAAGCTTCCATATTGTCATGCCTCTCTTAAGTCGTACAGGAAATGATGGAAGAACAGAAGTTCAGGTTTCTTCTGTACATTACTATTAAATCAAATACTCAGCTTTGCCTAGTTTGTGGACTGAAGCACTGGACTAAATAAAAACCAAAAACTTTGGACCATTTTGCGCAGAACAGTAAACTATATTTTAGTGTTGTAAGGACAAGACTCAATGACTCCAAACCAGCTGCAAGGAGGAGTTCAGAAGCTTTCACTACAGTTGAAGGTTTTGATGCAACACTTTAACTATAGTTAATCTTTACTGGTTTGTGGAAACAAAGCATTGTTGAAAACTATGTTTTGGAGGTAGCTTGTTTCTACTAATCATAATTAAGACTAACAACAATTTGTCGGGTTTCAGATGCCATGACAAGCTATGGTTAGGTCAAAATGGAAGCAAAAGCTTCTGAACCCTTCAAGGTAACACCAGAGGAAGAAACAAGGAGGAGTACAAGAAGCGCAGAGCTGCTGGAGTTCATCATAATGATAATCTATAGCAGTGGTTCCCAGTGGGTGGTCTGCTGACCACAAAGGGTCTATGTAACCCACCCAGGGGTTCCGTGGCACCATTCACATAACAAAAACTACCATAGAGATAAAAAAGTTTTCTAAAGTAGGGGGTCCATGGCTTGGCTTTTTAAAAACTGGAGGGCCACAGTACTTAGCTAATTGGGAACCACTGATCTATAGTGTTGCATGCAAATGCAGCCACTGTATTTATGTGCAAGGTAACAGGTTAAGGTAGCTAATTGAATATAGTTCTTATGGGGGTTATTTACTAAGTTTCAACAAAGCTAATTTTAGTTTCCGATCTCCACACGAGCAAAGAAAACAGTGCTTTAGAGGGCAAGGCATTGACTTCTAATTGAACTAGAGCAAAAAGTGTATGTAGCTGGGTGCTGAACATCAAAACTAGTTCTAGTGTGTTTACACACCATTTCCTATAAAGCACCTATATGTCTTGTTCTTAAGTCTGCAGTTCTAAGCATGCATCTCTAGAAGTCCTATTGAAGATTATAGGATTTAATTCTATGCAGAGATTGTCCTGCACATATATTTACATGGATTTCAAAATTTCCAGTTATTGCCACTGTTGCTAATTAAGTGCCTAACAGTATTTTAGACAATGTAGAATTTATAGATCCCCTATCATAATGGCTGACAGTTTAATCCAAAACTGGTAGGGTGAAGGAAGAGGAGGAAATGAGCAAATCCAGGTGCTAATTGCAGGAAACAGTTGCAGTAATGGAGCAAGTCTCAACTCTCCTTCGAATGCAGTCAAGTGCAGTGGGATGGTAGAACCCTAAAATATGCATGCTTCAATATTATGCAGCCTTTGAAGAGCAGTTTCCCTGTTACAGTTAATCAGTGAATCTGAATCTCTCTTTGCTTATTTTGGAATCCAGTGGAAGTGAGCACTGAGAACTAGAACAAGCAGAGAAGCAGGATCTCTGAGGTACTGGTTAATTTAGCTATCTTATCCTATGATGAAATGGAGAAAATGCTATCGTGCGCACTGCTCCATCCTTTATCGGTGCCAACAGTACAACACCTCATTTCTTGGTGAAAAGCATTGGTTGGCTTACATTGGAAACTGCAGCAGCTCCTCCAAAATTAGCAAAGAACATATGCTGTTTTCTGCTTCAGGCTTCTGAATTGCAGTAACAATAGGAGGGATCTGCTTTACAGAGACAAGCAACAATCAACATTCACAGCTTGTTTATGAAAGTATGAGGAGGTTGGTTTTTTAAAAAAATGTTCCTTGGATTCATGTAATGGATTCTCCCAGCAGTGAAGAAATCATCCAAGGGACGTCCCAGTGGTGGTTTGACTACATTTGTATCATATTGTTGATACCTTCCTTCAATATAATGGATCCTGCTAGATTTCTTTTTGGAATTGTCAGCTCCAGTTATCCAGACCCTGAAGTGGTTTGCAGTGACAGTAGAGACGTCAGCCATGTCCATAATCTTGTTCTGAGCTTTTGATCCCTTTTGCGGCCTACTTCACCCTCTGAACCATTCTATACTGCCCTTCGGGACGGGTTGCAATGTGTATCTAATCAACACATCCACTGTACTTGGAGCAAGAGGATAATTTTCTAACCATCGGGGTTAGCCCGACTCCACCTTTGCACACACAAAGAGACCTTGCCATCTCCAACACTCTTTTCCTTACACTTGTGAGGTTGCTTATTGGATTAAACTGGGTTGGAGAATAATCATTATCCCACTCATGCACACCCACTTGCCATTACTTTTATAATAACCTGACTCAGCCTTCCCCCAACTTTGTTCCCTCCAGATATTTTGGACTACAACACTTAATCCATGCTGCCTGGGAGCGAAATATCTGAAGGGCACCAGGCTGAGAATAGTTGCCCTGAGGTTCTAGCAGAGGGCCAGAAGCTTACAGAAACAGCTAGCTAACACAGACGCCAAAACTACCATAAAGGAGCCATGAGGCTGAAGGAAGGATGGGGAAACCTCTGTCTCCCCCCATGCTGAACTTGGTTGGCCATGCTAATGGGAAGTGTGCAGGTTCTCCATCCTTGTGTTCAAGCACTAGCTATTAGAACAAATTGCTGGTAACGTTAAGTTAAAATGCATAGTACTCACATTGTCGTAGGCTTTGCAGGTGACTTCCCACCAAGGTTTCATTTTAACTCGCCGCTGTAGAGAGTCTTATCACCCCTCGAGGAATTATGTTGCTACTGTCCAAACAGTTGGGGGTGGATGGCTTGCCTTTCCTTCTAACAGTTTGTCCCAACTGCCATGGAACAATTTAAGTCCAAAATTCCATTCTCCTTTCCTCCTCCCTTAAAAGGCTGTTTGCCATTATGAAAGTAGTCGAACTTAATTCCTTTATGTACGGTATTTCATGCAAATTCATCATGAACTACAAAATGCTGACTTTGCCACTGAAAGGAGGGTAAAGATGGTTGGTTTATCTACCGTCACTACGAGGAGTGAAGTTAGCCTCCACAGAGCCAAATAGTACTTCAGAAAAGGCACACCTGTCTAGATCTCTTATCGTAGAGGAAGACCTAAAATAGTTAGTATGGGGCATGAGTTGTCTGAAGGAATATGGTTAACAGATTAATCTCTTCATGCAAAAGGAATTATGTGTACCTTGTCCTTTTGGGACAGAATAGTTGGCTGAAAGTCTCTTTGGAAATAAGCTTCTTTTGAACTAATGACATTTCAAGGAAGTTGTGGTTTTTATATGCCCCTTTTTATGTAACATGTTTCATCAGTCCTGTGATCCTGGAAGAGGTGAAGATGAGAAATGCTTGCTTTACTTGCCAGTACTTTCATAAAGACGTGTGTATTGGGAAAACTTGTCTTCATCCTTTTAAAAAATTTCATTTACAAGTAGATTTAAGTCTTTGTAAGGGTTTTGAGTCTTTGAATATAAGGGCAGTTTATTCAGGATTCAAAGGCAGTTCTTGTAACAATGTTCCATTTAATTTCATGGGATAATACGTTTAGAGTTGGTGTTTCAGTTTGTGACCTTAAGATATGCACATCTTGTACAAGCCTTCAGAATAAAATTCTGTTTTATTATTGAATCTTGCTCCTAAAAGAAATCTCAAACGACAGTACAGTGGTACCTCGGTTTAAGAACAGTCCTGTTTATGAATGATTCGGTTTATGAACTCCGCAAAATTGGAAGTAGTGTATCGGTTTGCAAACCTTACCTTGGTGTAAACGGAATCCGAACGGTGGAAGGGCACCATCGGTGGGAGGCCTCATTAGGGAAAACACGGCTCGGTTTAAGGTTTCAGTTTAAGAATGGACTTCCAGAATGGATTAAGTTTGTAAACCAAGGTACCACTGTACCTTACAACAACTGTTGTTGTTGTTTACCGTGTTTATAGTCCATTCTTCATCAATTTTTTCCAATTCCAGAATGGGGAACAAAGCTATAAAAATAAAAAGAGATAAACTATACAAAAACTACAAAATCACATAAACAGGACCAACAAACAGCTAAACAATTATAACATAAACAAGCAAAACTACAGCAATCTAAATTAATATTTCCAGTTTAATGAAATACGGACCTCAAGAGTCAGCAAAGCTGCAGGTAGGGATGGTTCAGATGGATTTGTTGGCCTTTGCCATCTTTCTTTTCCTTACCAGTCAGCAGTCCTCTAGTTGATCATGCTGTAACCATTTAGAAATGAGGGAACCCTGGACTTAATGTTAAGTGGTGTCCAGGACCTGGTGTGAGACGAAGAGTTATTAAATTCAACATAAATGTAAGTGAACATTTGACAAGGAAGCCTAACACAGTTGTACTGTATTTAACTTCAAGGTGGAAACTTTAAAAAAAAAAATGGGGGTGAGGAATTGGTAAAAAGAAAAGTAACAACCAGATCTCTCAAGAATCCTTGGAGGTTTCTCAGGCACAACAATAGAAGCTTAGCTTAGCTAGAATATATTTTGCAAACTGGGAAAAGTACTGCTAAGGCCACGAGGATGCAAAAAAGAGAGTCGAATATCACAGACAACATTAAGACCAACAACAAATTCTTTACAAAGGAGTCAATGGTATGCTAAATGAGATTGCAGACAAGCTCAGTTATTTCATCTTTTGATGAAGGCACAGCGAGAACCATTTTTTAGAACTTTATTTCTCAGGCAGGCAGGGCATTAGAAATGGAAGCAAGTTGTGTTGGCAAGCGACAAAGTTCTATGCCTTGCTGATAAGTTTAAAACTCACAAATCACGGGGTTGGGATGGTATCCACCTGAGAGTTCTTGAAGAACTCCAATGTGACTGCAGATTTTCTGACAAATCTGTAAGTTGTCTCCACAGTTGAGAACTGGAAAGTAGCCAATGTAGCGCACTAGGAGGGTTCTACTTGTGTTCTATAGCAGGAGTGGGATACCCGTGACCCTCCAGATGTTGATGAAGAACAGGTTCCTGCCTGGGCCATTCTGGCTAGGATTGATGGGAGCTGGGAATCCCCAAAACACCCAGAGGTCTACAGGTTCTAGTTGAAACCTCTGTATCCTTAAATGCTAGGGAGTGACAACAAAAGGACAGAAATCTGTCTCAAGGCATGCCTGACCAGCTGGTTACTTTAAAAGGAACTAAAGCATGCTAAACAATAAGATAGTATTTTTAGTGTTGTCATCTCAAGGAACTGAGCTGCAGCTTGTGCAGCAGTTCACAACACCATATTTCAAGTTGGATCAAAGGCAGTTCTGAATAATTGGACGTGAGCTGACAGAAGAATGTAGGTTCTTTGGCAACTGTCAGGATTGCCTCAAGTTACGTGGCTGGTTGTATACTTAATCTACAGAAAATCCAGGGGCTCATCTTCCTATCCCCTAATTAGTATTAATAATTTGGTCTGCAGTTTATTAATATACAGCAGATTACGTATCCTCGTGATATATTTTCCTCCCTTTCAATACCGTTAAGCAGATTTATGTGAGGTTAGTGCAAAGTGGCGTACAAGAGCATTTCTGTTTGAAGTAACTTAATTATTTAAAGGTTATGTGAGAATTGAAGTCACATCCTTGAAGTACGGAACATGCACTGCATTTATCGTCTAAAATAATATTGGTTTGGTATTCTAAAAGTTTGTGCTTTTGTCATCACTGGCATGAGCAATAGGTGGGTTCGGATGTGTCTCACTCAAGTGGTCTCTCTTACGTTTGGATGATAGGACATGTTGACCTGCCTCTGATGAGAAAGTGGGAGAGGAGGTTTGAAAAACTAGCTCTTAATCTAGAGTTAACTGTAACCTGAATAATTTAGCTGATTTTCAGCAAACAGATTCCACTGGTTTGTGACAATGAAACATTTCCCAATGAGGCAGTGTGGTGTAGTGGTTAGAGGGTTGGGGTTCAAATAATTAAATGTTGTAGCTTGTCTTCACTTAGCCTACCCCACTGCCCTGCTCACAGTTGTGAAGGATATTCTTATGTTATGAATGGGCCATGTTACCTTTAAGAAAAAGGGGTAAAGGGGTAGGATAGGCCAACATACCGTATTTCTCGCTCTATAAGACGCACCAGACCACAAGACGCACCTAGTTTTTGGAAGAGGAAAACAGGAACAAAAATATTCTGAATCTCAGAAGCCAGAACAGCAAGAGGGATTGCTGCGCAGTGAAAGCAGCAATCCCTCTTGCTGTTCTGGCTTCTGGGATAGCTGCGCAGCCTGCATTCGCTCCATAAGACGCACACACATTTCCCCTTATTTTTTGGGAGGGAAAAAGTGAGTCTCATAGAGCAAAAAGTACGGTATATGTGGACTGTCCCTGGATTAAGTGACATTTCTTCCTTAAGTTCTCAAACCTAGCTCAAGGTAGTCATCTAAGCTAGTCAGATGTTGAACTGATAATCAATCACAGTCGGTCCATCGTTAGAAAAAGAAGACTTTAGAGCTGTCTTACCCCAAAATGGCAACTAGACATTCCATTTGAAGACTGAAACCTTCATTTAAGAAGCCGTTTAGCACCTAGCTTATACATCTTGAGTTTCTATCACTGCCTACCTCACAAGGTTGTTGTGAGAAGAAAAGAGGGAGACGGATGTAAGCCACCTTGAGCTCCTTGCAGGAAAGGTGGAATTAGAAATGTAATATAAGCATGCAGTCCTACATATGTTTACTCAGAAATAAGCCCCATAAACTTCAGCAGGACTAACTCCCAGGTAAATGTGTGTAGAACTCCAGCATCAATGAATTTGCGGAATAAGAATAGGCTAGTGGATATTAGGTGTGATCTGTCCACCTTGGTCTCATTCAGGCCTCTGAGAGTTTTACAGCAGCGCTGTTTATGGGCACCTATCAGCCTTGGCCCCAAATGTCATACATCATGCTTTAAAACATTGTGTCAAGCTTTTCTAATATCACTTGCAACAAATCAGAATATTCATGCCCAAGACAGCTATAACCCCCTCTTTGTGTCTCCAGGAAAAAGCATTTCAGGCAGAGATGGTACAGTGATGCTAAATCAGATGATGTCTGGCCAGAGCAGCGAGAACTGTGCTTGTGGTCAGAGGATTCCATCTCGAAAGCAACTCTGATTTATACTGACTCTAGCTCTCTAAAGAGAGGTGAGGGGACTCCAGTGGACAAGGATAGTCTGTGGGAGGAAATGGGCTAGTCCTCATACTTGGAAGTGCTGAATTAATGATGAAACGGGGAGGGGGGAGCAACTTTCTTCGCTTTGCAGTATTTGGTGAGAAAAATGTTTTAAGTAGATGTAAAATGCTTATTTATTTATGACAGGCTATGAGGTTTATTAAACATGGTAAAGTTAGGTTGGATCTATAAAGCCCATGTAGAAACACCGTGACGGGGTGAGCTCCCATTGTTCTGTCCCAGCTCCTGCCCACCTAGCAGTTCAAAAGCACGTCAAGTGCAAGTAGATAATAGGTACCGCTCCAATGGGAAGGTAAATGGCGTTTCCGTGCGCTGCTCTTAGTCATGCTGGCCACATGACCTGGAAGCTGTCCATGGACAAACGCTGGCTCCCTCGGCCTATAGAGCGAGATGCGCACACAACCCCAGAGTCGACCGCGACTGGACCTAACGGTCAGGGGTACCTTTACCTTTAGAAACAAATGCAGTGGTCTCTTGCATATGAAGGTCCATGCCACAATATATAGTCAACTGTTGCACAACACTTTTGATGTGGTAAACATTTTGTCACATTTAATATTGAAACATCCATAATTTATATTCAGGGCATATTCTAATGCCCCCTTTAATTCAAGGGTTTAAAACATCAATAACTACTACTACAGTCATACCTCGGGTTGCAGATGCTTCAGGTTGCGTTTTTTCGGGTTATGTACCGCCGAAACCCGGAAGTACTGGAATGGGTTACTTCCGGGTTTCAGCAGTCGCGCATGCGCAGAAGTACCAAATCATGCTTTGCGATGCGCAGAAGTGCCGAAATGCAACCCTCGCGCCGCTGCGGGTTGTGAACACTGCAGGTTGTGAATGCACATCCCGCACAGATCAAGTTTGCAACCCGAGCGTCCACTGTACTATTGCTACATTAGGAAGTTGGTAATATTCTAGGATATTAACAACATGAACTTTAGGTATGTGCTATGATCTGTGCCACAAAGTCTCATTCGGGTATTTCCTAGAGTTTCATCATATTATTCCAAGGAAGCTCATGTACAGATCTTGAGAGGTAGCTGCTGCTTTTTAATCCACCAGTGAAAATCATTCGGGGAAAGTAAAAAAAGACATTAGTGGAATTGGCTTTTATGGAAAGGTTCTGAAGGGAAAAATCTTGGAATGAAAAACAGCCATTAAATAAGTGATCTTTTAAGTCAGGAATTCCCCTTGTTTGAAGGAGGAAGGACTGTATTGTGAAGTTGGCACTGCTGATCATTGTCAATGCAGGCCAGAGATCCAAGCAATACGGTCATTGTGGTTTGAGAAATGGTACAATATCCTAAATCAGGCATAGGCAAACTCGGCCCTCCTAGCTAACAGGACCAGTAGTCAGGGATGATGGGAACTGTAGTTCCAAAACATCTGGATGGCCGAGTTTGCCTATGCCTGTCCTAAATAGTCAAGGTTTCACATTGGTTGAAATGCTGCAGCTGTGCAAATAAGGAAGGGGTTGCTATTTTAGGTTAAGCCTATATATGAACTCCCCCCCCCAAAAAAAAAATACCTGGGGGGAGTCACAAATATGAATTTACAACATACTATAAACCTATAATAGTGTTTTTAAACCAACTAGCGTAGTTTTGTTAATGCAGTGAGCAAATTTAAATGTGTGACATCAGTGCATTCTTATCATGATACTGTCCTTACTGCAGTATTTCTTGGAAATTCCCCTTTTATATTCTCTTTCCAGTGTTTCTAACCACATGAATAATTTTTGTAGAGCTTTATTATTTTGTACACAGTTACAACTGCTGCTCTTGTTATTGAGGACAGATTGTTCTGTATTGCCTTTCATGTTTTGTGGCAGGTTTTTTAATGTTACTTTTAGATTTCTTCCATTATTTCTGATATGATATTATTAATGTGGAATAACCTGTTGGGGGTGAATATCGGAGCCTCCATTAGGTTAACACTGAACATTGTGTTTTAATTGTATTGTGTTTTGATTTGTTGGAAGCTGCCCAGAGTGGCTGGGGTAACCCAGTCAGATGGGCAGCATATCAACAATAAAGTGTTGTTATAAAATTACCTACAATTCTAAGACTCTTCTGCAATTTTCTTGTATTATGACAGAATAATTATTTCATTAATATCTTTTCCATTAAAATATAGAATTATGGAGCATTCCTCAAGGATAATATGGTGTACTGTAAAGATCTGATCGTCAATGAAATATAGAAACTCATGTGCTTTGGTTTGCATTTCAAGATATAGATGTATGTATAAGTTGGCTAATACTGTCTTTTAATGGTGTATCTAGGCACATTCTGAATACAGTGGTACCTCGGTTTAAGAACAGTCCGGTGTAAGAACGATTTAGTTTACAAAATCCACAAAACCGGAAATAGTGTCTCGGTTTGTGAACTTTACCTCGGTCTAAGAACGGAAGCCGAACAGTGGAAGGGCACCGGCGGCAGGAGGCCTGATTAGGGAAAGCGCACCTCAGTTTAAGAACTGTTTCAGTTTAAGAATGGACTTACGGAACGGATTAAGTTCGTAAACCGAGGTACCACTGTAGTATGGATAGGACGTATATTTCTTTTTACTGCTGGCTGAAATGACCAGGATGGTTGCAACAACAAATAAACTTTGACAGCCAGCTATATAGAATGAGACTTTTTCATTTTACATAATTTGTGCTTGTCTAGAGATACTGAAGTGGACAAATATGAAAAACAAGGGATCTTGTAATGTATTGGGGTGTGTGCATAATACAACCCAGTTCCTTGTTTGTCATCTTTCATCAATAGTATCTAGTACACAAGGAAACAGCAGGTCCAGAAAGGAATGGGCTAGCATTCAAAGAAAGCATCTTTTGTAAACACCCAAGTGTTGAATACCTGAAAAATACTGATCACAGCTGGCACAAAATCACAGCAACAAAATGTCTCATGATTGCCATGAGCCTAGTTAAGTATCGGTTTGCTTTTTGCTGCTTTCATAATGTATTCACAAATTGGCTTTCCAGATGATATTTTGCAAACCAGTTCTATATACAGTTAGGAAACAGGTTTCATTTTTAATCTAGGCAGATCGATCTTAACTTTGCAGCAGAGCCAGTTATTTAAAACCACAATCTCTTTATATCCCTCTCAGCACTGAGGGTTCTTTGAATATTTAAAGATAGCGTACCCGCCTGGCACAACTCTGCTATTTCAGAATTCTTGTTAACAGAATCTGAAAATCTGTTTAATGTATGCAGGTACCGTTAACAAGCAAATTGTGTAGTAGTCAGTAACATTTAGATCTAAATCTGTGGCCAGATTCCGACACCTACTGAGGTGGAGCAAATGTCTGTTCCCTTCACCGCGTAGTCTATATGGACTAACTGACACACATCTTTATCCTTAAAAAAGAAAAAGTGGGATGATCACCCATACAGTGTGTTTGGGCCAATGTGCATGGAGTCTGCATCTAATACTACGGTGGTACCTCAGGTTACATACGCTTCAGGTTACAGACTCCGCTAACCCAGAAATAGTGCTTCAGGTTAAGAACTTTGCTTCAGGATGAGAACAGAAATCATGCTCCGGCGGCATGGCAGCAGCAGGAGGCCCCATTAGCTAAAGTGGTGCTTCAGGTTAAGAACAGTTTCAGGTTAAATGCGGATCTCCGGAAAGAATTAAGTACTTAACCCGAGGTACCACTGTACTTTGTGTTGGATGGACTGCACACCTTCATCACTACTGTGAGAGTTGCAGAAGCAGTTTGGTTAGTTTCTGAACCAGGCTATTGAATATCACTACCTGATAAGACTGCACCTCTTTTTCTATTATAACCACCACAAAATCCCCTATCAATCAATGCTTGGGGTTATGGGTAGTTTTTATTTTTAAGCTTGTTATCTCAGGATTTTGTTTCTCTCCTCCATTCAGTAAATAATTCAGTTGAGTGACCTTTTTAGCATGGAGTATGATTTCTAAAGATTCCCCCCCCATTAAGGAAAGCTGGGGGCAGGGAGTCTACCAGTCAGTGCAGTTTGGTGAAATTATTTTTGAAATTCGCAGTATGCAAATAATACACAAGTAGTCAAGGAGACTGCTTCTGTTTCCATAAATTCTTCAGCCTCATTGCATTTTTATGTATATCTAATGATCTTGAGCTACAGATATTTGAAGTGTAATAGCAGCGTTGCACACAACTTAATTTTGACAGTGCTTAGTCCAATATCAGTTTGTCAACAATGGTTAAAAGCAGGACTTTTTTTCATCTGGAACTCAGTTCCAGTTCATCTCAGGTGGACACCATTGCTATTATAAGAGAACAAAGGAGGCGTTCATTGTGAGTTCCAGCACCTCTTTTTCTAGAAAAATTGCACTGGAAAGGAAGTCTTATGGCTCTTTAGAGCAAGAGTGGGGGCGGTGTTGGATTGCAGCTTCTATCATCCCTGACCATTGGTCATGCTGGCTGAAGCTGATAGGAACTGGACTCCCATCTTCCATCTTGCAAGCCATGTGTTTGTGCCTTAAAGACAATTTTATTTTGGCATTAAGCTTGCACAGATGAGAGTTTATCCGATGTTAGAAATCCCCCCCCCCCCCGGAATTGCATGCTTTTCGTGAAGTGGCATATGCCATAATTATTTTTCTTAGTCTTTAAGATGCTACAAGACACTTTGTTGTTTTTGTTGCAGCAGATTAGCATGGTTACCCCTTGCCATATCTTGAAGAGCAAAAAAGAGGACAATCCCGAAACCCAGACATTTCCTTTAAAACATGAAAATCCCCCCCAGATGGGCATGTTGGCTCCCCCAAAATAGGACATGTCCGGGATTTCCTGGATGTATGGCGACCCTACCCCTTTGGAAATGGTCACAATTGAAGCAGGCTACAATGGTTGTTTCTTTCTTTTCATATGTTTTATGTTGCCCAAAATTGCACCAATTGCTGCCCTTATTAAGGCCAAGCTTAAATTAGTGGTGACATTCAGCAACTCTGAAGTGGGGTTACTTTTTTTGTTTTGCCCCTGCAAAAATAGAGTCCCTGAAGCTGCTATTAGCATTTAAAGGCAAGCTGATATTGGTACTAATATTAACTTACGATGGGAGTGCATGTTGGGAGTATAGTGCAAAGCCCCAACACTGGTTAATACTCTGGTCCTGATTCTATTAGACTCATCAGTCACAGCTGCTGTAAAAGTATGTGAAAGATTGAGATTTAAAATGCATGATTGCCCTGAGCATTGCTGTGGTGCATGTAGGGTAGAATCCTTGTGAAACAGCAAAATCAAAGCCAACATAATTTAGGATTTGTTGACTGAATTTAATAAAATGGATCCAGTAATTACATAATTTTAATAATGCTTGTTTTTAAAAATTTTGTTTAGACTCCCGCAGAGTTAAAAATATGAACATCTCAAGGGGGAGGAGGGAGTTAAAATACCGGTAATGGTACGTTAGACCTTATTCTGCCAGCAAGCAAAAGGCTCTTGTTCTGTCCCTTGCAACTGCCAAATAATGAATTTGAACAGAGCTTCTAAGGAATTAAAAAATCCTGCATGATTTCTCCACTCCCCTTCCTGCAAGTACTCACTGAAAACAGGAACAACAAAAGTCTAAACCAGAAAAACCAGCACCAAAATTAGGGCAGAATGCAAAAGGTGAATGGGCTTCTGTATACACCATTGCTTTTTAGGAAAACCACATTAGCAGCATGGTGAAGCACAAGGCAAAGGAGTCTGGAAAGTTCTTTCAATGGGAAATGCTACCAGGCTAACCCTTGGCTAAAAGCTTTAAGGGCTGGATAAGGCAGAAGTCAAATAAGTATTCTTACGTGATCAACTAACTAAAAATGCTTAACTTTTGTGGGTGATGACACAGAAAATGGTCCAAGGTCTCATGAGACAGTTCTTGCTGAAGCTAATCCATTCTTTGGACCCCTCACTAATTCAGAACTGGAAAGCCTGGTGGAGGTGTGCTCATCTGGCAATTGGTTTTGCACACTCGGACATTATAAGTGCTTTGTTCGTACAGTGACTAAGCAACTCTCAGCCAGTGCTGTCCGGTGCCCACTGAGACCACTACGATGGAAGATGGGAAGACCGACAGTAGATGGAACCTGAGCCAATGATGGGCAGAGTCAACAATTGTAGTTTGGGCCTCATCAACACTAAGCTTGGGACAACAACAAAATCCAGTCCAAAACCAGCTTATATTCTGGGTTGTAAGTGATGTTGCAATGTTTTTTAAAATTATTACCACCAGGGCTTTTTTTGAGCTGGAACTCAGTACGTGCAACTTTCACACATGTGCAAGTGACTAGAAATACCCTAAAAAGCAAGCAGACAAAACCAAACCCAAATCAGACCTAGGAAGGTTTTAATGCTCATTAGCAACAGAATGTTGACTTGGGACAGGGAAATGGGGGGAGGGATGATATGGCCACTTGAAGGTGAACATTGCTAGAAGTTGGCAGGAACTCTGTGCGGTGTGTTGCTGTCAAGAGGTGTGAATACGTTCTAGCATTTTTTTGGTGTGTCTCGGTGACGTGTAATGCATAACATTTGCTACGTTCTGTTCATTTTGAGTTCTACATGTAGCCGGTTCTTAACTATGTTAAAAACTCTGGTTTTATTTTTTGTTGTTTTAAACCAGCAGGGTATGGAAGAAAAACACTTGTCTCTCATTACTCCTGCAATAATAGAAGTAGAGGGTGTATGTATTTGTGCAATCATGCCCAATCAAAGGGACATTATCAGAATGGTGTTTTAATTATCCAGATGAAAAAAATGCTGTTATCTCTTGTGCACCAAACAGTTTAATAAAGTTCCAGAGAGGTATTGCGTAACTATGTTGCATTGACAGCCTATAATTAAGGGGCAGATGGAAAGCAGTAAGACTGAAGAGTGAGATGCTGCATCAATCAGAATGTGTGGAGTGAATCTGCTGAAATAGGCTAGTGGGCAGGGAGGATTAGCTGCTGTGCTCCCTGCTCCTATAATTTGGAGCTGGTGTTTTTCTAAAGTGGAATGAGTTCCACTAGCCTAGAAAAGTCACAGGAAAACAAGTACCTAGCAATGTTGTAATTGTAGCAAATAGAGTACTACATATGGTTGCATCAGAGGTCAGGTTTAGCATTTGTTCCACATAGATTTGGTACCAGCTAGATACCTTATATGGATAATACAGTCAACTGGCAACCATCCCAAAAGTGCAGGTGCTTTTCTCTCACATCAAATTTAGTCCTTAAACTGCAGCTTGCCTCATGCAGCTGCCTCTTCCTCCTTCCTTCTAGCTGGAAGTTCCCTTGTTCTAACAGTGTGGTTTAATTGGTTTATACCATGACATAAAGCTGCACAGACCAGAATGTACATGTTTTGTTTTCTTACATTTGTCCATCATGGAATTCAAGGTGGTACACATGTGGCTATCCAGATGTTGACTAGACCCAGACTTGCTTAGCTTCAGCAAAGCAGTGGCCTCTTGTGCCTTCAAACCACACCCAGTTGGTTCCTATTTCCAGTGGTGCCTCGGGTTACATACACTTCAGGTTACAGACTCCGCTATCCCAGAAATATTACCTCGGGTTAAGAACTTTGATTCAGGATGCGAACAGAAATCGTGCTCCGGCGGTGCGGCAGCAGCAGGAGGCCCCATTAGCTAAAGTGCTTCAGGTTAAGAACAGGTTTAGGTTCAGAACGGACCTCCGGAACGAATTAAGTACTTAACCCGAGGTACCACTGTATATTCTTTCCTGCATTAAGAACATTTGCAAGTGGCACAAAGGGCATAAACTGTTGTTTTTTAATATTGTGTTTGAAAATTTCCATTGTTAGAAAACTTATAGGGTTAAGAGTGGTACTAAGCTGTCATAAATGTAAAAACATCAGCTTAAAGAAACTCTGAAGCTTCCACTCACTTAACAGTCTTTCGCCCTGTGCAATCTTGCCCTTTCCTTCTGTCGCTAGACAAGGTTGGTAAAGGTTACCTTGAAAATAAAAAGGAAGCCTGCTGGTGCTCTTCAGATGTGAAGAGGGAGGAGCAACATTCTACCTGAGAAGAAGCGCTTGAAAAATTTGTATGTGAAAAGGTAGAGAAGGCTATGAACTAAAGTCATCAGCGAGGGTTTTGTCAGTAAGAGCTAAGAATATGCTATTCCCTTTTAATAGTAAATATAGAATCCAGAGAACAATATTAGAATCCACATGTTTTACCTTCATTATGGACCTAGATTATTTTCACTGATCATGTTAGTTAATAAAGACATAATTACTCAAAGCTAATTCTAACTAACAGCTTGCAAACGAACCTGAAATGGGCAAGAGATCTATAATAACCATATATGATCAAGACTACGCATCCTTGAGGGAGCAATGCTCCGCATTTTTGGTGGGGGAGGACATTTTCTTTTACAATAGAGCTTCGCTTTCTTCTAAGCTAGTATTACTTCTGACTTTTTTATTGGAAGAATTAGACATGTATTTGGCAGCTCCTCAGGGCAGGTGTCATCTTTCACAGTACAGCACTCCACAAAGAACAACTGTAATGCAAATCACTGTGGTAAAAGTGTGCCTGAATGGAATCTAAAATAATGTGGGGAGCAGTTTGAAAGTTGATGACGAAGTGGGCCCTGGTAGCAGGTTCACACTCCAATACGATTTGCAGCAGAAGTAGAGGACACTGGGGCCATTCATAATTTTCATCCTATACCAGGGATCTCTGAAAAGACTGCTGAAATTTTCCTTGAACAACAGAGAAATGGCCAAATGTATTGGGTTCTAACCAACTTGCCAAGGTAGAAGCTTCACAGAACTCAGTAGAAGTTGCATCTTCTGAGAAGACCTATGTGGTCTCTCTGATGAGAACTTCAAACCTGGGAGAGTTAGGAGGCACTTCTGTAGCTAAGAAGCACTTCCACCTTTGCTTTTATTTCTTAAACCCAGCCTCCAGATGGGTAACTTCAAACCAGCCTCCATACAGTCCAGTTTTTCATTTAATTCTTTGGTGATGCTCTCATGAACTTGAGGCCTTGTAATGGTGATGGCTTAGGCTGATGGCCAAGGAAATGGTGTGCTTTGACAAACAGCAGAATGTGCCTCTTTCCAGAGGCAGAGGCTTTCCACTTTCCCCACTGTGTTGTGTCCCAAGAATATCATCACACTTTGTCAATACCGCTGTTTGACAGCAGTGACTTCCAGCCATGCCACCCTGATAGATATGACAATCACACTTAGGGAACAGAAGTGAAGGTGGGACAATCTTACCCCTGTGACACCTTGGCCCATAGCAGATGACCTTGTTCTTCCTCTAGGTGACAAATAAGTGACAAATACAGAAATAGGGGTCCATAGTTGGCTGGCACTTTTAGTTTTGCTGCTTTTGCAAGCTGGAATTCCCAAAATCTGCAATTCACCTCCCTGTATGCTGAGGTCCTAAGCAGACCTTCTCTGCCTGTTTTTTGTTGGGGTTTTTTTGAAGAAGACAGAAAGGAAAAAAATCATATGTTGAATGTAGTTGGATCATCAGTGACTAGCTGATGAATACGAATTGGTGAATATGATATCTTACAAGACGCTTAACTGTAAATAAATAAGTAAATTAAATTAACATCTATCTGATCTGTGTTACTGTTCTTCACTCTGTCCACTTTCAAATTATTTCTGTTTAAAATTCTATAGCCGCCTGCTAATAACTTTACTGGCACCAATTTATGTAGGCAATATATGATGACAAGATAATTGCTGGTGCCAGGCATCCTCTTCTGTCACCTCTGAGGGTCATCCCACCTATTACTCAGGTTTGCTCTAAAAAAGAAGCTACTTGCCAACCAGAATTTCCTAATAGGCATGCTTGCATGATGCATATGTTTGCCAACACATTTGTCACAGAGTCACATTACAATAGTGAAATGTCATGCCAGCAAAAGCTTGGTATAATCAAATTTGGGCTACAGTCCTAAATTCAGTTAGCTGGGAGTAAACCCCATTGAGTTCAGTGGGAATTCTATGTAGGCATGCATAGAATTGCTCTTTTGATTTAAAGCTTCCATTTGTTTCAAAACACTATATTGAAGCTTCCCAATTAGGGTGGTACCTCGCAAGACGAATGCCTCGCAAGACAAAAAACTCACTAGACGAAAGGGTTTTTTGTTTTTTGAGCTGCTTCGCAAGACGATTTTCCCTATGGGCTTGCTTCGCAAGACGGAAACGACTTGCAAGTTTGTTTCCTTTTTCTTAACACCGTTAATACAGTTGCGACTTTACTTCGAGGAGCAACTCATAGAACGCGGTGTGGTAGCCTTTTTTTGAGGTTTTTAAAGACTTTGGTGATTTTTGAAGCTTTTCCAAAACTTTCCCGACACCGTGCTTCGCAAGACGAAAAAAATCGCAAGACGACAAAACTCGCGGAACGAATTAATTTCGTCTTGCGAGGCACCACTGTACTGCTGTTGAAGATGTTTGGAAGTTTCAGCTAAGTGCAGATGACAGTAGCCAGACTTTTGATGGTGCAGCTCATTTGGATCACATCTCAAGTTCTAAAAGAATAGTGCTGGCTGCCTGTTTACTGCCAAGCCCAATTTGAAGCACCACTACTTAACTTCAAACCACATGGGATCCATCTGAAAAAGTTTCTCCTCACATATCAGTTTCTTCCATACTTGGAAGATATTCTGCTGGTCCTCTTTTATGGATGCCTTAACCTTCAGAGATGAAGTAGATATGATCTACAGAAAGAACTTGGTGGGGGTTGTATTACTCCAGTGATGGGATGCTTTTCCCTAGGAGACTCACTCACCTGGTCCCATGCTAGTAGTATTACCTTCCAGGTAGCAGGTGGAAATCCTTTGTATTCTTTGAAGAATGTTTTAAGTATGGTGCAGCTGTAAACTTTTATCTCTTTGTTTCACAGGGTTATGGGGCTGTTATATGTGAAACATCTAGAAATAGTTTTTGACGAAGGGTAGTGTATAAATGCTTTAAATAGATACATACCCATATGCCTGCATGGCTGTGTGCCCCTGTATAGATCACTATGGTCACCTAGATCACCTGGGGAAATTCTACTTGTAACACTACCCTACAGAATACCACATGGCTGTAACCCCAAAACAGGCATTTTCTGCTATTGCTTATGTGTTGTGGAATGCCTTTCCATCTGTCATACTTGAATCAGCAGTCCCCAGTTGCTTCAGATGCCTTGTAAATATTTATTTTGCCCAAGATTTCCCTGATTCTTCAGATAGGACCCCAATGTACAAGTTCCCTGAATTTCTGTCTTTCCTTGTTTTTATAATGTTTTATTGGTTTCAGGTTGCCTGTTGTACATAGTGCACACCACTTAGAGATTTTAAAAATATGAAGCACTGCTTTTAAATAGAAAATACACTGTATGAGTAAAGCGGAATTGGCTAGCCCTGAGTCTTGAAAGCAGTGGGTGAGAAGCAATTAATACTGAGAATGTTCATTGCTTGTTCTACAAGCCAAAAGGGCCATCCATTCTAATAGTTTTGACCATATTACTGCCACTGTGGTCTCCCTGCGCTATACAAAAGTTATACTGCAGTTATACCTGGAATTGAACATATCTGTTTACAAAAGGGATTTCTATACAGCTTTTCATGTGGCATACCAAAGTGTTGTGCAACCTGATTAAAACATTAAGCACCAAGCAAAGCACACAGAGAGAGTCACAGAATAAGCATGATGATAAAAAGGAATTAATGAACCAGTGATCAACAATGAAGAAACATATTTAACTGCTGACAAAAGCACATTATGGAGGTTGCTCACCCGATCTGTGAGGGGAGACGGTCACTGCAGAGGAAGCCATTTCCCTGTTAATGCAA